CCTCACTCAAGAGGACCCGACGGAGCAAGAGCTCGCTCTTCTTGCGGGTTTGGACTCTTCCGCGGAACAGGCAGAACTTCACGATTTGGTATCCAAGTGCAAGCCGTTGCTAAGCATCAAGCCGACTGCCAGGTCCGAGACTACGGTTTGCTTCATTGACGCAGTTGTCAAGAGGCACCTCTTGGAGAATGCTCGCAGGATGCTTGGGCTATCAGAAGAGGACATCAAGCTGCAGCACGGCATGCTTGGCCTTCGAGCATTCGGTCATGTCATGAAGGCTCTTAAAGATCTCGGCACTACTGAGCCAGGTGAGGGTGATAACGAGGGACAAAATGACCAATTCTCCGACGACGAGTCCGATGGTGAAGATGATCAAGATGGCGATGACGATGGCGATAGCGAGGAAGAAGAAGAGGAAGAAGATGAAGACTCTGAAGCACCCAAGATCAAAGACAAAGCTCATGCTTACGCCGTGAAATATTGGCTCCATCATGCTAGCCAAGCCACTACCGACATTGCCGATGACTTGAGTCGAGAAGCAGAATTCTGGAAGAAGGACTCAGTCATCCGTCGCCGTTGGCTTACAGAGCATCACCGACTTACCGACTCTTTCAAGAACTGGGAACGTGTTGAGTTGACTGGTCTTCATGTGGCTTCTGCCATTGGGTTCAGAGGGTTAGTTGCAGCTCTATTGAAGAATGGATATGACGACGAGAAGAACATGAGAGACTCGTTGTGTTATACGCCTGTGAGTTCTCCTGCCCACTGAGGGCTGCAAACATAATGAGTCTATGGCTAACGTGAAAACTATCTAGCTTCATTTTGCCGCCGCATTCGGACAGACAGATATCATTGAAGAGCTCCTAAACAAGGGCGCGGCAATTGATGACGGTAAAGAAGACGACCACCAGACTCCCCTGCATCAAGCTGCAGCCAAAGGGAATGTAAAAGCTATGGTCATGCTACTGCAAAGGGGAGCAGACCCGAATGCCAGCTGCGATACTTTTGGCAGAGTCATTAACGCCGCTGTTGACTCTGGAAACTGTGAAGCCGTCAAGGTCTTGGTTGAGAAGGATGTTTCTCTTGAGGGAGAAGACAGCGAGGAAGAAGAGGAGGAGGAGGATGAGGCTGAGGGGGAGAGCAAGCAGCCAGGAGATGAAGCCGACGACAACGAGGACGAGGATGACGAAAATGAGGACGACGACGACGATGATGATGAAGACGATGACGAAGAGGAGGATGAAGACGAAGACGACGAAGAAGAGTTTATTCGCTCTCCACTGGCCCTGGCAGCTCTCCGCTCAGACTTGACAATGTTCGAGTTCCTCATCAAAAACTACTCGGAGAAACTTCCACCCAAAGAATTCAACAAGGCTCTCATCAAGGCCGCAGAGAGTGGTCGTCTCGAAGCCTTCAACCATCTCTTTGACTCATACGAGCACCCCCAAGAGACGTTGCAGGAGGCACTGGAAGGGGCGGCATACGAGGAAAAGTGGGATATTGTGGCAATCTTGCTCGAGAAGCGTCCTGGTCTCAACTGTGATCAGCCCTTCTTGAACGCTGCCGAGGGCGATGATGGGGATCAAGCAATTCGGTCGATAGAGGCCATGTGGGAGTACACTAACGGATCCATCTCTGCCGAGCAGTTGGATAAGTCTTTGTATCAAGCCACCGATTTTCAAAACGAAAAGACGGTTCAGCTGCTTCTTAGGTTTGGAGCAAGCCCTGATGCTACCAGCGAAGAGTAAGTCATCCCACGTACTCTGTTCTTGCTAACCACTAATGTTCGTGTTAGATACGGTAATGCCTTGACAGCAGCAGCGTACGACGGCACCAAAGATATCGTCAACATGCTCCTCGACGCAAAGGCCGACATCAACTCTCCGAACGGATGGGCTCTACAGACTGCTGCTGCTGAGGGTCACATGGAGATTGTCGAGCTGCTTCTCAAGCGTGGAGCTGACGTCAACGCATTGACCACCAACGACAACATGAGCTCGGGAACTGCTCTGCAAGCAGCCGTTGAAGCTGGAAATGGGGATATTGTTGCGCTTCTTCTCGAGCATGGCGCTGATCCCAACCTTGGAGGAGGCTCCCTGACTTGCCCCATCATCGCAGCGGCAAACAACGGAGAAAAAGAGATCCTCCAACGTCTCATCAACGCCAAGGCTGATGTAAACCGCTTGGGGGGAGAGTATAATTCGACGCCCCTGACCTACGCAGCCATGTATCTCCCCCAAGAATCTCTGCGGTCCATTCTTGACGCTGGTGCTGACATCAACTTTGCTGACCAAGACGGCGATACTCCGCTCATTCTGGCCGCAAGGTCGCCGGATGCCGAGTCTGTGCAGCTCTTGCTCGACCGTGGCGCTGACGTGTTGCTGAGGAATAACAGCAACAACAACGCGTTGGATGTCGCTGTGGGGACTGGGGACATTGATTGCATTACGACCGTTGCCAATCACGTTTCTGCGATTATGGAAGCTTTGAGTGTTGCCATGGAGGGTGGTGATGCCGCTGTTACAGCTGTTGTTCGAAGTGTTGAGAACCGAAAGCAAGAACTCAACTATGATGAGCCAATCCCTGAGGAGGATGAAGATGAAGATGAAGAGGAGAAGGAAGAGGAGACTCAAGAAACTACTGAGCCAGTCGCTGAACTTGAAGGAGCTGCTGCTGCTGTCGGGGGAGAGAATGAGCAAGTCTCGAGCAGACCTGCATCCGAAGTGAAATCTTTTGACTCTACCAGCACCCTTGTGCCGGAGGAAGCAGGAGGCTCAGGAAGCCAGACACCGGACAGTGCTGCAGGTTTGAGGAACGGCTATCAACCTCCTCAGGCAGGGTTTGCTCCTATCAGGAGAAAGCCCATCACCGGCGCGAGACCCACCCCGTACAGACCGTATCAGCCACCTGGTGATGGAACCCAGCAGCCCGGGTCCGAGCAGAGTCAGTTCCTTGCTTACCGGCCAGGGGCTCAGCCAGAGGCTGGAGCTCCTGTTCCGCAGCAGCCTCTAGAGCAGGCTCCCCAGTGGCCACCGAACTCAGCCGGATCGGCAGAACAGTAAGTTGACCCTCTCGTGATGATCAAGCTTTTACTGACGAGAAAGGGTACCTGGATTTGACAGGAAAGAGCATCGATCGTCGTTCTTTGGGATGAAGAGTCCGTGGTCAGGAGATCGTTACTCCTAGGGTCTGATAGAGTGTTACACATGGTAGCATGTTAACGTCTGGCACTACTTCTCAGCTGCCCAAATGCTGGATTTAAAAGAAACACGCAGGAAGTAATATTGAATCTTAAACTACTTGTTAAGACGAACAGGAAGAGCAGCAGTACCCGTGACGTTGAGGCTCAGGAGATCAGGTCGTGAATAGTGTCCCACAACGTCAAGGTTCTGCTTAGCCTTGGCTCGATCGGCAACATCAATCTCGGCATAGACGATGCCCTCTGCGCCGGGGTCAAGAGGCTCAGAGAGCTCAGATCCATCAGGACCGTAAATCATGGTGAAGCCTCCACCGGGAGTCTTGCCCCAGGATCCGGAACCCATCTCGGCCAGCTTGGTGTTGGCCTTGCCCTTCTCACTAAGAACTTCGGTGCATGTCATGACGAAGCATGCACCCTCCATTGCCATGACCTGGGAGAACTTGTTGCTTGCAGTTCCAGAGATGTGGTAAGCCCAGGGCTTTCCCTCAGGGGGCTCCCAGATGAGGGGCCAGCTTGCAACGTGGATGTCAACATCCTGGGAATACTGGTAGTATCGAAGAAGAGGCTGAGTGTGTTCCCAGCAGTTCAGGCCTCCGATCTTGCCGAACTGCGAGTCGACAACGCCCTGGAGGGAATCGGCTTGGCCATCGCCCCAGTAAGCCCTCTCCACGTGGGTAGGCTTGATCTTGCGGCGGTGGTGAACAATGGTGCCAGTGGGGTCGATGAATGACTATCACTATCAGTCTGTATCCCAACGACTCCACGATAGAAACTCACCTGCGCGATGTACAAGGTCCCGCGATATCGCTCGCTGTAGCCAAGAACAACAAATACTCCAGCTTCGCGGACAGCAGCCCTAATACGGTCCATCTCCTTGGACTCCCTCTCCATCGAGTTATCAAAGTACTCGTTCATGAAGGGCACATTGTCAAAGACAGAGTTTTGCCAGATGCTCCTTGTAAGGTCAATGGGCTAAGTACATCACTCTGAGGGACACCAAACTTACCACGGATAACCAGGGATAAAGACTTCAGGGAAGCCAACGACGTTGGCTCCGTTGCTGCCAGCTTCTTTGATCAGGGAAATGACCTTTTCAACACCGCCTTGGAGATCGTTCCAGACGGGCTCGGCTTGAACGGCGGCAACCTTGATCTTGGAAGAAGCCATTGTTGAAAGTGATGTTGAATGAGTTTGTTCTTGAGATGATTTGTATTGTTGGTGTTCTCAGGCTGTGTCTTGATCGTCCTTCAAAGTGAGAAGCATTGCACCTCTTATATAATGAAGCTCAGATGCTGTGTAACTATGTAAGTGACTAGTGAGGCAATCGTGAGGTTGATCATGCGGGGTGCATGCAGGGTGCATGCGTATCGGGATAATTGATACCCGCTCAAGAAGCATACGGATGAACCCTGGATAATTAATACCCGGGTCCCGTGCGGTCCGTATATCAGAGACGACAGCAAGATCTACGATGGATAATTAATATCCTGACATTGATGGCCATATCATTGAGGACAAGGTGTATCCGTTCGGTCCGTATAGTATCATCCAAGAGGGGATCATAGGCCTAGTCTATGAAGTCGTCAGGGGTCTTATCTTTCAGGATGATAGCTTCAGCAGTACGCGTGGACAGACCAACTTCCCACTATCTTTATCATGCCTTATTTCAATAGAAATGGCCAAATATGAGCCTGGAGTAGTTCTGTGAGGGTTGAGTTTTGCCAGTTGTTGCTACATGAGATACGAACAAGATCCACCTGATTGCTCCCTATCAAGACGCTAGTTGTGCTACTCAGCATCGTCAAGCCTCCTCAGAAAAGTCAAACGCCATGCTTCCCATGTTTTGATCAAAAGCCCAAGCCTGAAAGAGTTCATCAAACATCTCTGGAGGCAACGCCTGCTCCCCGCCGACGCCCACCTCCAGGCCTTGGCCAGTCGGAAAGGCTCCACGCTCGTACAGGTCAAACTGCCGCTTGTTGACTTCTGGAATGTCACCTACTAACTCTGGGGTACTGAGAGCGACGCCCCATTGGTCCGCTAGGGAGCGAATGGCGCGGATGGAGCGGTTAGCCCAGTCCCAATTCGTGTTCATCTCGTATAGAGCCTTGATACAAATGCTGAGACAGCGCATTGCCTCGCTGTTTACATTTGGTAGGCTCATCTTGAGATCTAGTAGATGTATAATGGCTGCTGTGAATATGGGGTGGACCGCAGAGATTGGTTGACATTGCTAGACATTGTTAGTTACTTCCAGGTAATTCAGGGAGCTGGCGACTGACATTTGTATAATTGCTCCTGTATATACGAACAATCTTTGCAATTTTGATTGCCGATGCCTTGCAAGATTTCGAGTGCACATCTTTTCCTTCGGGGTCGAATTCCACACAGTTGCGGCCGCGAGAAAGAACCTTGAAGAAGGGTCGATGAAGAAGAATGATTGAGTGATGGTATTGAATGCTGCCCGAATCATTAGCTTGAAAAGGTCTATAAGTAATGCTACAACTCACTGAAGATGGTATACGTATGGCGGCACAGGGTAAAGACTTGACTCGGACATCTTGAGTGACTTTGGAAGCTGGTCAAACAGCCTCGCAGACCGTAAATGCGTTTCCATGACGCGGTCCTCTCGTTCTCTGTCTGTCCATGAAGAACGCTGAGCATACCTGATTTTGATCAGTAATAGTTTCCGCCATTCAACTTTACATCTTACAATTGATCAATAACTTCGGAAGTGATAATCATGATTTCGCAAGTCTTGATTGCATTCTCGGTAATGTGGGACGTCGGCCAGGGTTGTGAGAATTTTCTCTGTTCTGCAGAGAGAAGTGCTGCAGGTCGGTCTTCAAGAATCTTGGGTTTGGCTGTCGTGATGTTGTACTCTTGGATACTCGCAGGTCTACCCATTCCAAGGCAGTACAATCTGAGATGTTCTTGTCAGTAATTCTGCATGTCCATTTCGTGGATATCTCCTTACTTGTCCAAGACGTATATGCCCCAAAAGGCGACGTTGCGGGCCTCGACGTCCTCTTCGGAGATGATTCCTCGAGCTGCGTATTGTGTGCAGTCCGACTGTAAACCGAGGTTCATCGCCATGCGCGTCGCCATGCCGATGTACATAAATCCAAGACCCTCGTTGTCGATAGATGCCCAGAACAAGCCCAGCAGTGCAGTCGCTTGAACTGTTGATGTTGTCGGAGCTTCAGATTCGTAGTGAAGCATGGTCTTAGCCTGGTCCGCGAAAATATGTCCAGCAGTATTTGCGTCCTCTGGATCCGATCTGAGTTCTGGTCTCGGTGAGTACCGCGACGAAAGGGCGAGTATTGCGTTGAGAAGCAATGGCGTGCAGAAGCGTCCAGACTTTTCCACGTAAAGGTCGACAATGAATGATTCTCTGGGTACAATGTACTGCCATGAATTCTGCCATTTCCAGAATAAACCCAAAAGATGATCGCGGAGTTCATCTGTGGGCTCAAAGAAGGTTGGCAATTGTTGAGCAGCTTCAATACCTCGATGTCGGGCCTGCACTGATGAAGCGACCTTGAGAGATGTGCTGGGCATGAGATCGAAATTACTGGATGTTCCAAAAAATCGCAGTTCTCCGGCATCGCCTATTGTGAAGCATCCAAGTGCATCTGCGAGATCATCTACCGACTCGGTTTGGTTGGTGTCGTCGGATGGCGACCGTTCGAAGCTGGATTCTAATGCAGCGGTGCTCACCCCTTCTCTCGGCAACCGGTAGTTAGAATCATGAACAAAAAGTGGGTTCGTCTGCGTTGCAAGAGCAAGGCTCTTCTCCAGGGTCTGAATGCGCGCTTCCAAGGCCATGATGTACGCGTTGCTCGGGCGCCTAGATTGCGTGAGATTTGAGACAAATATGAGTGGCAAATTTCTTCACCTTCTTTTGCTCTCCTCTTGCGTATACTCGCACTCTTGCTGGCGATACTTGCAAGCGCCGCATGTTGGCTGTTCGCCGTCGCACTGGGACAGTGAGTAAAGGGCCCCCTGCCTCGAGTTTGTTTGCTTACCTTGGTCCTTTTTACTCGACAGCCATTGCATGCCAGGGTGATCCTCTTTCTCCCCGGTCGCCGACCCGGCTCCGTAGTGGGGGACATGTTTGACCAGGGTCTTGGTGTCCAAGCAAGCCCTCCACTGTCAATACGAGGTAATGGTCACCTTTGAGGCTCATGCACATCTCCCTCTCAGGAGGCAACGTTGTCCAAAATGAGCGGGGTTTTTGGAATATAAACATGAAAGATATCAAGGGCAAGGGACCCGGCAGATAAGTTGTTCCAGGATGATCCGCGCCAACAAGCACTAGTAAACTTTGATAACTAAGTGAGGCCTCTCATTGATCCGAGACAGGATCCAAAGTGCGGGGAAGCTATGGCTAGCGTGAGTGGCTGCCAAGGATCGGCTGCCTCTTTAAAGGGGTTGATGCGCTGTCTGCTTACCCTGCACTTGAATGATCAACCCAAGGATTAGGCTGCCCGGTCACCGTTGCCTTGTAATGTGCCTCGTTTCAGGGAACAGGTGAAGAGCTGGATAGAGGGGGGCAATAAAGATCAAGCGGAGAGTTGCGGGTGTTGGACGGATACGACGAAGCCGGTTATGTCTGATGGATTTCCATAGTAGCAATTGACTTTGACGCTCTGGATTTCCTACCTCGGATGAAATTTCTTATGAGGATGGCCACGATAGAGAGCAGTTTCAAAGGCCTTTGGATGTGATTGCCATTGTACTAATCCTGGAGTACACATTTTAGAACAACCTTCCAGGCAAAGTTACGGAATTGTAACATGAAGGGTACATGATAAATCCATTTCTGCAGTACTAGCAGCAACACTGCCTATGTTATCGAGCGTATAAAACTAAATAGTTGGCTTTTCAGTCCGGACAATAAATACCAGTTAGGCACCTGGGTATGTGAACCGCTTGGGCTGAATCCCTGTCCGCGCTAGTTGAAGAGATACCAAAACTCGCACTGAATGGCCACAGAGTTCTATGTATTCCTTAACAGTAGCATCTAGGGTTGCTTTGCTGACTTTACAAAACCAGACCACGTGATCCTAATCTCTGTCGTCGTAGCAATCAGTCGAGCTCGCAACCGGCAATTCCGACCTCATCCTTACATTTGCGATAACAATACAAGGCAAACTTAGCATCCGAATCATATCAAGACTATTAATTATAGCACTTCTTTAACGACATGCAGGACGACCCTGCCATCCGTCTCTGGCTTAATGACGTATCAGACGGTCCGCCAGATAGCCATGTCGCGATTGACGAAAGCGAAGCAACATCGCGTAAGCGAAAGCCATCTCAACAGCGCGCCTCGTCGGTATCAACAGAAGGATACACCGAAAATCTGTCTGCTATATCAAAAAAACGAAAGATTGACAATCCCCATCTCACTTTCCGAGCCGAGGACATGAAGACAGGCACCATGCACAACCCACCATCCAGACCATCTCTGGAGTCCTCCGAACTTTCTGAAGCCATCACCACCAAGACAATGTCAGAGTCCTCTATTTTCTGGGGGGAGATGAGGAGACTTCCTGCAGATGATGCAGGTCTCGGTTATCAAGAGCTCAACGTCGATGCACCTCCGCCTGTGGCTGCCGACTTGGTTCAGCGCTTTGGAGAAATCAGTAAGGGCATTGGAATTCTGCCACATGAGTCCAAGGAAGATATAACAAGTCATGTTCAACAACAGAGCTGGAACCTTCAGCCATGGAAAATGGCCTTTCTGGAAAAGGGTGATGAGTCTAACGCCGCTCTCCCTGGCTCTGTCCCGGCGTGGGAAGACGTGTTTAATCTGTGTTTGCGTGCAAGAGACTGCTTCCTCGAAGGCCACGATGGGACCAGTTGGAAAATCGAGGTTCATTATGAACTTCTTAAAAAGATCTTTCGAGCATCTGGGCAAGGCCATGACGGCTCCTTGGACTTTATGTCGTGGTGAGTTTTTCTAGCATGGTGATGATCTGGACAGACGCTGATTGATGATAGCACAACTGCTCGCCCGGAACGGACCTATCTCCCGCGGCCTTGGGAAGCAAAATTGGTGGACTTTTGCCTTTTTGACAACACAGACGCCGATAGTCAAGCTCGACTGGATTTTATAAGTGTTACACCTGCTCGATCGGTGAACCACACTGGTTACCGCCCTCTTCACCGCCGCCCTATCGTTCTTAGCATCGAAACTTGGCGTCCTGAAAAAACCTTGGACAAGAAAAACCTTGCAATGGGTGTGTGGCATGCTACGCAGTGGAGCTTTCTTCGATCAGCTGTAGCTCGAAAGTTCAGAGAAGATGATCGAGAAACAGCTAGCAAACTAGCTTATAAAGCGCTGAGGGAACTTGGATTTATTCCTGGAGTCATCATCCATGGTCATCACTGGCTGTTTGTTTTTTCGACACTGGAATCTTGGACGGCACTTGTTGATGGGCGCGAACAAACAGTCTATCGGACTGTGTTGTGGGCTGGACAGGAATTTGGATCGACGCGGAGTATGCGCAAGGCTTATCAGATTGTTGCTGGACTTAGGCGTTTGGCTGGATGGGCTACTGATGTTTACATGCCTTGGTATCGGCGACATGTGCTTTTAATTAGGGATCAGGATAAGGATGCGTGATCGCTTCCCATTGATCGACGCATTGACTGAAGATGATAATATATAATAATAGAACGCTGCAAACTATGCACGGGACCAAGCTGCCTCTCAATCCATCCTGTGTGATCCAATGCTGTGGCACGAATACCTAGACCGTGTAGGGGCTTACCTCCCAACATGTTCTCAGCTCATCTCCGCATCAGCCGCAGGCCACAGAGGGAGAGAAACGAGACGCACCAATTGAGCTGCTACCTGTGAAATAATCGTGGCGAAGCAGTAAGCTGCAGGTTGAACTTTATTGAGATTATTGAGATCAACAGGAGACGTATACATGAGTGAACAGCCAGTTTTCTGCTCGTAGCCAATAATTATAGCTGAATACATCGGAGAGCAAGCCACCGAAACACCACGCAGTCAGCTCATGTTCAGCCACTATGCCGTTCCATGGCACAGCTATTCAGCTGCCCAGAATGACGCCATGAAACCTCTCAAACAACACGTCTAGTCATTCCCAGCGCCGTTGGTCCACAACATGATGTGAGCTGACCAGCCTCCATCGTGGCAACCCGCAGGGCTGAGCCTTACTTTTAAGCTCTTTCCGCAATGAGACATTCCCTCTAACCGCTTTTGATGAAACTGGGCGACATCCTATCAATGGTGACGATCATGCTGGGATGAATCTTGGAGACTGGGGTTGGTGATCGTCACGCCAAGCTTTTGTGCTCACGTCGCAGCGGCGCATTGGGCCAGAAGCGGTTTGGCGCCGTGGCTCAGCTTGGAGGGAGAACAACATGACGTCGATAGAATGTATAAACATAGAGTTGAGAATTGTTGAATTATTGTATATAAGGCGTGACCTTGGGAGGCTAAAATGGACTTGAATCAGATCAATTCGCTTTAGCATTGTCCACAGCTGAATCACACACATCACAACCTCTGCATCTGTACCAACAATGCATATTCGCACACCACTGAGTCTGCTAGCCTTTGCGGCAGCTGGCTCAGCTGCTCGCATCGTCGCAACCGACAATGTCCCCCTTCTTGGTCAATCCTTTGCCAGCAACTTTGACCTTTCCAAATCAAAGGCCATCGAAGACGCCAAGGCCAAGTTTCCAAGTCTCATCGAAGAACTCTTCGAATCCAAGGCCCTCGACAAGGATGGTCTCATCTTTTCCCTTGACGTCTTCTCGGCTAGCACAAACAGCTCCATCTATAGCTACAGGCACGTCGGAAAGAATGAGGAAAAGTCCCTTACTGCTGGCAATCTGACCGACACGACGATTTCTCGCACCGGAAGCGTTTCGAAGCTCTTTACCGCGTATGCCTTTATCGCCAAGGCAGGCATGGAGGTGTTTAGTCACCCCGTTACCAGGTATCTCCCTGAGCTAGCTGGCAACAAGAGCGAGAACCCTCTGGAAAGAATAGACTGGGATGAGATCACTGTTGGCACGCTTCTGTCCCATCAAGCTGGCACTGGAGGAGTTTCAGGTGTGTTTTTCTCTGTACTTTCTTATTGTTTTCTTGACTAACTTGTTGGTAGACCTCCTCATTTCATACTACAACTCTACGGACAACCCGACCGAGGGTAGGTTATCGTTCCCCCATACTGGCCATTGCTAAAATTCTTGACTTTAGAGGGTCTAATTTTGGAGGGCCTCAAACATTACCGAGATCTTAGGCGTCCAACAACGACTGCGCACCACACGGCTCTGTACTCCGATGGTGGCTTCAGTCTCTTGACTATTATCTTCTCCCGCCTGACAGGCAAGCCGTACGGCGAAGCCGTCAAGGAAATTCTCTTTGAGCCTCTCGGACTGGACCAGATGTCATCAGGAGCGCCCAACGGTTCAGACATTGATGCGATTGATCGTAGGCCCGTTGATAACTCTAGCTCGTGGGGTGGTAACCCTGAGTTTGTCGCTGGGTATGTCCACTATCAAAACTTGAAGGAATCAAACTAACACGGCTTTAGATCTGGTGGTATTTACGGCAGCACCCGAGATTTCCGTCTTGCTGGTCTATCCATCTTGAACTCTGAAATCCTCTCTGCCGCCACTACTAAAGCCTGGATGAAGCCCTTGAGCGGAACTGGCTCCCTAGTTGAGCTTGTTGGCGCTCCGTGGGAAATCCAGCGTCTTATGATCCCTGCCACTCCTGGCTCAAATCGCACCCGTCTCTCTGACCTTTACACCAAGGCGGGTGGAAATGGTGACTACACTGCCATTATTGCTCTCTCTCCTGACCACGGCATCGGCTTCTCTCTCTTGGTGGCTGGTAGCTCGGCTACTCCAGCTCGCTGGCCCCTGCGTGGCGCTCTTGGCGAGACCTTTATCCCAGCTGCCGAGGCCGCCGCAGCGGAGAACGCAAAGGAGAGCTTCACGGGCACGTTTGTCGCTGAAGGTGCAGAGGGTACCAACCTTACCATTACCTTCGACGAGGGCAAGCCTGGATTGGGCCTAGATTCCTTGTATTTCGAGGGTGTTGATATCCGCTCCCAAATTCTCGGATCACTTGAGCCCTTTCCCATGTCAGTTCGACTCTACCCGGCCGGTATCACTTCTTCAAAGTCCCTTTCCGCTCTGTATAAGAGCAAGGGCAAGATTTCCGTCAAGCACACGGCGGTCATCAGTCCCCTTCCACTAACGCCTCGGGCTGATGTCGAGGGTGGCAAGGGAGGTCTGTTTGACAATTCGCAGGCTTGGATGAGCATTGGACAATATGGATCTGGGGATGAGTTTGTGTTTAACCTTGTTGATGGAAAACTGGAGAGTGTGACGAGCATTGCTTTGAGAGATGCTGGTGTTGAAGGGGACCTGAAGCGAGTTGATTAGATTTGCACATTGTTCATCTGATTGATATAGAGTTTGCATTATTGATTTAGTGTACATATTCATGTAGGATCATCTCATTCAGGTTTAGTAGATTCAAGACTTTATGTGATGATCCACCCAACTTCCCATATAAGATAAATGGCGATGCTGCATGACTTGAGCATGGACTACTACATGAGGGCCAGTCTATGTTTTACTTAGGCGATAAGGCAAAACTTGAGTCATCTGAAAATAATATTAACTATGACCATTCTGCCACATTAATAACTACCGCGAGCTCAACCTCCCAGCCTGGGGCATGCAGGCTACATCCTTGCCATTGACACAAAGTCTTGGGATCACCCTAGTAAAAAGCCAGATCTAGTGATTAGTCAACTCGTATAAACTATACTACTGAGAAAACGGACCAAATGCAATACTAGATGCTTATGCAACGCATCTCCCTAGTAGCCCAGACTTTAATTAGGTAGTAGAGCAAACACAACACTGCCAAGTCCAAACGCAAGCCTGCTGATGCCTTAGGTCTCTGCTTCTGAAACGAGGCTGCCAAGCATTGGGCTTGACAATTCATCATGTGACTTAATATCGGCCGTGGCTGTTGGTTGGCTCACATACCCCTCGCTGTGTAACCAGCCTTTTGTTATTTTTTTCTTCACCATTTGCACTTTGTCGCGTCTTCATCTTTTCAAACTACGTCTCCTCTGAGTTTAGTATCGCCCAATCATCACTATTCAATTGGCTTCATTCTTAAATCATCTCTACAGATTATCCCAGGCCCTTTCTTTGCCTTCCCTCACCTCAGCGCCCCACCCATGCGTTCTCATCCTACACAATGCCTGACCCGGATCCAAAACCACCTCAACTCCAACAGTTCCGCGAGTTAAAGAGCCTAGTTTCCCTCTATGAGAAAGTGTTCGAAAAGCTGCTCCCCCCGGATGCCAGTTTTGAGAGGAGGTCTGGCGAGATTCGAACACGTATCGACGAAACATGGGCCCAACTGTCAACTGCTCGGCCTGAGGATGTCCCTAAGTTTCAGGAAAAGATTGTCGAGTTGAGCGGAAGTCTGAAAGAAATCGAACTCGGCCACAATAGACAAAAAGAGCGCTATGAGGCTCGGCTATGGAAGCATTACAATGCGCTACGCAATAGCGTCATGAAGGTTTTGGTGGCGCGGCCTGAAGCGACACCAGCAACTACTGCGAAGGATGGAGATCCTGTCATTCGAAAACCAACAAAGAAATTATCCCTTTCATCGAAGCCGTCGCTTTCTTCACCCGCCAAACCATCTAGCTCTTCTCGAACTCCGGCAACTCCTTCAGTTACTCGTCCAGTGGTAGGCTTGTTCCAAATACCAGAAGTAAATACGTACCTGACAGGTCTCTAGGGAAAACGAAAAAATCCATCGTCTAGTCTGCTTACACCCGAGCCAAAGCGTCACAAACCCGAAACGACCCCGCGCAGACATCCCCGTGGCAGTCATACCGATCAACAAGACTATCAATGCATCACTAGCCCAGAACCTGGCCAAGTGTACCTCGCCTTTTGGGAGAGTTCCAAACAATGGGTTCCGATTCTTCTCTTACCCATGACAGACCTCGAGCGTGTCGGCGTCTCAGGCTCTCTAGACAGCCTCGACTTGGCTGAGATACTCCCCATTTGCTACGACCAAGACAGTCTCACTGGAGAGCGCACGTGGCGGGATGGATACAAAGATGGCCAGACTCTTGTCACAGAGCGCGAATTCCCCGTTATCTACTTTGAGGGACGTGCGTTTCCGGAAAGGAGCCCTGTGGGATGGGTTGCTGCTAAGGACCTACGCAAGTTTGATGTCGACACTGCCGACAGTCATCTTGTTCCGCAGATTCGGATGGTTCGAAAGTTTCTGAAGGAACGTGCTGCTAATGTATCTTGCGATGGGGCAGAACAGACAAGTCACGAGAAAGATGTTTCAGATGGTATGTCCGATGAGCTGTTCTGGGTGTACTGTGGCCCTCCTAACATATTCAATTTCTAGACCAACCCCCGCAAGAAACTTCTACAGTCTTGAATCAAGATGAGCAGCCTCTCCAAGTTCCACCCGCTCCAGGAACAGTCGCAGCACCAGAGGCATCGACGAATGATGCACAGACTGCATCCGGTCCTACTCCAGAGTCTCAGCCAACGCCGCACACATCTGCGACTGGCGAGAAGTCGAGGCCTGATGCTACAACCGAAGCTCGGCCAAAAGAACAGTCACCAGGTGACACTCAGTCCAAGCCCACGGAAGCTCAGTCACTGCCATGGCAAAAAACACCTTTGCGAACCGCTCTCCTTGTCATGGCGGACTTGACACCTTCGCCTCGTGAGGCCACACCAGTCTCGGAATCGGAGCGACCCCAGGATACGCTCACAGCGATGGAACTGGACCCAACGCCTCAGGCATCAGCGGACAATGCGAAGCCTGCGCCAGAAGCTGTCATGGCACTTGACGAGCGGGCTCCGACAGACGAGTCACCTGGACGTACAATCAAGGTCGAGCCCGACTTGGACATCCCGCGCAACGTCGACGTTCTACGCGACATAGAGATCATCTCAATCGCGAGCACCGAACCTGAAGGTGAAGAAGAAGACGATGGAGAGACTTTAATTCCAGAGTCTACCGACGCCACACTTGAACCCCGGGGTCTTCCAGGTCCATCAAAGCAGCCAGGTGCTGGCCGTGATCGAGGCTCAACTCAGATCCGAGCTGACACTCGCGATCCCCCTCTTCCCCGGTCAAGCCCGCCGCCCATTCATTTCACGCCTTTGAACTCGTCGACCACTTCCACACCCTCAGGCACATCTACTTCCGTGCCGAAAACGTTTGCTCAACCGTCAATTCCCAGCTCAGAGGCTCATCATCGCGGGTCAACCAATCTGTCAAATTCAGACCAACATCTACGCAACTATGGCATTAAACGGGTCTCAGAACCTACGGGTACTCAATCAGCCAATAGTCCTCGCCTCCAAACACCCACGTCAGAAGGGCAAACAGCAAGCAAGGGGGTTGTACGCGGCACCAAGGGGCAACCCCCCAGGTCTCATCGCCGACCTCGACCTATGAACAACCGGGCCCCCCCTTGGATTATCCGCTAATGAATAGCCATGGCAAGTACTTTTATTTCTTGTTCAAGCCGCCGAAACGCAAGGGCTACATCAGGGCAGGTGGTTTTGTGCGTCGCATAACTCGGCACTGGGAAACAAATGAGGGTCATCGCCGCGGCGGTCGGTGGTACTTGGTGGCGAGTATTCTTTGGTCCGTTGGTTGAGACCCTCGAGCACTTGTCTGTAAAAAGTATCATCATTGAAGAAATTTGGAAAAGAAAAGTCTAGAAAGTAGAAGGTCAAAAGTTATGGAAGATTCATGACGGAGAGAAGGGAACAGCTGGAGAAGATGGAATGGGGAACCGATTCTTGTGAGTTTTGTGTCATGTTTGGGAGGCATCTGTCAGTCAAGACGCTTGGTTCTAGCCATGGGGACATTTAGTCCATAACTTTAATAAGAAAATTCTATTAAAAATTATTTCTAATATTCAGTGAGGGGTGAATTGGTTTCCATGAACAACATCTGTTCCTGATGAGATGATTATGCGTGTAGCTTGACGCCTGTGAAGACAATCCTGACCAACAGGCCCTATACAACATGTTTGACTTTAATCCTTTTCGCATCATTCAGTCCAAGAACCATCCAGGCAATAAGCTGTCCAAGTTCAATCCGAGGTATGTTTCCAAATCTATCACGGACCCATCTGGGTTGGTTGGTACCATGCGAGGAGTTGGATCAAGAGCATGAAACAGGGAAGTCAACAAGTCTGCCGCTTGTCTCGCCTCGCTTGATCGATGTTTTGATCGAAGCCAAAGCTCGTGAGTCTGTCTTAGTGTTGACAGGATCCGCACTTCCATGTCTGTTCCTGCTTGAACCAGTGGATGAGGCCCCAGTGTCGAGAACAGGGCCTTGGAGAGAACCACCGTCGCTAAAAGAAACTCGTGGGCCAGAGTCGATGAAAGCTTCCACCTCACTGGCCACAGCGGTCCTCCTGGTTGTGCCTCCTGGTCGAGCAAACCACGATACTCCAGAAGTTTGAGAGCTGCATTCAGCAGAATGTTGAGAGAACTATCCGGCCGAGTAAAGTCGTCTTCTTGGGGTGGCGTCGCCATACAGCGAAGATGCACAAGCATTTCTGCTTGATGCAACTGAATAGCCAAAATATATCGATGCAGGATGGTTCGGTGATGGTCATTAGGTCCACTAGAGCCAAGCTTGAGGACCGAGGGAAGGGAATCGTAAGTGGCTTTGAGTAATCCGGCAGCTCCCGCGGCCTTGACAGGGTCGTACTGAGTCGCGTTTATGATGTCGGCCATGACGCCCAACACTTTTGCCATCCTGTACCTCGCAATGATGAAGAAGACGGGTGTCTGGTGATCGTCGCCTCTGGGTGGCGGTAGTTCGGTGGTGTCCTCGTCAAAGTCCTCGTCGGCGAGATTCAAGGGATCACGAGTGTCCCATTGACCCTCTTGGACCATTTTCGGTACTCCGATTTGCATCGATACCATGATATCTGAGATGTAGAGGGCTGCCCATACTCGTCTTCGGATTTCACACTCGATGGGACTCAGCTTCGGAAATTGTGCTGGATCCCGATGATATCCCATGCGCAATGCAAGACGTAGAATGACACCGAGGACAAGCCAAGTGTCAACTTCAGTGTCTGGCCGTCTTACGTGTTCGATGGTGAAGTAGTGTAGAAGTGTCTCGATAACGTACGGGCCTCCTCGACTGTAATCTGCCAGGGACAGACATTGGACCACTTGATCAATGTACTGGGGCCTTGCGGTGCGCGTCTGGGTGTTTTCAATGTCAGGCTCGGCCAACATGTTTGCTGGGCTGAAATGAGCTGATAGACACATCATGGAGTACAAGAGCCCCAGCCACATGATGGAAGCGCTATCGGGGTTGGACCAAAAGTTCTCATACTGCAATAATTGTTAGAAAGAAGCATCTTGTAGTGTCATCTCCATATCTCATCATACCTGTCGGAAAAAGGTTGGTGTATGAAGACATGCGATATCTGAATCGTCACCCTGTCAGTAACCCAGAAAATTGGAGACTGGATGAGTTCGATACGTACGTGGCATCATGTCGAGATCAGTGCAATACTCAGAAACCAAACGGTCTACCACAGGCCTAGGCGGCATGGCAGCAAGGACATCCTCCCTCGAAATGTTCCCTTGATGTCCAAAGAGAAGCGCAAGCTTCTCAACTGGATCCCTAGCAGGGCTGTCGTCAGAATGTGGTGATGGGTTATCGCTCTCTGATTGGACTTCATTCTTCATCTCAGAGATGCTGTCGAGAATGGCGACCCAGTGGGTACTGCTGACGTAGGATGGTGCACCGGTAGAAGTGTTCAAGTTGCCGGCCTTGAAGTTGGGTTGTGGGGACGGGCCTGTCTTGTTGAGGACTTGACATAACGAGTCCAGGCTCATATTGGACAATTGCTCAGTGTTGTCGGGTAGCGAGGTTGGATGTGAGGCTGCGCTAGACTCCATCAGCGAGATTATTTGGTGCTCGAGACTGTCCAGTCTCTTTCGAATCCCAGTTGAACTCTCAGCCCTTGGTCGAGACACGCCAGCCCTCTTGGGCGGTCTCGTAGGTGGATAGGTACATGTTGCAGCAATATCACGCTTCACACAAGTGCTGCACGGTAATTGCCGGTCACATTTGGCCCTGCTCAATGTCAGACCTTCGAAAATGAAGAATCGGAACATGGATGGGTCAGTGGATGCTGCTTACTTTCTCACTCTACAGGCATTGCATGAGAGCTGGGGTTTATCTCTCCGCCTGTTCGGAGGTGGACGCCGACCCGAGTCTGGGGACGATGACGGATGGTCCATTATCTCCGGAAGATACGTTTTTGTCTTTTTTTGAGGAGTGTTTGTATCAAGTTGAATTTAACTCTTTTCCATGTGTTGATGGGATGGAGCGGGATTTTGTCATGTCCGCCACTGTCCGATCCTCCGATCCTCCGACCGTCCGACCGTCCGACCCCGTGACCCCGATCCGGTCCCGCGGAGGATAGAGCGGAATCTTATTGGTGGTGGAATATATCACCAACGAACAAAGATGATCTGATAATATTGTGTATTAATTGATCCAACATGTATTTATGCTTCTGGCGAGATATTGGGAAGCTTATGGAACGATGACTTCGGTGAATAACGGACGAATGCGTCCCGAAAGACGGACATAAAAAACACCACTAATGATCCAGCTGATTGTCTCTGGTATCAGAAATCCTGTGTGGGCTTCGGTGTGCTTGTTTTTGCACCCTTTGAATTCGTGACTAAATGATTCTCGTGACATGGGGTTAAACAAGGTAGAAGGGTTCATTCGATCAACTGCGGGATACAGCAACCAGCTTTGGAATAGAAGTGACCATAAAATAGAGCGATTTTGATAAGTTGCCATGAATGTTTGCACCTTTTGAGGCATTATACAAACCCAAATAGAGTTGCTCCAACTTTCCTAGCCGTCTCAGAGACAGTCTGAGTGCCTAGGCACCACTCCTTGTCGTAAGCAGTGAGCGAAGAGGCAGCAACTCCTACAGCGGGAGTGCTACACTAGGCATTGTAATAGGTACGCCCGATCATTCAATCATTCACCCATTTCCCAATAACCCAACGTCGTATTAACCTCGGAGATAATGTGGATGCGACGGCTCAGAAATCTATTCCCGAGGCCCCTTTCTTAATAATCTCCGACTCCGCAAACTAAACTGTCTAGGGTTTTCCCGAGGCGCGCTTGCTTGAGCCCTATTCCACCATCAATCATCAAACCAACAAACAGTTTATCGCGATGGGGTTGTCGCCGCCAGACCTAGCCAATCGGGGTGCTGCGTCTTCTGTGGACGCACAGGACGGATGTGACCAGATCACCCAGCAGAAGGCCTCAATTGAGGCTGCCACCAACGGCAACTCACCGCTAGAGTCTCACTTTGAGGGGGCCTTGGCATTTGGGATGCAGGATGTGTTGGACACTGCTGCGGGTATGTTAGAATGTGCATCTCACTGTCATACGCTTACAGGCTTTACAGACCACTTGAGTCCACCTATTCCGGGACCGGATTGCGACATTTTCACGTTCAAGGATGACAACATAATACCCTCAACTCTACCAACAGACCTCACACGACCTTATTTGCTCGTAAACATTGGCTCTGGAGTATCATTCTTTCAAGTCTTTGACAATCGCCGATGTGAGCGCATCACGGGTTCGTCATTTGGAGGTTCTGCCCTCTGTGGACTTTTGTTGCTTCTCACAAAAGCCCGCACCTTTGATGAGATGCTTGAACTTGCGGACAAGGGCGATAACTCTAATGTCGATAAGCTGATTGGAGACATATATGGTGTGGATTATACTCGGATTGGCATGAAAATGACTGCTGTTGCATCGACATTTTGCAAAGCATTCAGCAAAGAGCCCCGATCACAGTATCACCTCTCCAGAATAGCAGAAAACGACGCATCACAAACAAGCAAACCACCCTTTTCGGACGCCGATATTTGTCATTCGCTTGTTTTCGCATTGTTCAACAACGTTGGACAACTTGCGACACTGCAATCACGGGTACACGACAATGCCGACATTTACTTTACGGGTCCTTACGTTCGAGGGCACCCTCTCATCATCAGGACGCTTTGTATCGCGGTTCGGTACTATTCTGGAGGAGAAAAGCGAGCGCATGTTGTTAGCGATCCGAGTTTCACAAATGAAATGCATGAAACGTCTTGAGCGGGATGCCTTTTACCGATATACCCTCTATCGATTGAGATAGATAGAAACATATGGAACACAATAGACTACTATGCCAACGGCAAAAGTAAAAGATACCTTCTGCTATTTTCAGAGGCATTTGGGCCTTATAATGCTGCTCAACAAAACATCATATCATGGCCCCTCAGATCAACCAGACTATCACCAATAATCAAGCCACCAAAATCACCCCCATCTCCAAACACGGCAAGATGATCTCCAATGTCTTAGAAAAACACGCTATGACGTCCAACGACCGACGATGCCACCACCTCTTTCCATTCCAACCCAACACCAACACATCGCACTAGCAGGAGGAAAAGGTCCGCATTGGGTGTTGGTTACGTTCCAGCTACACAACAACGGGCTGTGGCTTTCGACGGGAGGGTAGGGTGACCCTCCACTTCGTCTTAATATAGATTAGCTTTTGGGGTCTGGGGAGGACGCGCAGCTGCAGATGGACGAGATGGGAATGGAGTGTAACGTCTGTGGTTCAGATACCTGGTCGGTTCTTGAGGCTCCCTGGTGATAACTGGTATGATAACCTCCTCGCCGGCACCTACAATATGCGCCTATGCAAATCTCTGTCCAACTCTGCAAAGACCATCTTCAGCTGTGCAGTTTGAGCATCATCTCACCGCAGCAAGTTGTGTTTATCACTTCACTAGACAATGGAAAAGTGCACTTGATGTCATAGCGAAGAGTGCCCAGTAGCCTACCACAGGTGTCACCATGGCCCGTTGGACGCAAACAAACAGCCAATGTGCGCGTCATTTTCAAGCCCAGCACATCAGCCAAGAGACGACCAAATCTCAAGTTTGTCTCAAGCCACTTTAGGTAGCTTGATAGCTCCCCCAGACTTTTCTTGACCCCAGAAGTTGAATTTCCCTGCTTTTCTCCTTCATGCGCACAGCAACACCATCTTTCTTTTGAAACGGATTTTCAGGTTCGACACTAGGCACGGACAGCAAGGGTCCAGCTTCTCACAAACAAAATGGCAACATCAGACGAAGCCGGCGTTTTAGACGGTCCACACCATCAACAGTACCAACTCAGTCCAGTCGGCCGTCACCTCGTCGCAGCATCTGGCGAGTTTGTGGGGACATTCTTCTTCCTCTACTTTGGCTATGCAGGGAATCTCATGGCTGCTCTCCAAGCGCCAGATACGGCGCCTAATGGAGGATTGGCCAGCACCACTGATATCTGGATCGCCGTGTCGTACGGGTTTTCGCTTTTGGTAAATGCGTGGGCGTTTTATCGCATCAGTGGCGGTTTGTTCAACCCAGCTGTAGGCAGCCCCTTTCCTAATCTGGTCTATACGCAAACTCATATTCTTTATATAGGTTTCTTTGGGTTTATGTGTTGGGGGCCAATTGTCATGGACGCGCGCAGCCTTTCTTTTCCCTGCACAGGTTCTTGGATCTATTTGTGCTGGTGGCCTTGTTGATGCCATGTTTCCTGGACGAGTGGAACAGGCCAACACTCTTCTTGGACTCAACACATCTATCGCACAAGGTGTATTCCTCGAAATGTTCTTCACGGCGCAGTTGGTATTTGTCGTTCTGATGTTGGCGGCTGAAAAGTCACGCGACACGTTCCTTGCACCCGTCGGCATCGGACTTGCACTCTTTGTAGCTCTTATCCCCGGTGAGTAATCCCTAGTCTTATTCCGGCAACATGCCCGAGTACTAACACTTTCTGACAGGCGTTTCCGTTACGGGTGGCTCTGCAAACCCGGTGCGCAGCTTCGGATGCGCAGTCGCAGGCGCAAGCTTCCCCGGGTATCACTGGATTTACTGGGTAGGACCGGCTCTCGGCGCGACCCTTGCTGCTTTGTATTATCGGCTTGTCAAGCGGTTGCATTATGAGGAGGCGAACCCCGGACAGGACAGTCCTCATGAGGTGTAGTAAGCGGACGGTCGGCATTGAAGAGAATCCTACCCTACAGTAACGGCGATGCCGGTGTTCTCAGGATAATGAGGACAGCAAGGGATAATTATTTTCAGGTAATGAATGGAATCATTTTGATGATTCGATAAGCGAGTTATAATAGTATGGCATTAAGCATGAATTGTCAGAGCATGGCCGGCAGTGTAAATACTTTGTTTTAAGCGCTTATGAAACATCAAACAAAGCTCTCACAAAAGGTGTCACCAATCGCTCGCGTGGGAACAAAAAAATAGCTCTAAAACAATGTCAGTTTAGCATAATCTGAAACATTCTAAATGTCAATCTATCTTATCAAACGCAGGATTCATGCAAGCAAACGGAAGTGATGCTATCCGCGACGATTCACTAGCCACTACTCAAGAATGCAGAATGTGGCTAAGGCTGCAGCAAAATTCTATTAAAAGCACTCTCCTCTCCCATGAACCCTGCGATTTAGACTTGTTTTAGTCAGGCATTACTTGGTGATATTAAGATTACGTGGCTTGGCTTCAATGTCAGGCGCGATGGATCCCAGCCACTTTGGAATCAAAAGCTGTCATACCCCAGATGCACATGGGTTTTGTTCGACAATCTCGCAAATCCATCACCAAAGATCTTTTTATTTCCTTTTCACCGACTTGAAATGCGGGTTGGAGCTGTCATTGTAACATTGCAGAGTCAGCAGATAATTTCGGGGACCTCACTTTGGACCGTAAGCTGCATCACCAAGTTGGGGTCCATGGCATCCCATTGCAGGTTAATGCTTAGTAGTAAAAACAAAACAAGGCTAGCCCTAATCTCGCAGAAACAGATCAATAGCCGACCAGCAAATGGTCTCCGCGGCCATCAGCCCCAGCCGATCCTTCGAAAGGGCCCCCAGCCTCCAAAGAGGCGGAGCAAGCTGGAAATAAACGGTCAGCTATGCCAAGATTCACTCTCATTGGTTACCCTTCCGGAACTCGGCTGCCAACGCACAGAGATTCCAACTCAGCCCTGCTAAGTCCGACAAGGGATTGTAGTTGGGAATAACATTGTCATGTGCGGGACTGGCAGTACCGATGCAGTCAGATTCTTGTGATGTTAGCGCTGACGGGTTGAGGCCCAAGAACTTTTTTGCGAGACTAAGGATATCACAGCTTCTAGCGAGGTCAGAGTCCGAGGTTCAAGTGCTTATAAGAAGAACATGACGGACTAACAACAACACCATCATCACTCACCACACTCTTCTACACCATCAACAACAACACTAATCAACTCAACAAACTTCTCACTCGACAATTTCTAATCACTTCCAAACTCTAACCCCCACACCAAATCACTCAAAATGCAGTTCATGAGCATGCTCCTCCTCGCCGGCACGGCCCTCGCCGCCCCCGCAGCCAAGTCAGTCGCCGAACGAGCAAACGACAGCATCGACAACGTTCTCCCTCCCATCGTCCCCATCAACACCCGCTCCGGCGACAGGGACCTCATCGCAAAGCTCATCACTGCCCCCACCCAGGTCGAGCGTGCCAAGCTCCTTGACCAGCCTGGCGACTACGTCTTTGACTTTGAGGCCGCTACCGGATCTGGAGAGTCCAAGGGAAAGGGTGGCCGTTCCACCTCTGCTACTGCTCTCACTATGCCTGCTCTTATTGGCAACGGTGCTTCCATGACTGTCGCTTTCCTTGGACCCTGCGGCATGAACACCGCTCACGTCCACAACCGAGCCACCGAGCTCAACATCATCGTCAAGGGACGTCTCGTGACCAACTTTGTCATCGAGAACGGTGCCAAACCTATCCAGAACACTATGGACACCTGGCAAATGTCCGTCTTCCCCAAGGGAGCCATCCACCAAGAGTTCAACCCCGACTGCGAAGATGCCGTCTTCGTCGCCGGTTTCAACGACCCCGACCCCGGTGTGAACCAGATTGCCCAGAACTTCTTCAGCCTGAACGGCGATGTTGTCTCGGCTACCCTCGGTGGAGTTCAGACCATCGACGGCAAGGACATTGAGAGCTTCCGTGAGGTGATTCCCGCCAACATTGCTCTCGGCATTGATGCTTGCCTGAACAAGTGCGGTATCAAGAGGAACGCTAAGCGCTCCATCTCGGAGATTCTTGCCTAATTTTTCGGTTTCTTTCTTTTGAAAACGGTTCGGTTGGGTTATGGGCATGCATGGTATGGTTTAGATTGATGATGGATGACGGGTGGGATGAGGGAACGAGTACATGGCATATTTACCTTCTTGTACATATTCTGCACATATTCTTGTTTCATATCAGTTATCTATAGACTGTATATAAGTTTTATCATTTTCATTCATCAGGTACATTATAGAACACCACTTCGGTTGCTTTATACAAAATGCTGAAACCTGACCCGCGACGCGCCTATTTGGAGATTACATCGAGTGCACACATAACAGTGACAACGGCATCGAGGGGACGCGAATACGGACTGCTAAATGTGCTTTTGACGCATAATCTATTCTTTACTTGCTAATGGGGCTGCTGCGATGAGGTGGCATTGGACATCGGGTTGAATGTGGTTTTGACAGATACCCGATAGACTGGCGAGTGAAACATCCCCGCGATTACTCCCCATCGTAAGAGTGCACTCGACTGCGAGCTTGCAATGATTCCATGCCTTGTCAGCTCGGGTACCATAAGCGACCCCTGGCCACCAGGTTTACTTGCAGGCGGGAGCGATTGGGGCAATGTCAAACGGTCTGTCTCTTTACTCAGCCTCGAGCACATGCTCATTCCTAATTGGCGCTGCTATGCGAATAATTGCCAGCCGAGGTGCCCTGCTCTGAATTGCAGATGGCTAGCTTGACGCACTTGACTGGCTTCGGCTGTGGCTAGAGGCCAAGGGCTGACGTGAGGTTGGAAATTGGAGAGGTCTGGATGACGGCCAGTCCACTGTCTTGGAAGCCTCCATCCAGAATAACGTTAGTCTGGACGCTTAAAACAAGGGTCTTACAGGGCTGTTGGCGAGTAAAGAACTTTGGTATGGGCGGCTAGACGTTGGACAGTGACCAATAAACCATGCCAGGTTCTTTGTGTGGAAATATGACACAAAGTCCATGACACAAAGTCCGATGACTCCCACGCGAGTCTGACTCGACGAGACATTTATTTCGAGTCAAATCTCATGGGAATGCTCGGCTTCTTTACAGTTTGCCGTTGTTATCTACGTCGAGAGAATGACTCAATCGGTGATTTGTCAGATCACGCCAGCGTAATCTAGCTTAGAAATGTACATTCCCAATTCGAATCATTTTTCCGGCACACGCGATCCCTGTCGGCTTATCAAGCACCACTGACATGGAACACCGAGGAAACCGAAGACCGAGCACGCAACGCAATACAAGCTCGTGTTGAAGAGTTGGATGATAAATGTGGTGTTTTGAATAGCTGTATAAAGATGATTGTTGCCTTGACTCCTGAATCCCATCAACAAGTTCCATATCGCAAACTACACACTGCTTCATTTTACTACCATACCGATAGACATCGCTCAAGTGCTGACCTTGTCACATCGACACTAATCCAAATGCGACACACAATTAAACCCCAGCCCTTGGAGGGCAATGGTGAGCCTGCCCAGCCGCGAGTGCCAGGATCTTGCTGACAGGCGTTGTTATAGGCGCGCGATCTCATCAAACGAAAAGCCTCAAATCGACCTCGCGTAAACATGCTGGGTCTTCTAGGCAGTTGGACCAGCTTTCTCGGCTTTACGATGACGCTATGGATCTTTTCAACCAATCTGCTCTTGCAGCTTCTTTTGAAGATATGCTCAATGTGAAGAACCGCCCACGGATCACGAGACTCGTGTCTCTTGGTCTTGGCAGTCTCTTGGACTCGAAAGACCAACAACGCCGAATTAAGCAACTTGTTATCTTTATGGCTATCGCATCTCATCTCACAATACCAATGACCGAGAAGGGTCCGCTCACGTTATACGCCCAAGATCCCACTTTTACAGCCATAGACGAAGCTTTCCTCAACGGTCTTGGCATTACTGTGCTCAGGACGCCATCTTCATCAGATTTGGGTGATGCAGGGCAAATGATCAATGAGGAGACCCTTGTATACAGCCCTTTTTTGACCATCGCCACATACAAGTTGTTGTTCTCTCAATCATTACACACATCAACACAATCTTCAGGATCACCAAAGATTCCGATCCTCGTCAGCGACGACTTTAACGCCTTGAAGCTCAAGTGGGATAAACGGACTAGCGAGCATCGAGATGTGGAGACCTTGATAAAGGGAGCAAAAGCCGGCAACTATCGTCGTCGCGCAGTTAATGGGGATGGTTTCTGGGCCGAGTCAGATCGACCGTTCCCTCTGGCGATATACTGGAGGCAAGCAGCTGCTCAGCAGAAACGACGTGTAGAACGGGAGTCTTGCGCTTCGGCGATGAACTTCACACGGGAAAGCCAGGCCATGTCTATTCAAGTATAGATGACATGTTTGAAGAAGAGAAGGCATTCATTTCGGGACATAATAGAGGATATCTATAGAAGTGAGCGATGTAGCGGGGCGTTACCGGGCAAAAATCGAAGATTATACATGATATATTTACTTCTACTTCACTGCATTCCTCCCTCGCAAGCTTTACATCATATCGTGTAGTCACCTGCTACGCTCACTCTGGTATCTCGTATTAACTACATCCCATATCCAGCTCCTGGCTGTGCCTCATTAGAGCATCGACCAGCTGCATCCGAGTCCAGCAACACCGCCCTACCATGGTGAAAATAACACCCCCAATAGCCCCCAATACTCCTCAATAGGAAAACTTGGGTCGTAACTTGGCATTCTCTGGAGACTAGTGGTAGAACTCACATGGCCGAGCATTTTGCCGACTGGGACAAGTCAATCTCTTGAGTATCGCCTCTTGCTGACTTGAGCAGAGACTGAACAGTATCTCCGCTCCAAGCACGGTCTGAGGTTTTCCGTTCTGTTTCTGCGCTCTTGAGGGCAACGCCAAGCGGGAGATTGCCATCGGCATCACGCTTGGCCGCATCCGCTCCATGCTCGAGTAAGTGCTTGACCGATAATGTTGAATTCATCCTGCTGGCAAGATGAAGCGGAGTTCCGTTGTGTTCATGAAGGTAGTTGGGGTCGGCCCCGTGCTGGAGCAAAATGGCAACAAGGTCTGGTCGGCTGGTTGCGACAGCAATGAGGAGGACATGTCCGAAATGGCCACCGATCTCATTGACGGTTGCACCCTTTTCAACAAGTTTGACAACTGTCTTTTTGCTTCCAATTAGACAGGCTAAATGAAGAGGCGATCCTTCTGCCCTCTTTGCCACCGAGACAGGGCTTGCACCGTTGTCCAGTAGCATGGCCGCAACCAGCTCACATTGATGGAAGCTAGGAAACGGAATGGTAGGAGGATTGCTGCCGATGTCTTGAGGCCACTTGGATAATCTTCGGCGCTTCCGGGCCGTCGTTCCCCTTGGATTTTGCCATACTGGCCCTGAATTCGAGAGGTCGAATCGCGGTGCTGCACATGCCTCCAAGGCTGCTTGGAGTGGTGTTTTACCCTCGTGGGTGGTTACGTTCATGTCAGCTCCATGTTGGATCAAGGTATTGACCACAGATGATTGCAGATGAGCAGCTGCAAGGTGAAGCGGATAGTCACCATTGCCATCAGCCTCGTTGGGGTTCACACCATGCCGCAAAATCCGCTTCACAGCTTGATCAGCCCCCACAGAGCAGGCTTGACGTAATCTCAAGGCCGACGTAGGGAGGTAGTCAAGTATAAGGTCAATGCCTCTGCTGTTGCCTTCCTTGATAGCTTCGGAGAGAGCTTCCTCGATGATGGGTTCAGGATCTGGAGTCTCCATCAACGCCTCGAGAAGGGCCTCGACGATCCGAATGTCCTTCACTTCCCTACGATATGGCTTTTTGAGAACCACAACGAAAGGATTGCCCCAGGGCCCTTGCTTAATGTCGACTCTTGCTCCGGCTGCAAGCAAGTCTTGGACTATTCCCAGGTGGTTATGCTCAGCTGCCTCTATGAGAGCGGTGCCGATGTTAGCCCCGTGCTTGAGCAAGAGCCGCACCAGTGATTGATCCTCTACGTCGACTGCAAGAGAGAGGGGGCTTCTGCAACCTCTATCTGTCTGATTCACTTCGGCGCCACGTTCAAGAAGAAACTTGGTAACATCCCGGTTCTTCTTGGAGATGGCTGCACAGAGCGGACTCGCATGCGCGTCATCGAGACTGCTGCGATTGTCTCTACTTCTGCCCTCCACGTTGACATCAGCACCGGATTCGATCAGAGTCTTTGCAATCTCTAGGTTTCCTCGCAGAGCAGTAATGATGAGCGGCGGCTGGTCCCTGCCCACACTGTCTGACTCGTCGTCGGATGGAACAGCTCCAGCCTCGAGAAGGGCGTTGACTATGCCAACCTTGTTTGTCCTGACGGCCAGCTGTAAGCAGGAAGATTTTATATCTCCATGATTCTCGGTTTCGAACGTTGATCCTGACTTGAAGTCTGCACCATTGTGAAGAAGCGTGCGAACGACATCTTCGTGGCCACCCACAATTGCGGCACGTAGCGCCGTCTCCCACTGCCCTCTGAGGGCATTGACTTGGGCGCCTGCACTAAGCAGTTGGAAGATTATATCATTGTGTCCACAACGTGCTGCGGCCTGCAGAGCTGTTCCGTAGTAGTGTCCTGCAGCATTGACATCGACGCCTCGTGACAGAAGCGTAGCGACCAGTTCGTGATGGTTCAGAAAGGCTGCCATTTGCAGTACATGTACGCATCTCTCGTCAGAAGCTGTCCACTGGGGATAGAGCGCCATCAAGATAGAAACGGCTGCTCCAGGTCCATGCTTGAACACCTCTTGCAAGGTTTGATTGACCTGAAAGCCGCGGCCATGAGAAGAGCACCCATCCTCTTGGGGGGAGGGATTATCTTGGGGATATGGCTCAAAGTAGTACAGCGCCTTTTCAAATAACTTTTGAATGGCGGCTTCTTCGCCAGGGAACTTGGCTCCAGAATCAATGAGCACTTTCAGTACTTCCCCACTTGACACCTCTCGGCCTGCTGCCTTGAAGATGGCCTCTTCTCCCACAGCCAGGTTAGCATCGGCGCCAGCTTCGATCAACTGCTTCACCACTGAAGGAGGGCAAAACTCTGCCGCTACTTGGATAGGATACATCTGCTGACCCCCAAGTTCATTTGGGTTGGCCCCCAAGTCCAACAGCACTTTGACAATCTGATCAGGGTCGGAATGAGGGTTGATGTTACGCTGCATGGAGCCATTCCTCGTATAACCACAGTTTGCTTCTGTGAAGCCTCGAAGAGCGGCTTGAAGAGGCGATATGATAGGGAGAGAAGATCCGGTATTCTTGGGACTTGATCGAGAAGGACCCCAGATATCCACTTCGAACGGAAACTCTGATAGAAGACCAACCAGAGAATCGCAAGCAAGCTCGTTGATATTTGCCGACGCGTTTCGGACCAAGTACTGAGCAACCCGACTGTATCCTCTTTCGCAGGCATTGACTAACGCTCCGCCAATGGTCATCGCGTTGAACGGCGTTGTCTCATGTGATGAGATGAGCAACTTGACGATATCGAGTTGCCCATTCGCTGCTGCCCCGACCAAGCAACTGTCTGAGACTTTGGACATGTCGTGGAGGTAGTCAGAGTCAAGGAGAAACTCGAAAAGAGATTTGAAGAGCGAATAATGGCCACACATGGCATATAGGTGAAGTGCTTCTGTCAGTTGTTCTGGCTTGAGTTGACCAATATGTCTTGAGCCGATGATGGTCAACAGTTCATCCAGCTTCCCATGGGTACAGGCGGACCTCAGATCCTGAGCCACCGACCCTGGGGGCAAATCATCGCTTGCCTCGTATCTTTGAGCCATAGTGAGCGTCTCCACCTTGAACTTGTCCAGTTCGACAGGAGTGCAGTATTGGCCTACAACAGAAAAGACTTGCTTCGCCACTGAAGAATCTCGAATCTTTGATTGACGCGCAGCGCTAAAAAGAGACTCGAGGCATTCAGTAATGGGTATCCTGGTAGCTAGATGCTTTAGAAGAAGATTGAGAATCGAGAAATGGCCATGTTCCACTGCGACTACAGTAGCTTTCTCGACTGGGTTGTTGCCAAGATCTAAAGCATCTGCCAGGCTGAGAATCAGATCAACCACACTGTCATGTCCTGACCGGACTGCGGAATCAAGGGCGTTGGTGTACTTGAAGAACCCCCTCTTCTGATCCTTCATCGAACTCTGTTTCCGAGTCCAGGGATGCTGATCGGCCTCAAAGATGGCATCGAGGTTTGTGAGAGGCATTACCGCTTTCAAATCATCCTCCTCGTCCTCGCTCTCGTAATATTCGCCGTCTTCTCGAGCAACCCTCTTCGGAGATGCTTCACGTAGAAGGTCTCTGGACCTGGACAGGGCCGGCCATTGTTCTTTCCCACGCAGCCTATCGCGTGGCCGAGGCGGGAAGCCTCTTGTAAGCAAGAGTAGCACAATATCAGGGTGGCCTCCCTCTATTGCGGCATGAAGTGCGTCCTTTGTATAGCCTCCGATAGAATCGTCTGCCCCTGCGTCAAGGAGAAGCTGTACAGTGTCCAAGTGACCATTGAATGCAGCAGCCTGCAAAATGGAACCATGCACTCCTCCTCCTCGGAAAAAGCTCGCTCCTGACTCAAGGAGCATTTTAACAATGCTTGTGTGTCCTTTCATTGCTGCAATGTCTAGGGCGCTTCCAAAAGTTCCCTTTGCATTGACGTCTGCGCCGAGTTGGATAAGTACCAGGACAATGGCTTGACGGTTGAGCAAGCTTGCCGTGACCAACGGTGAACCGAATTGGCCTTCGGTTTCGATACTCATGCCCTTGCCTAGGAGATATCTGACCATCGCCAGGTCACTATACAGGGCAGCCACTGCTACGGCGTCTGCTGGGAGGAGATTGGAAGCGAAGGGCGATGCCCTGAGACACCAGGTGAGTGCTCCAATGTGGCCACCCTCTATGGCTTTCCGAGCCATTGAGGTGACCTTCTCTTTGTTTTCCTTGGAGGAAAGCTGATGACAAAAATTGGAATGTTCAAGTTGTTTAAGGTCAGCCACAGAGCCAGTTTCTGTCGCTTCCAGGACAGCTAGTTCGTATTCGGCCAATGTCTGGAACGGTTCATCGCTTTGAGCAAGACGAACAGCAATATTTTCCGGGCCATTGGGTGTTTGAGCTCGAGATTCATTGTCAAAGGCGTGTCCTTCCAGTGAGAATGTTTCCGCTTTGTCCTTTCCTTCTATGCAGCCCGTAAAACACATGACATTGGAAGAAACGCCGCCTTCAGTTTGAGTTGAATGAAAACTGTGAGAGTCAAGGTGGTCTCGAGCTAGCGTGGAGGAGACGTTGACGTCGTCACTGCAAGAGACGAGTATCTTTGCTACGCTGCCTGCATTGACAGCAATTTCCTTCAAGGCTTCCATCAGATTGTGACCATCAACCTCCTTGACCTTGTCGATGGCGCTAATGACAACTGTCAAGGGATCTTGCTCGGCTAGTTCAAGAATGAGCTGCACACACTCGTGGCTGTCGGGCTTGGAGAGATGTTGCCCTCTCACTCTCGCTAGAGCCGATCGGCGTTCAAAGTCGGCCCACAAGAGTTCGCGGATCTTTGTTTCGTCATTCCTGTGCGTCAGTAATTGTGATAGGATAGTGCGCATAATGACATCTGAAGAGGAAGCCTCGTGTCCAAATGGCGTCTCGGCACAGCAGATGTGGGCAAACGGAGCCGGAGATGTGGTCTTTCGGGCGGCGTCCGACAATTCGTCAACCGCCGCAGAGCACCAATCATTAGGGGCTTGAATGAATAGCAGGCAAGGTGAGCTGGAGAGGTGCCATGACTGGAACTGTGGGCTACCCAGCAGCGGGTTGAATGTTGATGAATCTCTAACGGGCTGGTTGAGTGGCAGAGGGGCAAGCCACGAGTTCAATCTCTCCTGGTTGTCCGCAGCCAAAGTCTTCCAGTATACCAGAGACGAGGGAGACGATCGAACGAAAGTTGGCTCTGGGAATCGTGATGCTTGGGCTTCGTTAAGTTGAGCAAGATTTGGTATGTCTCTTGCTTGCCTCATGATTGCTTCCATGCTCACCGAGTTCTGCCCAGGACGAAAATCGCTTTCCTCCATAGTGTCTGCTATGATGGGGTCAGGATCACAAATGACAGAGTAAAAGTGTGATGGAAGCACTTGTACAACATACCGAGGATATTTTCTCTGTAGAAGCGGATCATTCTCCCAAGATGCGTAAGAATTTCGGCATACAGGTGTGTCAATGCCATTGCCAAATTGTCTCGCGTAGAAGAGCTTTGTTGATGAAGGATCTGGCGTTCGACTTGGATGCATTTGGCCATTACGCAGGCAATTTGTTCCTGCCGCAGTCGGTTAAAGCTTTTGTCTGAAGAGTCTGAAGTGTATCTTACCAACTCGCTGATCACAAGACCATATTCTTGGGCATTCCCAATCAGTTTCCGAAGGAGGTATCGAATAGCGGCCCAAGGGAAGAAGGCGTTGATGGGGTCAGATGGTAACCCATTTTGGCTTTCTTGCTCGAACTGTTTGATAGAGAAAGCCATCTTCTGGAACAGGTCGCAAGTAATGAGCTCATTTCCATCAACATCTCTGAATCTCGACCTTGTTCGGGTGCAGACTTGTTCCGATTCATGGGCTGTTTGCATCACAGCTGACTTGATACGAATACGCTGTTAACCTTTCCGACCATCAGAACACCTCCAGGAGGCACATACGAGGATATCCCTCTTTTGCGTTCTCGCGGTTGTTTTTAGCACAATCTTCAACTGCTCATCCCTAATCTGAGTGAGAGCCTTCTCCCACAGGTTCCCGGCAGAGGTGGAGGGATTTGGCGTCGGATCCATGGTCGCTTGCGCTACAGGCGGTGATTAAAAGTGCCAGAGACAAGGGAAGAGGATGGTAAGTATGGTTGGTATGACCTGCGAGAGGTATATAATGGTACTGGCCAGCATGGCTCGATTTGCTTAGGCAGATGAACTGCGCCACGTCGGTTTCATGTAAAGCCGTTCTGTTGGCTGTTAGGCTGCTCATGATGGCTCATCCCTGGTTTCGATTGGCACAGTGCACAGGCATGTATGGTCCTCGTGCCATGGTGTGTTCCCGAGTCAGCCACCACGGCCACACTTAGCCACAGCAATGACAGCCGTCTGCCATGGTTGACAATTTAAAACGTCGGAGCGTTTTGTGTGTAACGGTGTATATCACTTCCTAATCTACCAGAGTTAGTAACCACGAGCTTACTCCGTGATAGACTAACCATTAATGGTAAGCAATCCCGCGGACTCCCGCGGCTTCTCCCTCTTCCACAGCAACGTCTCCTACTTTCCTCACCATTCTCATCAATTTGAATCGGACTCAAAAACCCCTGAAGACGCCGACTCTTAGCCATGAAGCGGACTAACGCGGGTGATCCGGTAATGGTCATCCACCGACCGGCCAGACCTGCACTCTCATGCCGCCCCTGTCGGGAAAAGAAGCGGCGCTGTGGTCGGAATAAGCCCTGCTCGAACTGCTCACAGAGGGATATTCCCTGTGTGTATGAAGAAAGACATCAATTCGTCCAGAGGCCTGTGGAGAACGCCCCGGCACAAGTTGGTATTGGCCCTACGCCTGCCGACTCGACCTCATCTAGCAGCCTTTCCATGGCACCCTCGGGGCACTCGGCCTTGTTTGTATTCTCCCCAGCCCTTATGTGCAGATGGCTGACAGCCTATGCAGCGACTATGCGAATGTTCTTGGCCGCTTACAGAAATTAGAAGAAGCTGTTTTCTCCACGCCAGGAAATATGCATGGGGGCGATTCTGCGAGTCACACTGCACAAAGTATGAGCTTGGTCTCATGTTTATTCCCCAATTTATGCTAATTAGAATCCCGGTGGCCAGATTACACTCCATTGTCCTCTCATAATGCCGACACGGTGCCATGCAGCTTTTTATCCCGCTCAGAGTACATTGCACAACTGGTCGCGCAACTCCCTCCCGCGGACCAGGCAAGGAAGTTATTCGACCATTTCGCATCCACTCTTCAGCCAAGTTTGTGCATCTTGCACATTCCCTCAGCTCGAGACATATTAGAAGGCACTTATCGGATCATTCATGGACGTCAAGGGGAGAGTAAGATTGAAGACTTGCTCCTGCTATTTAGCATCTTTGCTGGAGCAACACTGTCCTGGACCACACAACTTCTCCAAGATTTGAGCGCAACCAAGGATAACGCAAAGTATGCCTTTGAAACGTACACGCACTTGGCCACCACCATACTGGATGATAGAACTCAGCCTGTACCACCATCGACTACGGCCTTAGCAGCAACGGCAACGCTCGCACATATCGTCATCAACTCGGACGAACCGTTCCCTGCTAAAGCTTTGGCCCTTCGTCTTCGATGTCACTTGATGGCAAAATCCATGCTTCTGCATCGTCTCGACACGCCTTCAAGCACCAGAGAGAGAATACTCGAAGGTGCCAACGCGATAGAGGTCGAAGTTCAGCGACGAGTTTGGTGGAGTATGGTGGCCTCGGACTGGTAATGGCCTATCCCGATGCCATTTCTAGAACCACACTGACTGGTTGTATACAGGTTGAGTGCCTTCTCAGGAAGCTCCCACGAAGGAGTCTACACATTTATTCCAAGGCAAATGCGCGTCAACTATCCGAGCAACGTTGACGACGAAATGATCACGCCGTTTGATCCAATCCCCAACCTTCCTTTGTCGACGCCGACAGGAATGACTGTTTTTCTTCACCGGATTAAACTAGCTGATCTTTGCCGAGAGATTGTCGACACCATACCACCCATGATGGACGAATTCTTGGAAGCCGACTATGAAGTGATTCTAGGGTTGGATAAAAAGCTCAACGATATACTCACAAACCTCCCCGTCTTCTTCCGGCTGGATCCTGAAAGCATTCGACAGAGCCAGGATATCTGTCGAGAGCGCCCTTATATCACCTGGCAAAGAATCGTCCTCCATTTTGGCCTGCATGCCCGCATTTGTCGACTCCACAGGTCCTACCACCTTGAAGGGTGGTGGAACCCCAAGTATGCCTACTCACGCTCCGCAAGTGTACACTCGGCCCATCAAGTGTTGGAACTTCGACGCATGATGGATGGTCCAACCGCTGCGGGTGGCTTCAGGGCCGAGAGATTCTGGGTTGTTCTGCAGCACGTCACCATGGCTGCTGTCACTCTGGGAACAGATCTGTCGTTCAACCCCGACGCACCAGATGCCCAAGCTCGGAAGGAAAAGATCTTGGCGATATATAAGACATTGGAAGGGTCTGAGAAGGATACACATGGACTAATAAAAGGGATCAAGAAGAAGATGCAGCTGATCATGGCCACTCTCCAGCCTCAACAACGGCAATCAGGAAACTTGGTAGTAGGCACCGCCTCGTCGTCGATGGTACCCGAGCCACGGGACATAGAACAGGGCGTTGCTCCAGTTTATCCCTTTGGAAATGTAACGGGTAAACCCGAGTCACCCGGAGAAGAGCAGTTACACCAACTTTGGTCGGACTTCCTCGCTGCGGTGCCTGATTTGCAGGACTTTGAATGGACATCTCTTCTGAATGATTTGGACATGGACTTGGATCATGAACTTGAGTAGAATGGTAGTAAAATTACTTCTAATGCATGCCGAAGCACGGCATGTTGGGCCACAGAGAATGAATGGTAATGGCCGTTCAGCAGAATGCTCACGCTATCTGGGCGGTTGGGAGGTGGAACGCGATGCGCCTGTAGAGGCCCAAGGTATATGAGACTATTAAATGATAGAATGTAGAGTATAACGTATGAGATATGGAGGAAGAAAAATGTATCATGTCTTTAACCAAGTTCATGCCTGATATCTGGTGTTGTCTGTTAGCCGGTACGGCCGCTTTTTATTATCCGGGGCCGAATTTCCCACATAAATTCGGTGCCGCGTAAGCCGGACACCGGAGTGTTTTTTCGAAGTGCCACCCCGATGTAACATGTGAGTGCATCGAGCCGTTGCGGTTGCTGGGGAGGTCCGAGGTGTCCGGAGGCCGGAGTTTGAACCTCGGGGCTGATTACCTGATTTGGAAACGTAGGCCCGCGGACATCCGCGGGCTCTTCTCCGGTGTCCAACATATAATTCACTTGGCTTCCTACTCATGCCACTTCAAATCAACAGCAAAGAAACAATCAAGTTCTTCTTACTACCATCTAAAATTCAAGTCATGTTGCGAAAGACAAAGGTATGTTGCACCATCTTGTCCAACCACCTCCACTAACATGTCCCAGGCCATCATCATCGGTGGCGGACCCGCTGGTCTGGCAACCGCCCTTCGCCTACATCAAAAGACAAACATCCTCTGCACAGTCTATGAGATTCGACCAGAGCCGACAACTCTAGGCGGCGCCATTGGAATTCCGCCCAACGGCCTACGCCTGATGGATCGCTTGGGCGTGTCTGATGAACTCCACAAACATGGCAGCAGCCACTCTACCCTCTCAATGCATTCCATCGGTGGTAGCTTGCTGGGGCAGCAGGACCTGATCGGGCCGGCTCGAGACATTACTGGATTTGGCTATCTGCGCATCAAGCGGATGGATTTGCAAAAAGTCCTGACTGAAGCTGTCGAAAAGGCCGAGATCCCCATCCACTACGACAAACGAATCACCTCCATCAAGGATACAACAGATGGTGTTGAAGTTACTTTCTCGGACGGAACTGTCGATGCCGGTGATCTACTACTTGGGTGTGATGGCATTCACTCCGCTGTACGAAAACTCTACGTGGATCCGGAACAAGCACCCGAGTACACTGGAATGGCAGCCCTGGGAGCTCTTGTGCCAGCATCCAACTTCTCCGAGACGGCAAGATCTCAGATCAGAGGCATGAACATCACTTTCACAGAAGAGGGCATGATGCTGGCTATGGTGTGCACAGCCACGGATGACGAGTTTTTCTGGGGTTTCTCAAAAGAGGTTCCCCTGCCTGACTCGGGAGATGCGAGGGACGGATGGGAAGTCCGACGGAAGGAAGAGGTGGATGGTTTCAAGTCATCTCTTCTAGACACTTTGAAGAACGCAGGCGGAGAATGGGGAAATTTCATGAGGCAGCTTGTCGACAACACATCCGTCGTCAAATTTTATCCCACCTACAAGCTACCTCTTGACAGACCATGGAACAAGGGGCGTTGTCTACTCCTTGGAGATGCCGCGCACGCCATGCCTCCCCACGCCGGCCAGGGTGTATCCATGGCACTCGAGGATGTCTTTCTTCTTGGTCGACTGCTCGACAACCAACCTCAGTCGCTACCAGACACTCTTCAGAAGTTCACTGAGATTCGCAGGCCAAGAGTGAATGAGATGGCTAGCAGATCTGTTCAGAATGGAACGATCAGAAGAAAGACGGGGCCGTGGGGTTTATGGATGAAGGAGATGGGCTTGTGGATGTACATGCATGGCCTCTGGGCATTTGGCATGAATCGATGGGGTTCAGCTACGGAGCAGATGGTGTACGACATCGACGAGGTGCCTATCTAGGCCTACAGAGGTGCTTTTTGTTCAAGGATGGTTAGAGACACGGTATTCAGAACGGCAAGTAAACATCTAGATCATTTTGGAAGTGTATTATAAGGAGATGGCTGTACTCTCGATAGTTAGTTTGTTTATCTACAAGTTCATCGTATATACAGGAACTTTTCGTTCTTCATCAATCCCCAACATGCTCATCGCTTGACAACCTTGAGCTCGATGAATCTCAGAAGAGGGAAAGAGACAAGGGCAAATCCACAACCGAGCCACATGCCGAGATCAGCCAGGGAAGCAGCCTCAGAGACGGGGCCGATATACCAGACCTGGGACATTCCGAGAATGGCTCCAACCCAACCAAGGATGAAGCTAGCAAAGGCGGCATATCCAATTGGGAGGTACGACTTGTCCTCCCAGGCAGTCCAGTCGAAGCCCTTGCGGCCGCTGAAGAGAGCATGCTCCATTCCAACGATGCAGATCATGAGCATGACCCAGTAACCCATCAAGGCGACAAAGTTCTGGAAGATGACTAGAAGGTGCTCACGGCCAGCCATAGCGAGCACCAAGGCAATGAGGGTAAGAACGCAAGACCAAGACCAGCGAGGAACGGCCTTTCCATATCGGCCAAGAACCTGGCATCCCAGAGCACCAGAGTAGATAGATGGGGTGCTGTTGGCAATGACACCAAGAGCGATGATGACGGAGCAGAAACGACCAAAGCCATGAAGAGGGTCGTAAGCAGCGACGATCAAAGCGCCAGTGCTGACGGCATTGGCGTCAGTCCAGGCCTTGTTGTTGGTAAGACCGGTAGCGAGACCAATGGCAATGAGGTACACAAGGTTGAAAGAGAGTGTGAGACCAATAGTGGTAAGGAGAAAGATCTTGAGGCGAGAAGTACGCTCAGGGTAGTAGACGTAAAAGTCGGAGGCGGCAGCGGCCCAAGAATTGGGGACGTAAAAGCAAAGACTGAAAAAGGAGAGACGGTTGGCAGCGAGGGTTGAGCCAGTGACGGTGGGCTTGGCAGCAGAGTCAAAGTATGGACCGGCTGTTCCGATGAGGACAGCTAGGACAACGACCTGAGGGATCCAGGCATATCTAGATGACATTAGTTTGTGACATCAAGCATGGAAGAGGAGGCATACTGTTCGTATTTGTGAAAGATTCGCATGCCAAAGACGGCAATGATCAATGTCACAATAGCAACGACGACGATGCCTACTTGGATGGACATGCTACCACCACTAACGGCAGACAGAACTTGACCGCCAATGATGCAGTCAATCGTTGTGTATCCAACCATGAGAACGACATTCAGGAGAGTGGGCAGCTTGGCTGGCCAGTATCCCATAAAGTAACGCAAGACGACCTACAAGGTCAATGTCAGCCAAGTATAAGAGGAGATGGAGGCATGTCATCTCACCATTGTTCGGTTACCGCTCTGCGGTCCCCATGTTGCCATGTAAGCAGTCGAACAAGAGCCGAGGATGGTTCCAAAGACGGCAAGCAATGTACTGTCCAAGAAACCCAAGCCAAATACCATGGGACCAAAGAGACCTGTAGCCAGGTTGTTGAGCGACAGGTTGGCACTGAACCACAGCACAGCGACCTGAAGATCAGCAGCATGAGATGGAGCCTGACGTTCACTGGGCAGGACACGGTCAATGCCCCTTGCCTCGAGGCCAGCGAGGCCCTCAACCCGGTCGTTGAGCTTCTTGAGGGAAGACATTGATGTGTCGGGCTGCCCAGTAGAGCTCAGGTTCTCATCGGTGGATGGCGTCGTGCTCACCATGCCATGCTTCTCGTTGGCGAGCTCTGGGTCAGGGTTTGAAGCCGTCATCTTGATTGATGTAAAGAAGCAGGACAGAACAAAGAAGAAAAGAAGAAAAGAAGAAAGAATGGAACGTGCAGATGGACGGCTGTGTGGGAGCTACAGAATGCAGTGCAGCATGGTACAACAGACCCAGCCAGGTAAGACAGAAAGACACGTCCAGCAAGAGGGAGAAAATAGGGGAGCTGGTTAGAAAGACGTTCTTTTTCAAAGCCTGCAGGAAAGGCAGCAGCTTAGAGTTTTGTTTAATGACTTGAGTGCATAACCGGTGGCCACACTCCCTCGTTACATTAGCCAAATGGCTTTCTTTCGGGTAAGCTACGCGATGGTTTCGCTGCTAGCATGGCCCCGTCCTTCAGCCCCGTCCTCCCCCAAGGATTTCAACGCATGGAGGCTTGCGTCGTCCTCTTGCTGCGAGTCTGCGCTGGCGAAAGAGCATCGAGACCCTGGAACCCTGGTTACATTTTGGCTTTCACTGTGCATTAGCAGCGGTGAAACCACCAGCAAGAGCTAACGCCTTCTTTTCTCCACCCCTCCATGCACGAATCAAGGCTAGACAGGGCTCAAGAAGCACGGGCTGCCGACTCAAGCGGGAGCCAAGAAATCTTTCGCGGGAGCCAAGGAAACAAGTCCGCGGGGTGCGCGCACAGAGGAAATCTGCCGGAGCTAGAGGAGGGTCCAGAGGGGCAGACAGGCATTCCCACTGTTGCCAAGACAGAGGATTTACACTTCATTTTGTTGTTCTAGATCTAATGTTTTACATGCACAGTTGTAGAGATAGTAAAAAAAAACGCCGGAATTCTTCCCGTAGATATGTGCAATCATCGCCTACTTTGTCGTGACAGCCACCTTGGTCACCACCATGATGTGATCACCCGAATTGTGTCCATGTCGAGGACGCCCGGTTGTGATCTCAGCTTCAGTTTGATAAGGCTGTTTCACCAAATCGGGCACACTCTGGCCAACGAGCTCTATCTCACTGCCCTGCTCACGAGAGAGCTCCGTCCTCCCATCTTCATCGTCTAGCTTGGCCCACAGTGACGCCTTGCTGGTCAAAGTGTGGCGGCTCTGGGGCATGCGACGACCCGAACTGTCGGGATATGATGTGTTTGGGTACGAAGGATTTGACGAGTCGCCCTTGGAGCCGAGGGCGAGGCGGATTACTGGCCAGCAGAGGGGGAGGTTTCCGACGCACATGGCTACGCCGACCTCGGCGACGTACCAGTAGAGGAAGACGTATGAGTTGGGGTTGCTGAAGTTGTAATATCGGTTCAAGACGGCGGCGAGGATCTGCAGATGGTCAGCGGTTGAGCCTTGATAGAGGGTGTGGTTCTTCTTACGTTAAAGACGCCAAGACCAAAGACACAACAGAGCCCGATTTTCCTGCAGCTGTTAGTAAAGATCGATTTGTAGTTGTAAGGGTTACTCACCTCTTGCGTGGCAATCGAATCTTGATCATGAGAGGAATAGGAACGAGAAGCAGCATCAGATCTGACGAAATGTTGCAAGCTGTCGCAAAGATCATATGGTTATAATACGTCGCGCATTGCACTAAAGACTGTTAGCATTGAAATAAACGAGACAGCGTACAACTCACTGATCTTGACTGGTACCCTCCAATACTCATAGGTAGGATTACACCAGTAAAAGACAAACATGAGAGTGACAAGCACATAAGTCACGGCGCAGTATGCAGCGACGACTCTGACTCCCCAACGTTGTCGCGTGGATGTTCCCTCTGTCAACCGACCGTACATCAATAGCAAACAAGCCTTGACTGTCCATGTCGCCGTGAGGGTAAAGATCTCGAGGACAAATGTCATCTTGCTACCCCAGATGGCTTGCGCCTCTCCCTCGGGCGTAAGGTTGGCGGCAACATCGGGGGGCAAGTAGTTGCTACCATTCTTGGCGACTTGGTTGATGCAGACGACAACACCTGTAAAGTTGAGCTACAGATGAAGGATGTCAGTGATCTGCAGAGTAAGAATGGGATGGTGGCGTACAAGAGCAAAGACCATGAGATAATCTTCAATAGCCAAGAGACTCCATTTTCCAATCTTCATCCGTCGAGCTATTCTGCAAAATAAACAGTCAACAAAGGATTCTTGCCAAGAGATATTTGGTAATAGTAATACTCACAGTCGACAGACAACAGCTGCCAAGCCAACAACCCAAAGAGTCCAAGACTCCAACAACAGCGAGTCTAGAAATTCCATTGTTGGACGATCAAAGATTCAACGTTCCATGCCCGCCAAGAGCAGACTTGTCACTTGTAAAAAAGAGAAGACAAAAAATCTCGCGGAGAAATTCCTACAATCATTTTCCCTAGAGGAAAGCTTAATATTGGAACGGCTTCGTTTACAATAACAACCCCGTCAGGGGAACCATCTTCCGCACCATCCCAACACCGGCGTCAAGCTCTCGACCATGGTCTCCCAGACGTTTCGGTGTTGAGCTACCGGACGATTAGCATGCGGGATATTAGTGCGCCTACTTGCTTTGTCTCTCTTTTGACCGGTTGGATTTAAACCTCGAGTCTAACAATTTCGACAGGGACCGGAGGGGCACACCAGATCTAGACTAAGAAAACGCTGGGGTCAGGTCTAAATTACGGTGACATCAAAAGGCGCTCCAGACCGCGGGTCGGAAGACGGCCCTGGCTCCCCGCGCCGGCTGGGCAAAAGCTTAGCTCCCCGGGGTCACACGATGGACATGGGATGCGAATGTTGCGTTTTTTCTTGAGCTTTTTGGATGATGACGATGATCATGGTGATTTGTGATTTACAGAGCCTCAACGAGGCTCAATTAACTTTTATTGACACGTAGACAAGGTTCCATCTAAAGTGGTTCTTTCTATTGGTTCCATAAATACAGCATTTATCCCCTCGACCAACAGAGGATTCAAGCCTGCTCCTTTGTACTGCCGGAATTCTCCGTAACTTCCGTCCCTCGTTCCAGGGATCATCCTTTTCCAGCGCATCCCCCGTACCTTTCAGCTCGGAGGATGGGGAAGCCTTAGTGGCCGTGCTACTGGATTAAATAACCCATTTAGTGCAAACTCATGGTTCGAGTGCTTTCGTAACCTTCGATAAGAGGAAGCAGGAGCAAGATGGGCCAGCAGGGGCCCTGTAAACAGGTCTTGCGCGGGGTGTCCAGTTACAGTACTTCGTATCTACTACGTAGTATAGCCCCTTCTATTTCCACCTTGTCGATATGCACCCTCGACGAATAAAGTGCGCAGCCCGAGACACAGCCATCTTCACGCTAGCAAATCCCCTCTCCATGGGCGATTTATTCTCGTCCATTATCGTCTCAGCCAGCGCCGTTGCTCGCACCACCTAATCTACCGTGTATAAGACTCTAACGTAGCACCCGATTAGCCTCTCCAGCGCATCGCCCATCTCCAACCAACCATGACGATCCCACGGACAGTAGACGCTGACGACTTCAGCCACCGCACCTTTGACTTCCTGATCGTCGGTGGGGGCACAGCCGGTCTGGCTGTCGCTTCACGTCTCGCAGAGTCTGATGCCTCGTACACGGTTGGTGTCATCGAGGCGGGAGGCGTCGTCGCCCAGGGTGAGCAAGACATTGACGTCCCTGGTCTCTACGGGAGGTCACTGGGCGGCCGCCACGATTGGCACCTCGCAACGGTTCCGCAGCAGGGTCTCAAGGGGCGCACTCTGCCCTGGCCAAGAGGCAGAGTTCTGGGAGGCACTAGCGCTCTCAACTACATGGCCTGGAACCGCGCCAGCAAGGATGACTACGATGCATGGGAGGCCCTAGGAAACAAAGGATGGGGTTGGGAAGGTCTTCTGTGAGTGCATCCATCTCTTATCAAGGGTTCCTTGTTTGCATTGGCCATTAACGACGCGCAGGCCATTTTTCAAGAAATCCGAGACATTCCACCCTCCAAGTGCCCATGTGCAGAAGCTGCAGAATGTCTCCCACGACGCAGACACGTTTGGTTCCTCGGGTCCCATCCAAGTCTCGTATCCCACCGACTACTCCCCCACGCACAGTCTCTGGCATCCGACTCTCAATGCGGTCGGCGTCGAGACTAACTCATCCCATGTTGGGGGTTCTAATGTCGGCGTTTGGACATGCGTCAACGCCGTAGACCCTCGATCAGCCACTCGTTCATTTTCAACTGGCTACTGCTCGGCCACAAGGAGCAATCTGCACATTCTCACCAACGCTACGGTAAATGAGATTGTTCTGCAGGAGTTCGACGGCCAATATGTGGCTACAGGCGTTCGCTTCTCATGCAAGGGCCAGGAACACACTATCTCAGCGTCCCGCGAGGTTATCCTGTCTGCTGGTAGCATCAAGTCACCGCAGATCCTTGAACTCTCCGGGATCGGCAATCCCAAGGTTCTGGCTCAGGCTAAGGTGCCGGTCAAAGTTGACATCCCGACGGTGGGAGAGAATCTCCAGGACCACTTGAGTAAGCACCCAAATTCTTGTGCGACTCATCATCTGCTAACGTGAGGGATCGACAGTGTTGGCGGCCATATTTGAAGTCGACCCTCTTCTCGCTAATCGAGACGATCTACAGACAGATGAGAAGCTCGCCGCTGTCGCGTGGGAACATTATTCTCAAGACAAGGCCGGTCCACTGACGATCCTACCCTGCTCTCTCTGCTACGTGCCTCTCAACCACTTTGTACCTGGAGAGACTCTGGCTCAGCTCTCTGCCAAGGCTGATAAGCTGACGGTATTCGATGCCGACAAGAAGACCATCTTGCAGCAACGACTCAATGGCGAGTCCAAGCTAGGCCAAATTGAGTATATCTTTGACCTAGGCAATTGGAACCCCTTCTTCCAAGGTCAAGACGGCAAAAGGTACGGTACAATGCTCCAGATCCTCCAATATCCCTTCTCCGTCGGGTCCATCCACATCCCGCCGTCCTCCACGTCGGGAGAGGACCACCCCAGTATCGACCCGCGCTACTACGGTGGCGCACACGGGGCGCTAGACTTGGACGTGATGAAGGAAGCGGCGCGGTTTCTAGACCGCATCGTCCACACGGAGCCCCTGGCCGGCATCATCCGCGCACTAGCTTCTCCGTCCTTGGCAACGCTTCGAGACGATCAACGCCTCGAGGAGTGGATCTCTGACAATACAATTACCGATTGGCACCCAGTGGGCACTTGTGCCATGGGTGGGCGTGCCGGCATCCGGGGCGGCGTAGTAGACGACCGTCTACGTGTCTACGGCGTCAGGGGATTGAGAGTCGTCGACGCGAGTGTCATGCCGCTACAGATCAGTGCACACATTCAAGCCACTGTGTATGCCATCGCGGAGAAGGGGGCGCACATGATTCTAGAAGATGCGAGAAAGTCAAGATAGATTATGAGTAGTTAAGGTTATTTCCACGTTTTCTTTCAAAGTTCACAACGAACCGTTCAAGATGTCACAGTGACTGTGCGTGCTGATCCCGTTAGCCCGAGCGAGGGTGGCACACAACCTTCATGACATGTGGCGTCTGGCTATCAACACCATCTGCGTTAGTGCTTTATCGAGAAACCAATCGCATCTCAGGATCAGAGGCTGTCTTCATTCGTGAGGTTCGCATAACGCGGTTACCGGTCTTAATTCATGAATTATTCCTTTCATCATGACTCGGATTAGCTCAGCGGAAGCATGCTTTGTCCCGTATTCAGAGCGCCACGATTCAAGATCGCCTCAACATTATTCAAGTCATAAAAAACCGTTTCAGAGTCATATGTAGGAAATATGGCATCGGATCGAGTAGGGACTTCTCGCGGCCTGATCATGTGTCACTTGGTGCAATAGTGTCATGTCACTTGCATCACTTTTAACGAGCACAATTTTTCGGGTTCTGGTAGAGGAATCTAGCTATAGATGATCAAAAGTATGCCAACGCAACGCCGGTTATCCTGGAATGAAGCATGCCTAAATCATCAGAAGATAAGAGTCGGGCATCTACGACATGTCTTGGACACAGTCATCTGGGGTTTAATTCGAACTGGTTGCTCTTCAAGCCATGCTGGTGGAAAAAACACTGTTCATCTTGTTTCCCTTTTCTCTTCGCCCGTTCTCAGCATGTGTCATGCACAACACGGCGACAGCCTTCAACCAACATCGGCTACAGCGGAGTAGTACGAGGTTGATGTATTTATGGGGCAACTTGGACGTAAGTTATAGTCTTGATTGAGAGATATGTAGACATATTTTGGCTCAAAGGATGGTTTCTCTTCAATACTTGATGAGCTCCCATAAACACCATTGCACACTCGTCCCAATCTCACGTATAACCAGTATCTCGCACAGCACTAATCCTCCCTAACCTTCTTCGAGTTTGCAAACGTCTCCTCAACCATCTTGTTCTGATGAATAATCTCGTCCCTTGCTCCCTCCCAAGTCTTTCTCTTGCCCGTCTCAAAATACCGAAACATGTGCGCCGTCTCAACTCCGTGATTCATCAAGTTGTACATCTCTCTATCCTTCCACCAAAACTTCCATCCCGCCCAGCCCCAGCCCAGATTCTCCATACCTGTTCCGGCTTGTTCGTGCATCCACGGCTGGAACTCGTACTGCTTCACCATGCTGACGTCTAGTCGTGGTTCAATCGACCAATTCTTTGCAACCCAGTCTTGATGTGTGTCGACCCAGTGTTCCATCTCCTTGTGTGAAGGCAAGTCGCTGACGCCCCGCCAGACGTTTGAGATAGCCATACTCATCACGTCGCTGAATGAGAAGCCGTTGTTCTTGCCAAACGCCGAGTAGCAGAGCATTGCGCAGCTATCGGCATATTTGGGCGGGAAGACGTTCATGTACAACCGATGGATCGGAGGGCCTCCGTAATTGCGAGCTTTGGGGGTGCTTGTCTCAATGAATGGGGTGAGGGAAAAGTCAGCGCGATACCCAGTGGTGAAAATGACGCTATCAACGTCATCCAACACTGTTCCATCATCAAACTCGATGGATTTTCCACCAAGGAATCGCTTGATACCATGCAAACTCGTCAAGCTTCCATCTTGTAGATGAGGAAGACAGTCTTCGATCAAACCAGGCAGTCGCAGAGTGATGCTGGGAAATGGCTTCAGACGCCATTCTGGATTTATCTTGAAGCCAGCAGTCCGCGAGGCGAGCAACGAAGCTGCCCAATTTGCCATGTTTCTGTGAAGAGCTGGCAGGTTCCGGGCAATCCATTGGCTGATATTGCGGCGTCTCCATGAGATGATGAGATCTGTTGGTCGTCCGTTGCGATAGCGCTTCACCACAATCTGGCCACTTCGGTGCGAGACGTACACTTTCCGAGCAGTGTTAATGAGTTGAGGAGCAATCTCGCCCGTGGTGGTGGCAAGACCAAGGAGTACCACAGTTTTGTCTTGGCAAGCCTCGGGGCTATCATTTGTTAGTGGATCATCTCGTTGCCATATAAAAGCTTAGGGCTTTTGATATATCTTAAACAAAAGCGTGTAAGGTTGGTCTCGGCTGCGCTCACTGACCTTCGGTATTGCTGCGAGTGCACTATTTCTCCCTCATACGTCTCTTGTCCTGGGAAATGTGGCATCTTCTTCTCTGTCTGATATCCATGGCAAAAGACGATCTTGTCAAAGTGTCGTGTTTCAGTTTCTCCGCTTTCTACTCCTTCAAGCTGAATTGTCCACTTTGTATCATCTTCGTTGCGCTGGACAAGCTTAACGCTGGTGTTGAATACAATGTATTTGGTCAAGTCAAATTGGTCGACGTAGTCTTGCATGAACTCCTGGAACTGTCCTCGACTAAGGTGAGGCGGATACTCTGCGATACTGTCAGTATCTGTGATGAGAGTTGGATTTTGATCCAAGTACATACTGTCTGGCATCGGAAAGTCGGTGAATCCGCATGTATACTTGCTGATGTTTGCGCGAGTGTCTTATTTCGCATCTCCGTCAGTAGACCTTCGCGGTATCTGGTCAGGAATGTTTTCACCTTTCAAAGCCGTGGTCCATCCGTGGTTTGCATCATAAGCCCATAGTCCTCCAACCTTGTCTCGTCTCTCAAATAATGTAACATCGAATCCATCTTCAAGTAGCTGCTTGAGCATAGAGATTCCTGTAGGGCCTGCAACAGTATGAGTGGGCTGCTTTAAGACCTGGTTGAAAATACTTGCCAGCGCCAATGACAGCCACTGTAGTTTTCTCCATCATCTCCTATCACAGTCGAGTTTGTGTGCAAATGTACAAATGCAGGCTTGGGTATGTTTAAAGAGATTTATCGTGGATGCTTCAAGCCAGTGCGATCTCACTCTCTTATTATGTTCTCAGCAGAAGATCAGCCCTCGGACTCAGCAAAGCCCCTCGAGAAGCTTACGTACGATGTCTCAAGAGCGCGTGCGCCCGTCTCCTTATTGCACAGCTCGGAATCCCGAGTTTTAGATTGGTTAGTTCTTCAAGGACGACGTGGTAGGCGTCACACGCGATGCTTCACAAGCCAATCAAAAAACAGGTTTGACATCGGATAAGCCGGACACGGATAATCATCTGAGCTAAAATCTCACCTCAGAGATAGATTCGTGAAACAGGTTTTCGCAAGGGATATTGGCGAACCGACGAGTTGTGATAAAGGGAATTTTCGTATGAGAGACCACATTGTATTATTTGCACTTTCTTGCGTACACCTGACACGATTACACAGATTGAGAAAATAGGCGATGGAGGACTGTTCTCTTAGCCAACTCGAAGCTTACTCATTATATTCATAAGTAGAAAGACCCCTGGTAGCCTTAGGACATGTTCTCCTAGCTGGAAACGTCTGTTCGTGATGAATTTCCATTCCAGTCTAGGGTAGCCATGACGTCATTGACGCTATCACTGATTATCGTCAGATCACGTGGAGGGACCTGTAATCGTGGATGTGGGAGCGGGGTAGTTCACGTGCTCTCTACTCCACCAGAAATTGGCTCCACAGAAAACGCGAGACGCGCGCGTGACGCGAAGCCACGAAAGTTACCAACACACGCGCGTCATCCCCGTCTGTGATAGATGGCCATCCTCAAACTCTTGGTCAAGACAGGGCATCTCAGAGAATTATTTCACCTGCTTCGACGGCATGAACTGGAAATCGGCAAAATTCAGGTCGAGTTGGAGGATCCTTATGCAGAAGGTCACGCGAAGTACTCGGGTCTTTTTTCATCGCCGGAGAGATTGATCACGGTGCATGAATCCTGCAGTCGTGCCGCCACATTACGTGACGATAGAAAGCACTTCCTCGCGCTGCGAATCTGACACTTCTCCTTCTTCGAGAGCATGCCCGTTTTTGGTGTCTGTGAGCCGATACATGACAGTTTTCCAAGACGTTGCATTCTATCGCCCTCTTTCGAGGGACTGATCGTATTGGCTCTATCATAGAGCGACCTGATGGTGAAAGAAAGGGCACAGAGCTTGTAGGTATGGGCATTCACAGACGGCCCGATGATATGCAAAGGGGTAACTTTAATCAAGAGAGCCCTTTTGAGGTACATCACCAGAAGGGCCCATGTACCTTCATGAATTGGAATCGTGGTCCTAAATGCAAAGATAAAAACCCCTGTTTGGTACCATTGTGTTGTCCTCAAAGTCTTCTTTTCTGTCATCCCCCTTTCCTTTTACAGACGGGCTCATTTATCACCCACTCCATACAACCCCGACACACCTCAACCGACATCTTTACTTCAGGATGGGCTGCGTCCAAAGCAAAGAGGCCGGCCACAATCAGGTTGGAAACCGGCCAGTGATGCTGACCACTCTTCCTCAGGCAAACGCAATCCTACATCGACATCCTCCTTATCCAACGGTCCAAGATACTCAGGGATATCAGCAACCTGCCGTTAATCAACCCAACTTCAAGCTCACGCAAGTGGTTGAGGAGGCCGAGTTGCCTGATTATCACCCTGAAGCATCGGTCGACTACATTCTCCGAACCATTCTGGACGCCGAGAACTTTTCCAAGCATGGAATCAAGGGTGCCTTCAATGTCCTGGGCGACCGTCATTTCAACATTTTCATCGACTCTAGCCACTCACTGTCCTCCGAGACACGATGTGCAATTCTGTTGGTGGCTACAGTCTTGTTGATCGTCGCGCAAGCCAAGGACTGCGACATGACCTTTTACTTCACGAGCTACCCGAACAAGAAGAGCAAGAACCTCTCCGAGATTGATCGCAGACATCTTAAGGACTTGATAAATCTGTGGAAGACTCAGAGCTGGCAGGAGGCTCTGGGGATGGTGCAGTACACGAAACCCTTCCAAGGCAAGTTGGGAATCCAGGACTGGATTAATAAGCGCAAAAACATTACCGATGATCAGAGTGATGTTGAGAAGCACGCCAAACTTCTCAACTACTGCCGGGAGAAGATGCTTGCCTTTTGGCATGGCTGGCACCAGCGAGAGCTCACTGTGGACAGCCTCGAGAAGTTGTATGGCTCAGCCATGGTCAATGCCAGCCAGCAGCTGAACTCCTTGAACTCTACGGCCTTCACATACAAGAGGGCAATGGGGCAGTACACTCGCCTCCAGCAACTGTACCAGAAAGACCCATCGCAAGCTTTTCCCGTCTCAAACATTTTCCTTCTGGGGACGGCTATTCAACCGACTGAACTGGCTGCCATCCAGGAGGCCCAGAACATCGGGGGGAACACCGGCAGCAGCCGTGGAAGGCTTGGATCACTCAACATTGAGGGTCGGGGCACCCTCTTTCAAATCTCCTCCGTCGTCATGATCGACCGTATGACTGAAAAGTCCATCAAGCTTTACAAGAAGGTTGACAACTACGGAAAGGGCGAAGATGACATCAATGACTTGAACACGCTGAAGGAGAGAAAGGTCTTGACAAACTTCCTGAGCCCCGGCGCTTTCTTCAAGATTCTCAACTCTCATGAGCCAGCAGTGGACAATGATATCCAGATGCCCACTGGTGACGCCATGTACGGCAGACAGCTACTCAACGCCAACGGCCACACCATTACGCTGCCGGGTGTGAACCAAGTCAAGAGGATCTTTGGCATCGAGGACCTGTCGGCGCTACCTCGTGCTATGGACGATAGTGAGGATGAAGATGATAAGCCAGCGCGCCCTCGGACCGGTCGTGCTAGGTTCGAAGTCTCGACTGATGCAGCCGAGCGTAGTTCTGACAAGTTCTTTACGCCTCCCACATCAAGCAAGGCCTGACTAGCTAATTGCGCAAACGATGCTTTTGCTTATGACTGGGAGCTTTGAAGGAGAAAAATGGGAATGGAAGGGGGATAGCTTTGTTTAGACGGAGAAACTTAGGGATGAGTGGATTTTAACTCGTGGTAACTTCTTAATCGAAATCGCTAGTAACCATACTGCTATGAATACTCGAGATCGTCTAGCGGACGCTGTGATTCACACTACTCCCCTCCTTGAAGTTTTCAGCACGCACGGAGCTCATTCTTCCTCGACCATTCACCGACCTCTTGCTGGTCCCTTGCCCCGAATGAACTAATCGAATTTAATCCTGCTTGAGCTGAGACAAAGTCCGAAGTCGAGCCAGAAGGCGAGAATGCATGTCCAAGGCCATGGCAGTAGCTGTGTAGAAGATTAGAATATGTAGAACGATGAGAAGTTAGGAGTACTAACGGAGCACGGCATATGGTAGGTATGCCGCGTACAACAGAGTCTGCTTAGCCTCATGACTGATGATCTCAGGAGTTAGGTGATACATGTTGTGACACACAATGGCTGTGCAGAGACCCGTGACTATACCGTAGACACTGGCTGCAAGCTCACCGGGACCAGAGAGACGCTGTTTCGAGAACAGTGCTTGAGTTAGGTACAGAGCAATGGGGAACTGCACCAGCAACTCGACATAGACAAGGAAATCGAAAAAGTGTCCAGGGGTCTCAATATGGTAGTACGGGTCAGACATCGTGGTAATGTACCACTGGCGATAGGCAACGAGAAAGTGCAGAGGTGAGCCTGGGGGCTGGCAGAGAGACTGCGGATAGAATGGGACAAAATCAACGCCTGGACATTGTTGTCAGTCAAGTAAACTTGTTGGGCCGTAGGGATCTCACCCAGCATCGCGCTCAGGTGCAAGAGCACGACGAGCAAGTAGACATAATCTCTGGCTGGCTTTACAGACGCCATGATGAAGAAGTCACTATGATGATTGCAGTTTCGGCGATTGAAGGGAGAGTGAGAAAGATGAAAGCAGGAGGAAGAAGTGAAGAAACAGGGGCGACCGTGTTTAGCCGATAGGGTCTACAGTTAGCGCACTATCAGATCCCCGATAAAACCATGCTTTGAGCTGTTATAGATTTATTGGGCTCCACGCTCGGGCTGTTAGTGCTGACAGAAGGTGGTAATTGCATCAAAACGTGCTGTGATTGGCCAATTGTTGGCAGGAGTGCTCACAAATGACAAGAATGGGGAGAAATGCGAAGAAGAGAAGAATGTACATGTTCTATAAAATATTGATCAAAATGGTCTATGAGCTATGTCTAATTACAAAACCGCATTCACTGTTTGGGTCTCACCCTGAACTGGCGGATCTCCAGCTTCAGCGACACCAGTCTCAGTAGGAACAGGGGCATCCTCGCACTCAATGCACTTGATGCAGTCCATCTCAGTCCAGGTAAGACCTTGGCTCATCGGGGTGAAAGACCAATCCAACTTGGATGCGTACAGAGCGCAATATCTGCTGGGATTCTCGTCGTCGTACCCGAAAGAGAGACAGCCTGTCTTTTCGGCGCAGGCGGAAGCGCAGGTTTCCCACTCTTGAACGGGTGTCTTCATGTCCTGGTATTGGACGTCTACGGCTCCGGAGACGAAACCGACTTGGAAGCAGGTTGGTGTTCCGGGGACTTCGGAGGGGATGTAGCAACCTCCGGGAGCGGACACGCCCGAGGGGCAGATAAGCTGTGTGGATGTAGCAGTGGTGGAGGTGGGGATCAGGGTCTCGGATGTGGTCTCCTCTACCTCGGTGCTGGTCTCCAGAGTGGTGGTGGAGAACGTAGTCTGTTGGGCAGTTGTGGTCTCTTCAGTTTCGGTCTCGGTTGTGGAAGCAGTCTCCTCGGCACTGGTCTCGGTTGATGTGGCGGCAACTGAGGTGCTCTCTTCAGCAGTGGTCTCTTCAGCAGTGCTGGCGACGGAAGTAGTCTCCTCAGAGTCTGTCTTGGTAGCAGTTTCGGTAGCAGAAGTGCCCTGTTCCTCAGAAGTGGATTCAGTGGCCGGGGCAGTCTCCGAGGTGTTTTCCTCCTCGGTGGACGTCTCAGTGCTCGCCTCGGTAGCCGCTTCAGTGGTGGAGTCGGAGCTGACGGCATCGGTTGAAGTTACACTGGTAGCATCGGTGGCAGTGTCGGTGGTAGCCTCAGTAGCCTCAGTAGTGGCTTCAGTGCTGGCCTCGGTGGCTGCCTCAGTGCTGGTGGCAGAAGGCAGCTGGCTGGTCTCGGTACTGGCACCATCAAAAACCAGATTGGCGTCACCGATAGTCTCGGGGGTAACCTGGTTGGAGACAAAGATGGAGTCGATGTAGACCTGAGCAGAGCCACCACTGGTACAGGTCAGGGAGAAGCTCATCTGTCCCTGGGTGACCTGAATGTTGGTAGATACAGTGGACGAAGCCCAAGAAGAAGGAGTGTTGGAGCTAGGGAAGTAAGGAGTCGAAGTGAAGACGTTGGACCCAAACGATGCCTCAATCCTGCAAGCTCCAGACTGAGCACTGGACTGAACGGCGTAGAAGAACTGAACAGTGTAGGCTGATCCAGCCTGGAGGTTCGTGAGCTGCTGAGAGATGGCCGCATATTGTCCCGCGTCTCGCTTTCCTGGGCCAGGCTGGGTGCTGGCTGCCTCCAGGCTAGCACAGTTCTGCTCCGTGCTTCCTCTCCCTGTGTAACCTCCACCCTCGACATAGCTGCCCTGGCCTTCAACAACAAAGTTGGAGATGCCACTAGGCGAATTGGACCTCCTTCGAAAGTCTCCGCCCTCAATCTCATTGACGATAGGTCCCGAGCCGTGACCGGAGGTAGAGGTGGCAGATGCGCTTGAAGTGGTAGCGCTCAGGGTCGAAGAAGAGCCAGGTCTGCAGGGGCCGGCCGAAACGGAACCGGCCAGGGCCAAGGCGGCAAACGTGCCGACGAAACGCATCTTGTCAAAGTTTTGAAACGATTGTAAAGGTCGGATGACAAGATGGGAGGTTCCAGGTTGAACTTGTGGAAGTCGAGGATTGGAGGGAAAACGGCTTGGTGATAAACCATTTCTGGAGTTTGTCTAGACTCACCAGGCCTTCGGTGATCCCCTAACACAGTGGACCCAAGAGTCCGAATACAGGCCCTGAGAATGAGTAGTACGTCCTGATTGAGGCATTCAGCTTGTCGCTATTGTAAAGCGGACTGCTGTGCGAAGCCACAATAATCAACCCCGTTGACTATCGAGCGCCTTTGGCGCCACACCAAGCAAACGGCCGGCTGTCGGCTTCAGCTGCAGGCAATGGTGCTGGACTAGTTAAGGCTGGACTTTTCCAGAGCGAGAAGAGCCCCTTATGTCTAAACGACGGCCGCATTTTTCACCGCTTACTTTGTCTTCTTTCTATCCAAAACGTACGATTTCTCCAGCGATTCATAGGCACTTTTCGAACTATTGTCTACTTATTCTAGCTGCCAGCGCCGTGTGACATTTCGCTAGCACATTATCCTATGGATTGCATCTTGGGCCTTATCAGTGCTCCCTGACAAAGGGAGTCAGGGTGCGTCTTGGCTCAGCTCAGATTCCTATTTCAGTCCTTTCAATTGAGGGAAATGCCACATTGTTCCAGTGAGTCTGATGATGGTTGAGCTGTTGGTAGATGCTGTCAGTCAAGCCACAGGGTCCAGACTCTGGCAGTCCACAATGGGCGCCAATAGTGTGGCACGCTATTCACAGGCTATCAACAAAATTTGGAAGCAGAACCCACTGTAATTTCGGACTTGTTACTGTGGATTGCTCGTTGTTTATCGTGGTTGGTCAAGTTTTCTTCACGTTGTCCGTAGACTCAGATGTTTGTTTCACGTGGCAGATATCTGACAGCTTGAGGTGTTGGCTGACATGCGGGCCGGGGAATAGTTAGGGATAGAGATAATTAATAATTTAGAGGGTCCTGGCTATCCTTCGAATACTCTATGAACCATGCCATGTTGAGAGGATGATAAGCTAAAGGGTTTGCGCTGGGGTCTATTTTTCCTCTGCCCGGGTGGCTGACTGAGGAGACCTGGAGACTCTCACTTCTCAACCAAACCCGGAGATCTCCCCTCCATGCTTCACATGCCTTTAATCTACAAATGTGATAGCCTTGCAGTGAACAAATTCTTCGATGCCATATTTCCCACCAGCACAACCCCATCCACTACCCTTGATACAAGTCGCTGGCCCCGTGTTAGCAAACTGAGCGTCAATAGGAATACCCTAGACTTACGTTTGATAGCCAAGGTCATGTCGTTGATCTGGACCATTCCGAACTCCAGATCTTTTGCTAGGGCAATGGCTCGTTCTCGGTTGCTCGTAAAGACCGCTGCCGACATGCCTCCCTCTCGCGAGTTTGCTTTGGCAATAGCTTCTTCATCGTTATCGACTTCAACAACAAAGGCGGTAGGTGCGAAGCCCTCTTGGCTTGACAAGATTGACCTCCGTGGGACATCTGCCAATATGGAAGATGCCATTGATGCCGGACCAAGCCACTGGGAGCTGCCAGCAACAACTCTCGCTCCACGTGATAGGGCATCTTGGACTGCCACATATGCTTTATCGGCAAAGGTATTGGAAACTGCAAAACCAGCCGAGGGCAACGCATCGATGACATCGGCTAGAAGGGAGTAGAACTTGTCTTTGACCGATGGAACGACAATAATGCGTTCTGTCGAGAAACATACCTGACCATGAAGCAGTGTTGCACCCTGGGCACAAGCTTGGGCCGCCTTGGGCAAGTCAGCATCCTCAAGGACGATAAGAGGACTCTGATCCCCAAGTTCCATGATCGTCGGCTTCAGGTATTTTGCAGCTATGCTTTACCCACCACTGGACTTTCGATAAACTCAATCTTGCGCAGATGGGGATGCGAGATGACAGTCTTTGGGAAGTACAGATGGCATTCGGGCGAGAGTTCCGATAGTAGGAGTAGGAGAGAGGAGTAAATGAAGAGGCGTGGTATTGATTGAAAGTTCTTGTTAGTCTACGAATCCAGCACGATGCTTCTACGGCCTCACTAGATATACGTATTTGGCATTGGAAGACGGTACTATGGATACATGGAGAAAGTGTTTCGGGAATGGTCATACATAACTCTGTATCGGATTTACGATCTTCTGGCTCTGTTAACCCATCAAGGGTTAGGCTTCAACAGTATCGGATTTACAACTTAGCTAAAAAAATGCTACATAAGGCCAGATCGGATTTACAACAAGACGGAGGTCGATAAACCCGATCGGGGAGGAGATTAGCGGAAGCGATCCCGGATGGTAAGAGAATAGAGTTTCGGCACTCGGTTGAGGAACGGGCCGTCCAAACCGATGGTTCCCCGGATTTACAGTCCTTACCATGGCCTTGAGCGTCAAGCACTAATTAGTTTATTGTAGATTTGATTCAATATTCCCCCTGATTTATTAGACCTGGGCTTGGCCGGTTGCCCGTGGCGTGTTCAGTGTTCACCAGTGGTATAAAATGTTTTAATAAACTCTCTAGTATGCTCTAGAGTACATGGTGTAAAAGCTCTCTACTCAGATCTCTATACTCAGGTAAGAAAAGAAATACAGTGGATGATAAGGCCTCCACAGGCTGTCCCGACTGGCACTCTGAAGCAATCTCCTAAAGGCCGTAGTTAACAACAGTTACACACGAGTTATTAGGGCCCCAAAACTTCTTGCCACACCGCTCGCACCCTCCCTTCTCACGGATGTCCTGGTAATCGTACCAAATATCGTTGCCGCTCCGGAGACAGTCAATGTGGCCTTCCAGAAATACCTTGCAGTTGCCACTGTGGCCGCCGCTGGGTCTCTCGTCCTTGTTGCTAAATTGCAAGGTCAGCATCTGAAAAGCTTGCAATAGTATCAGATCATACGTACGCGTCAATACCGTAGGTCAAGTCATCAGTGCGGATCAGCTCGTCGTTGACGGCTCTGTCACAGTTGCGTACAAAGTTTACGGCTGAGGGGCACATGCCGCTGCCCTCGCACTTGAACTCGTCTGAAGACAGCGACTTGTAGCGGGGGTCTTTGTACTCAGTGCCACAAGGGAAAGAGTAGGAGCTGCCGGAATTACCGTCCCTGTAGCCGTTGCGGGCCTCCTCCTCGCCACACACCGGCAGGGTGAAGACACCATTGGCTCGGATGTCGGTTGCGATCGAGTCAAGCTCGTCGTCGGAGAGTTGTCCGATGTCCTTAGGGCCTTCCACATTCCGCTGGCCGTTGGACTTCCATGTGTTGAGCGATCTGTCAGGAGAATATGTTCAGCTATCATGTAAGGTATAAGTTTTGAATCCTGAAATACGCACCCAATGACGATATCCTCGGTGGTGATGCCGCCCCATTCATCTGATCCAAGGGCTCCGACTCCGGGAGGTTCAGGCAAGGGGCATGCCACCCAACCTGGGGTCGACCCGGCTGTATTTCCGGTTGTACTCCCATCGCAGTTCTCCTCGAGGCCATTGACGCTGCGAAGCTCGTACAGTCGGTTTTCAAAACAGAAGGCCTTGTCGTCGATGCGTTCGTCACAAGTCTTGCCCAAGTCCATGATGCTGGTTTGTCTCAGATTAGCTACAGGCCATGCCGTCCCAAGTTGGCGCAGTGGAGGGGATGCACCTACAACGGGTTGATGTCTTGTTGCGACAGCTTCCAGGAAATGGGGATGAGCTGGGAGTAAAGGGACCTGCTGACGGACTTGCGCAGCTCTGTCACGGTTGGGATGACAGTCTCGTCCGACATCATCTTACCACCCGAGATAATTCTGCCCAGCCTCTGCACATTCTCGTCCTCGCCATCATACAGCTTTTCAGCAAATTGGACGATGGTATCCTTCCAGAGTTCAACAATGTCGGTGACTTGCTTCGAGACTTCCGACTGGGTCGCTAAGGCCGGCTCCCTCTGTCCCGTCAAGTCCTTGGCCATGGTAAGACTTGTCTTAACCATGTCGTTGGTCAAGTCTTTGATGGAGCCATGAATCTCTGAGGTAGATACGACAGGCAAGTTTCTAAAGAAGACGTTCCATCCGGGGGCTGCTGCGACACCCCAGCCCATAAGGACAAAGTTCATAATGATGTTGAAGGATTGGTCGAGGGGCTTAACAGGTGCGAACGTGGAAGAGAGCGTGCCGACTTTGCCATCTATAGATTCGTGGGCCTCGCTGAGGGCACTGTGTAAGTTCCAGAGGAACTATCGATCCAGGCTCTCATTAGTGATTGCCCCGGAACAGAAAAGAGAGGATTGTTGGGGTTTGAGTCGAACTTACTGCTTCAAGGTTGCGGAATGAGTTGAGGATAAAGTATCCTGCTGGATGGTTGGTGTCATGACACTGCAGGTTGCTACCACCGTGACAACCGTTCGCCTCGATAAGTTTGTGACAGTCCATGCCTTCTGGACCATTGAAGAAGTTGCTGACCGAGCGAGGGAAAGGAAAGTTGCTGTCGGGACGTTCAGTCCGGTTCAACGCCCAGCCCTCGACGACATCGTCCCAGGCTTGGGAGGCCTTGACTTGGTCCCAACGCCAGTCGCTGGCATCTTCAGCGTTGATGACACCTGGATGGGAGCAGTCGATCATCTTCCATTCAGGCTCCTGTCGCTCTGTAAGAAACGGAAAGGCGTGGCCTAACTGAACGGCTGTTGCTATGCCCGCCAAGGCGGCAGTTGCAATAGCCCCTCGGCTTCTGCGAGCTCGCACCATCGGTAGAATGAGATAATGATAGATTGGATTTTGACAAGATGAAGAGCGTAGTTGGTGTTCACAACGCTGACTACTACCGGCTTGTTGTATCCTTTATAGTATGTAAAGTCATGGGATGAATTACTTTGTAGACAAAGGATGCCATCACAACACGTGCTTGTACCTTGAAATCTGAGTGGCGTCTCCGTGATGCTGTACGATTGAAACATAGCCCGGCTTTACTGCGGCCTTGCCCGCGGAGCCGGGCTTCAGACTAGAAGTGGATGCGCAGTCTTCATCTCAAGTTTGCCCAGCACGTGTTTCTACTTCTCGGCGAAACGTGAGCTGAAAAACAAACCTGTCAGGTTCCAGATCCTTCTAGCATATAGACCCTTATAATTAACCATAATATCGTTAACCTCGGTGATGGAAGGTCGTCTCGGGACCGACACTTGCAGAAGTTCGGTAATGAAACAGGAAAGGCGAGGTCTGAGGTTAGTCTGCCTGCCGCCGATCCTCTCACTAAGCGAAGTGACACCTGTTGCACAAGGCCTCAGTTGGCGGTTATCGTGGATATGATCTAGGGCTGAGAAGGGGAAGCCCAATTAACGTTCGTGTACTCTTGTTTTCTGGATCTGTAACTGACTCGATGAGGCTCTGTCAAAGTTATTCCAACTTTGCCCGGGAATGCTCTGCTTAAACCTTCCAAACCTGTCAACTAAGTTAGTGGAGACGATGCGTGTTCTGAGTTGCCCATGCCTTGAGCACTGTCGGAAACACCACTCTCTGGCAAGCTGGCGCCCCTGTCAAAGAGTGTACGTGGTATGAGTGTTTGATGGTAGTACTGCTCGAATCTGAATTTTCTTTTCCAATCTGGACCCAGTAGTCGAGTGGAGATGCCTTCATGTCTCATGACGAACCTTCATAGCGAAGGATTCAGTCTAGTCTGCTAAGGACTGTGTTGAAGCCCCATACAAGACGGGGCTAGTGCAACAAGTTAGCACTCAATCTGCCTCGCTCCCTTCCCACATTTGCTCGTCAAGGCCCATGCACTGATAACCTCGGCAAACTCTAGCTCAACCCACAGCTCCAGCAGCTCCAGAGTCTCCTTTCTCATCCAGGCCCGGTACGTTGGCTGGCTATCCTCTTGTAAAGAAATATCTTCCTTCGGCTCCTCTTCGGCGTCTACTACCTTGATGACTAAATGCACTCTTCAACTTGATTGAGTACCTGGCGCAAGACCCGTTGATCCAGGCCGCTCAGCAGGGAGGCGTTAGACCGGGCGTCTAAGGTAAAGAGGGTTGGAGCCTCTCGGCTGTCGAAAAAAGTAATAATTACTTGGGATTATAAGTACCCGAGAAAGAGAAGAAAATGAGCTAATATTTGCATAATAAATACCATAAGTAGAAGGAAACTTGTCAAGATTTCTAGTTATCTGCTAACTAAATGATGCGAGTGACCAGCTATGTCATCAAGCCAGAGAGTTGGTGTATGATCTCTTGAACAGAGTCTTGCCATGCAACCAAACTGGAAAAACCATGATATATCCTGCCCAGAGGAGCGCTGCCATTGTAGCAAACTGGTTGACGGGACCAACTCCATTCATCCAAGGAAGTGAAGCATACGATACTCCGAAAGCGACCGTATTCTTCATGAAGTTGATAAGGACTCCGATATCTCCGGCACGAGATGGAATCGTGTTAACAGCATAAGCAAGCAAGACGTTTGCGGAAGCTGTCAATCCAAAGGCAAGCATAGCCCATCCAACGCAAACTTGGATCCAGGTGTCAGGGTGTTTGAGACCATAACCGAGAACCAAGCATCCTGAAGGGCTGATGAGCATGCCAAGAAGGGCGACTGGAAGACGGCTTGCCGGGCTAGGGCCCCTGCCATCTGTCGCTGATCGTATAAACAAAAGGTCCGAAAGGTAGCCGCCGAATGGAAGTCCAATAAGAAGACCTAATAGAGTTCCAACGTTGAGGAGACCAATTGACTGTGGACCCCATAGCAACGGTGGTTGGGCGTAGATCATACCCAACAGGATCGAGATAATCACTGTCCAGCCAATGGTAAGTCCAAAGATGTAGACGGTCACCAGAACCCGAGGAATAATCAACATCTGCAGCGGTTCGAAGAAAGCTGGGAGAGCTCTGTTCCACTCCAACGGCATGGGCCTCTTCGTAAAGGATAGAGATATCCACTCGGCTCGAGATGAGACAGTAGGCTCGGGCGTAAACGCTGAGGTTGGGGCATTCTCGACGACAGAACTTGTCGCCTTCGGATTGGACACTCCAGAGTCTGACCCAGTGTCGTTTGTCGGCTCTGGCTTGTGGGTGGTTTCGGGGAGCATGAGGATCGAAGCCAATAAGTTGAGGCTTGTAGCAATGGAGAGGATTCGCAGATACCACCTCCAGCTTCCTTGATGTTCGGCGACAATACCGGCAAAAATAGGTCCCACGGCAGATCCAGCCGCAAGGAAGCCGACATAGACTGCCATGGCTCGAGCCAGTTGATGATCTCTGAAGGTCTCGTGTACTATGGTCGGGCCAAGGGCTTCAACTAGGCCACCGGCAAGACCACCAAGGATACGAGAGATTTTCAGAGATTCATAGTCGGAAGCCTCGCCGGACCAGATATTGAAGATGATGAAGAGGGTCAATGATGCGAGGATCGTGTATCGTTTTCCGAAAAGGGCGACCAAGGGGAGGGCAAAAATGTTCTAAACAAACGCATTAACGACCTTATCGACTCGGAAGACAAAGAGCGGAAGGATGAAGGCCAAACATACCGATATTCCCAACATCAATAAGGAGAAAGTCGTCAGATCCGAAGCCTGCGACTGGGAGCAGTTGAACTCCCTGATGATCAACTCGAAAATGGGTGACAGTCCAGCAGACCAAGCATTTCCGAGAAGATTGTAGAAGCTAACGTTGAAAAGGATGACGAGGCGCCACCAAAGGGGCCATTTCTATTGATTGTGAGTACGAACGACAAGACTTAGGTAGGATTTGTAACGTACGTATGGCGACATGGTGATGATTCAATGGTGTTGTGATAAAAAAAACGAGATCCTTTGCTTTGATAGAGGTGTACTTTTGATGTTGTTTTCAGGGGGTCTTCTTTATTGCATATCACGGTGCTTTGTATGCTTTATCCGGCTCGGGCGACGTCCGTCTTTGCCCCGACGTGCCCTCAAATACCCTAGACTCCCTGATTTACCCCGGATTCCCTAATTTCCCCCGGCCTGTGCTACCCCGACTTTCCTGTATTACCCCGCAAACACGATCAAGATGATCTGGCTAGCGGGATCTCCAGAAACCTCCTTCCGGGCCAACCGGAACAAAGATATTACTTATTACTTAAAGGCGTGATGCCACTTGGGACCGAACTAGACAGCAAATCAGCATAGTCACTTTAGCAATTGGTTCTCTTGTCTACAACATCGGAAATGGCCGCCGCAGAGATTGGTTACAACAAGTTCTTTGTAACTGAGAAAGATCTCAAGTATGTGCCTCCATACCTTGGAAATACTCCCGAGACTACGAAAGAAGTCAAATGCTCAATCGTTGGTGAATGGCCGGAATGGCTAGATGGCACACTGATCAGGTACGTATCACCCATGACGATGTCTACTTACATACCAACACTGTCCTTGTAGAATGGGAAGCGGCCGTTTCACAGTCCCTTTGTCAGAGGACGGTTCCAAGCCCAATGCTGTACTTCAGCACTTTTTCGACGGGCTCGCCATCTTGCACAAGTTTAGGATGAGCAAGGGACAAGTCTATTATAGAAGCCGTCATACCGCTGAAGGTGTTGTGCAAAAGGCAGCCCGGGGTGGGTACATTGCGATTACAATGTTTGGCCCTAACGCCAATACGCCCTTGATTGAAGCTTAGGATTCATGCTCTGCACTATTGGGCGCGCAGGTGAGATACCTTGAGCTTAGAAAAGTCCACTGTTACTCTAACAACCCTAGCAATCGTTGTATCTCCCCCAGGGACACCTTCTCCCGGACGAGGTGAATGTCAACGTTGTTCCCAGGAGGGGAATGCACATTCCCAATGGTCAGAATCCTCACGACATAGGAAGCCCGGCTCAAACCCCCGAGAAGGAGGAAGTAAGTGAATGCCCAAAATACGAGTTGTACATGTTGACCCTTAATAGGTTCTTGTTCATACTGACTTCAACGTGCTGCAAGTATGCGACGCCAAGACACTGAAGCCCAAGAGATTGCTCACCTACGCTCAAATCAACCCTGAGCTGGCTGGCTACGGTATCTGTGCCCACCCTTGCAAGGACCGTAAAAGAGGCATGACGTTCAACTACATCATTGACCCAGTAACGAATATCTTGTCGATTTTTGCCCTCGACTATCGATCCAACCCGGCTTCTTTGCTTTGGAAGACGCCTCTTCCTTGTGAACCTTGCTATATCCACTCACTGGCTATGACTGACAAGTTTGTCGTCTTCATTCGTCACATAAGTATTCAGCCGGGTGTATTGTTACTCTACTGATATTCACGGTCTTGTCGCAGCCCATTCATATGGACGTTAGTACGTCAAAAAGCCGGTGATGGAGATGCTCGAGTATGAGCCTGAATCTCCCACAAAAATATTTGTTCTCGAGAAAATGAGTGGTAAACAGTACGTGCCCTAAACACTCATCTCTCACGTTTGCCTTCCCAGAGTCGTAGGCTAATAATAAGAACACAGTGTTGCCACCTACCATTCCGCCGACGGATTCGTGTTCTTTCACTCCGTCAATGCGTATGACTGTGGATGAGAAATCCGGAGAAACAAACATTCACGTAGATGTTTGCAGTTACTCGGGAAACTACATCCCTTTTCGCGAGTACAGCTTGAGCAACGTTCTTGACCCTGCACGCCCTTACCAGAACGGCACTCTTGTTCGGTACGAGCTCGAAGCCGTCAACTTGGCAAACATTGAAAAGCCTGGCCGCGTTATTGTGGCAGCTGCCATCCCTGGCGTCGCATCCGAGCTGCCCCGGATCTCCAAGAGAGTGTCCATGCAGCCCGGTTATCGCTACGTCTATTCCACAGCTGGCAATGGCGGCCCGTCTCCAGGAACCTCTGTCACTATTGGAAGGCTTGGGAACGGCTTGAAGCTTGTCCAGGGTGCCTTCTTTGGTAGCCTGGCCAAATTTGACTGGCAGACTGGAACTTACAAGCGCTGGCAACCCCCCAACGGTGACAGTTGTCCATCTGAGCCTATCTTCATCGGGAGACCTGGTTCTACTGAGGAAGATGATGGCGTTGTCCTGACCATCGTGATCAACAAAGAAGGAACACGCAGTTTCCTAGTTGCTCTCGATGGACGCTCGTTCACTGAGATTTCCCGGGCTAATATGCCTCAGGTCTATAGTCTGGGCCCGCATGGGACGTTCATTGAGGGGACTTTTGGCGAGTGAGAGATTCATGTAGCATGAACGTCAGGAGAGAAGCAATTGCACAACAGAGTATCGGCGGGCATCTGTGCCCAAACGAGTCTTGAGTGATGTTTTGTTTCTTTGAGAAAACAACTTTCTAAAAATTCCAGAAAATGGACATAGCGATCTATAGCGTACAAATGGTATTGCTCGACTTCGAAAACAAGACTTTGGTGAGAAATGTGCCAACTCAAACAGCTTAGTGCAAGGGAAAACAGAGTGCTGGCCACACTCGTGGCTTTTGTTCTAAGTCAATGCCCAGCAAGGATAAGAGTTAAACAGCCAACAACTGATAAGATATCACACCCTCCTCCCATATCTGTCAAGGTGGAGAGTAGTGATGTGTTTCCCAGTTGGACCTTGGAACGCGACTGTGATGTGCTCCCGAGCATTTGGGTTGGTACCTCCCTTGTGCCAGCTTTTCTTTCCACTATTAGCTAGTTAGCATGAGACTTGACGGGAAGGAATTTCACATGTACTTACTGTTTGGACGGTGTGCAGAGAACCGTTGCAGAGCCAAAGTTCCTTGTATCCTTTTGGGTATACGTGACGACGGCTTGTTCCGCTTCAGATGTTCTGGCCGCTTCATTAGTGAAGGCGATGTAGTCGGTGCTGTTGATGCCCATGATGATAGGAGTTCTTGGTGTTGTGAATCAAGTGTGTTCTGATAATGATCTGTTTGAACATTACCTTTGACAGGATCCGTCTAGCATCTCTTATAATCATCGTCTTGCACCAATTCGAGGCACGAATACTTCTTTCAACTTCAAAGCATTTTTGTCTAGGCTCTGCCCGACGACTTGGGGGTGGTTCCAAATCATTGGAATTGACGCCAACATCAACTGTATTCTTTGTTATCGTGGTGAATAGGTTTTTCTGGAGACATCACTCAGTATGCTCAAAACGTTGGTGTTGGGGTCTATTTTCGGGGCATATGGCTTGACGACAAAGCGACAACTGAAATTGAATGCAGCCACCTCGTGGATTTTAGTGACACAGGCATAGCAATTGCAATCCTACAAGCCTTACTCTATTACATCTTTTAGGGACAAAGAGAAGTTGATGGTGTGATGCTTCTGTTGGAATTGTTGGCTCCTTTGACGGGTTCCCACTTGCAGCCAAGCTTCAAGTGTGATTGTCATGGCGGGGCTGTTCTTTGACTGGCTAGCTGGTAGCCTCAATGTGGGCGGCTGAGTTACCACAAATAGTTGGTTGGGCTCGTCGGGTGCCTCTTTGAAACGGAACAAAGGCCCTTGGAAGTATCTTTATGTGTGATTTAATTAGGTCCGTCATAGCTTCCACACACAAGGGCGCCAAGATGATTGTGGCCTTTTGAGGTACTCATGCCTGAGGCAGGCATGCCAACCCAACTGGATATATAAACAAAGAACCCTCTTGCCCAGCCCAACGCAAAAGGCCATCTACTGTCACACGGCTTCTACGGACCAACCCGTATTGCTAAAGATGGGTAACTACTTTGCTAAATTGTCACCATGCCTAGCCCAGCCTACGGGCCAGACTGACCGGGTTTCCGATCATAAACCCGACCAGGCCACTCACTCTGATACCATCTCTGAGGGTGTTCAAGACCAGGCCACCCAGACTGATGCTGTCGCGGACGGTGTTGAAGACCAAATCATTCAGCCTGACACCGCCTCTGAAGTTGTTGAAGAGGGAAAGGACGCATACCGGCCTGGTGGCTTCCATCCAGTCTACATCGGCGACGTCTTTAACGACAGATACAAGGCCCTCAATAAGATTGGCTACGGCCAGTACTCTACAGTCTGGCTGGTCAAGGACCTGCAAGCTAGGTGAGTGAACTTCTAGGCTCCCCCCTCGACATTCTTAGTTAACATCTAGCTCCAGTAGCGATGGGCCAAGCCTTTTTCGGGCGTTGAAGGTACTGAGCGCTGTGTGCTATGGCCAAGGACATGACACTTTCGAAAAGGAGATTCTCACTCATCTTCGAGATGGGGATCGCGACCAGCTGGGCTACAACTACGTCTGTCACCTTGTCGATGATTTTGAGCATCTGGGCCCAAACGGTACTCACACATGCCTCGTGTTTGAACTCATGGGCGAGACACTTCGCAGCTTCGGCGTTTGGTTTTCTGAGCACATGATCCCACCTTCAATCATGCACAGATTCGCGATTCAGCTGGTGCTGGCGCTTGACTTTGCCCATGAACACGACGTTATCCATACCGGTATGTTATTTATACTACTGACCATATCACTTTCCTGAGACTGACTATTGAATAGATATCAAACCGGACAACATCTTTGTCAAGTTTCGTGATCACTCGCTGATCGAGTCTGGCTATCTGAAGGATGTCCCCATTCCAGAGCAAGACCGAGCCGAGACTCAATACTGCCCCGTCCCTTCACGGCCTCTCCGTGGGTACTACTTTGATACCGAGAACACTCGCGCAGATCAGTTCGACATTGCACTGGGTGACTGGGGAGTGTCTAGCTGGACTACAAAACATCTCTGTGAGACGATCCAGCCGGTGGCCCTTCGGTCTCCTGAGGTCCTGATTGGGGCTCCCTGGACTGCCTCTACTGACTGGTGGAACTTGGGCGCCGTCCTTATCGAGGTCTTTCGTGCTGTTCGAATGTTCGATGGCGGAGTTGCCCCAGACGGACACTACGAGCTCAAGGAGCACTTGACCGAGATTGTTGATCTCTTCGGACCCTTCCCCAAGACACTGCTTGAGAAGGGAGATCCGGATATCGTTCGTGATATGTTTGATGAAGAGGGATGCGTGAAGGATGCAGAGCAATATGAAGGGCCTGGTCTGGAATCGGAGGCTTACCTGCCTGGTCTGAGCCTGTTGATGAAGGCAGACTTCGCCTCGTTTCTAGAGCTGATGATGAAGATCGACCCTGAGGAGCGTCCTTCGGCAATGGATCTCTTGCGACACCCGTGGCTGAATGCAGTACGGTCTAAGTAGTTTAGATAACCATGCGGGGAAGAAGATTGTCTTTGAATAGAGCCCAACGATCCGTACCTCGCACCCCACTAATTTTAAGCCTGTACCTTTTCTCTTCCGTCTTCTTGAGTCTCACTAAACTCCCCCTCAAGATCAGTCGCCCCTACTTGTCGGTTGGCATCCCGCCGACTTAGATAAAGGATAGTGTATATGACAGCCAACTGCACGACAGTCGTTCCAAGGCTACTCTTGAACCCAACAATCCACCTCGGTGCGCCTGTAGCTGGGAAGAGGCCGACCTGGGCTCCCGCCATGATACCTTGACCAATCGCGTTCATGCTCGCTGTGACGACAGCTCTCTCTTCAGCGTCGTTTGCCATAATGACTGTTGCCCAACCCATTGACATTGGGGACATTGCTGCCGATAGAATTAGAAGGTGAACATTAATCAACTTGGAACTGTACTTACGAGCCATGAAACCTTGTAGCATAAACGCGGCCAACCGACCCTTCTCCCCGACATGCCACACGTTCAAAAGGATCATTCCAATTAGAACAGGGACAGTCGTGATGGTAGCTGGGATCCAGAAATTTCCCAGCTTGTCTGCAGCAACTCCAGCCATAAGTGCGCTCACAATCATAATGGCTGCAGTGACTGTTGGCAACGTGTTGACTTGGACGATGGAGTAACGGTCCGGGTTGGCTCTCAGATACAGAGAGAATGGCTGGCCACCTGGCAGAATATTCAAGTCGAGAATGGTCCACAGGATAACGAAGGCGTAAAAGTGCCAGCGACCGAGGACTCGCCTGAAGATGGTTGTAGACAGCTGAAGCTGTGGAGGTGCAGTCAACCCTTCGATTCGTTTCTGTGCGAGCGCATGCTCAGCTTGAGAGAGCGCCAAGGGCTTCTTGCGAGAGGGAACGTCTGGGAAGACTATGTAGCCACTGAAAAATGGGTCAGCCACAGTCTTGGGGAGTGGAATAGGATACTCACATGAAGGCAATCCCAATAGTAATGATTCCATCGATGATGAATAGCCACCTGTGAGGAATAAATGTTAGGAACCCATGGCGCGTAACGTGCCTCAAGACTTACCTCCAGCCAGACAAACCATGGACTCCGTTGAGATTTTTGTAAGCAGCTGCCTGAAGATACCCAGCAAACATGGTACCGCCTGGGCTTGCAATGAAGAAAAGGGCAATTCTCCTGGCCACCTCGTTGGGCTTATACCATGAGCCAATGATGTAGATGGTACCAGTGAAGGAGCAACATTCGAAAAGGCCAACAAAGAATCTCATGGCGTAGATAGCCTCAACATTCTTGACCCATGCTAGTCCAAAAGTTGCCAAGCCCCATCCAAGCTCAAGCGATGGGAGGACAATGTTGGCTGGGTATCTGGTCATGAGGTAACACGCTGGAATCATGGCACCGCAATAAGAGGCCCAGAAGGTGGCGGTGATGTAGTTGAGTTCATTTCCCCACAGGCCAATCTCCTCTCTCATACCGCTGGCGAAGAAGATTAGCATGACCTATTGAGGTTTTAAGGCGTATGGGTGACTTGCCTGACAAAAGCATTGGTGAGAGATTGTTGGTCGAGATATTTGGTAAAGAAGGAAAGGCAGCCAAAGACAAGAATACTCAGATCAAGTTTCAAGACGACCAATTTCTCAGAGCTTGGCATCTCACGGGAGTACCATCCGACAAAGGTCATGAATCTGATCCAAAGATTCTCATGGTCGTCAGAAGCATTCCCAAGCTCATGCTGGCTGGGTGTGTTAGCCGCAGGCTCAACCGTCTCAGATGGCGTGTCTTTGGTTAAAGACATGGCCGATGATTGAGAGACCAAAAAAAGCAATGAGATACGAAACCAAACCGATAAATCTCGCAGATAGATGAAATCCGGTGGTAAGCAGGAAATACTAATTGCTTATAATGTGTCCCCTGAGTACCACTATCGATCACGCAAACTATAGCTTGCATTGCGGAGAATTTCTTGGCAATCTCGGGCATGGCATGATAAGGGTACAGTGATCCGACTTAGGAAGTATGAACCCTACCAAATGGCATCCTGCCTCCGGGGTCCATCTTCTGCGGAACCAGATGAGATCCCGCGCTTCTCAGGCGGAGGGGCTCCGACACCGCTCTCCGGCTTTGTAAGCTAGGTATCTATCCCACATCTCAGCCTCCTAGTAGAAGCCTCGCTTGTTAGACAAAAGAGGTATCGGAAAATTGGGGGCCTGGGTTATTGCACAAGAGTGGCGTCGTTTGCCTCATTCTTTGACCTCGTCCAGCGATGCAACGAAGGACCCTACCGGCAATAAAAGACGGCAAGTGGAAATACGTCCCACAGATGGTCTGAGTTGTGCCTTACTACTCGATGACTGATGGAAGTGGACCTTGTTGGTAGGATCGATCTTGGCGATTTCATGATCCCCATGCTGAATTACGCCATTTGATATCAAGTCGATCCGACCTGCAAGCATCCTTATCTATATTAGGCAACGGAAAGCATGTCAAATCTTTACAACGAGCTTAGCATTGACCTATGTGAATCACCTTGCAAAATGTCGTCTGCAACTCAAGATCAAAAAAGGCCAATTGGGGAGGGAAGAACTATTCTTCTGAATGCTTTCGACTTTTTTGGGCCCGGGATGTTATCCCCAGGCCAATGGAAGGTACTGGCACTCAACCCTTAAGAATCCAGTAGATCGGATCTCTAATTGGATAATTAGAACCCTGCAGACAAGGGCCTACAAAAGTTTGACATTTCCTTCTGGGTTGAATACGCGAAACTCCTAGAGAAGGGAGGCTTCTTCGCCCTCTTTTTGGCAGACACCCTCGGTAGTTACCCCATGTCGCTCAGGTACTTACAAGGTGTTGATATGCTTACCGTTTCTAGGCGGATATGATACCTACGGTGGAAGCATAGATGAGACAGTCAGACGAGCTACTCAGTATCCAGCGTTGGATCCATCTATCGTAAGCCGAAACGCGTCCCGATGCTGAGCTTGGCACTGACATTTAGTAGCCAATCGCCGCGATGGCAGCTGTCACAAAGAGACTGAACTTTGCCATCACAAGCTCCACATCTCACGAGCCGCCTTTTCTTCTAGCAAGGCGGTTTTCAACTCTTGATCATATCACGAACGGTCGTTTTGGCTGGAATATTGTCACTGGGTGGAAGAAGTCCGCCTTTCAGGCCATTGGCCTTGATGAAGCATTCGAACATGACTTGCGTTATGAGAGGTCTGATGAGTACCTCCGAGTACTCTACAAGTATAGAGCCTTAATGGCACCGAAAGGATTGCAACGTTGGCTGACTATCTCATAGGCTCTGGGAAGGCTCCTGGGCTGACGACGCCGTGGTTGAGGATGCAAAGAATGATATCTACGCGAATCCGGACCGCGTGCGTACCATCAAACACGAAGGAAGATTCTACAAGGTCACCAGCAAACACATTGTACCCCCGTCGCCCCAACGAACTCCTTTTCTTTTCCAAGCCGGTACCTCTGGAGCTGGAGTCAACTTTGCCTCAACTCACGCTGAGGCAGCTTTTGTGGGCGGAACAACCCCTTCGCAGACGGCTCCCAAGGTAGCCCAGCTTCGAGCCGCCTTGGCTGAAAAGGGAAGAGATCCCCGAGCTTTCAAGGTGTTCATCAGCTTCTGCCCCATCATTGGTAAGACGGATGAGGAAGCCCAGACGAAGCTGGAAGAGCACAAGAAGTACGCGAGCGTCATTGGTGGACTCGTTCAGGTCAGCGGAGTCACAGGGATCGACCTCTCCAAAATCCCCCTTGACCATGAGCTGAGTGCTGCCGATGCTGGCCAAGCCGTCATCAGGACTCATCTGGATTCGTTCGTCACCTCGGCCGACGGGCAAGCGTGGACCGCCAGACGCGTGGCTGAATTCGCATCCATTGGTGGCCTTGCTCCATTCGCCGTTGGGAGTCCTCAGACTGTTGCTGATGAGATGGAGCGTTGGATTCATGAGGCGGATATAGATGGGTTCAACCTTGTTGCTGTAGTTACTCCTGGAAGCTTTGAGGATGTGGTCGAGTTGCTTGTACCAGAGCTGCGTCGACGGGGACTGTATCCTGAACCGAGCACAGAAGAGTTGACTACAAGGGAACAGGTTCACGGAAAAGGGAAAAAATCTCTTGATGAAAGCCATGTTGGTAGCAAGTACAAGTATGATGTATATCAAGAGGAGGCTACTCAAGGAGAGAGTTGAGGTGTGTTTAGTGCACTGTCAACCCTGATTGTATCAGGGTTAAGGTTAAACAGAATTCGAGTTGTCAAGGCAAGACCAAGGACCTGAAGCCCCCTTAGCCTTGAGCGCGGCAATGATTTCCAGGACGGAGCCGTATGTGCCTGCAATCATCAAGAAAGTGCCGGATATGATGACAAAAAGACTCCAGCATACCATCAGAGCCCACCGGGTAGACCGTCCGCTCTCCTTTCCTGCAGCCCAGTTGTCATAGAGCCACATGCAGCCCATGGGCTGGAAACACTGTAGTGTACCGAGTAGAGCTCCGATGAAACCAATGAGGGGACCAAACACTGGGATTCCGCTCGCGATACAGTAAGCGATGGTAGCACAAGTGAAAATGCAGCTGAGCCAAGTGCCCCAATGTGTCATCGTGTTGGCAACGAGATGCTGAGAGCCCCGTAGAAACCGAATGAAGAAGTGCTTGCTCACAAGCTATGTGTATCATGGTCAGTTGACGCAATTCAAGGTCGGTAACAGGTACTCACATGTATAGCAAGAGTTGAGCTAGCAAACAACCCCGGGAGCGCGATACCATACGCAATCTTCTTGATCAACCTACCTGCAGATCCAAGAGCAGGCGATGCTACATAGGATCCGCAATAGTAATACACAACGACTCCAATTGTCACGTACGTGATAGTCACAACGACTTGGCAAAGGATCAATGCCTTGGTATAGTGTCGAGGGTTGCGCATCTCGGAGACGATCGGGAAGAAGAAGGGCGTGCCGGCGTAGGATAGCACGAACATCGGAATCGCCGAGGCAGCTGCTGTAAAGCTTGGATGGCCGACTAGTTTATAGTCTGAAGACCATGGACCTGGAGGGGCGTCATCAGGGCGGTCTTGGACGCCAACACCAATGGTGACGATAAATACTGCTAGTATTAGTAAACTGGCCTCGATATGTACGGAATAAGCCAAGGCACTTACTGGCGACAAGGATTGAGACTAAACCAACCCATGCAATCCAACTGAGGCGATCAAGAGTTCGGATACTCGCGAGGGCCATGACTCCGACGGCAGCCACAGCAACAAACGCGGCAGTACAAGTTCCGTGAGTCGAGATGGAATTGAAGCCAATAGAGATGCCAAGCATTCCAGATCCAGCAGCAAAGATTAGGTCTAGGAAGCAGCGGGTTTAGTACCCTTCACGCCAGATGCTGTCTTGTAATCCACTTACATAGGGAGAATCCCGCCGAAAGAATCTCACGCCCAACCACACCGAACATGATTCTACTCGCGTCGTCGATTCCGTAGACCTCGGGGTGTTTTAGCTTAAAGGCACCAACCATGTAGTTGGACCAGGTGGTGATAATGGCTATAGCCAGAAGGCATAAAACGCCGGGGATGAGACCTAAGACGTTGAAGGCAGCCGGGATCGACAAGACACCTAGGCCGATTTGGGTCTTCATCATCAAGACTGAAGTTCCAATCCATCCAACCTAACTCTTGTTAAATCCTGTAGGAGCATCATACGTATTACCACATACATTACGATAATTTGGCCCATCTTCGGTAATGGGACCGAACACGGCGTCGTGAGCCACAGTATTGGTTGAAGATATCTTTGTAAGCGAGTCCACCTTGCCCAAGACTTCCAGATCGTTCTCCCCGATCTTATTCTTAGGGGTTATTTCGGCAGGGTTCGACATTTCGAGACAAAGAGACATTAGGCAGGTGTTGTTGGAATGATACTGGCAACGACAAACCGATGAGAACCTGTGTGATCTTTGAAAGATCCATCCTCCGGGTATTAGGCCATGGCGTAATTCTCCGTGCCCTCTCAAATCTCTAATTTTCCGGGCGACCGTAGTGTGTCTTTCGATAACGGCCCAAGCTTATCGCTGGCGTTGATATTGACCAAATCGTGAAGCTCCTCACGACAATGCAGGGAATGGCCAGAGAATGGACGAACTTGAAAATGGTTCAACTTTTTGAAAGGAATCGATGATTATCTTGGTGTTTTCCATTTCTCTTTTCTTGTCCTTTCCCACGTAGTCAGCGATATAGCTGTGCCCTTTGTGGTCAGTGTCTAGATCGAGAAATGGCGTACACGGAATTTCCAAGTCTGCTGTAAAATGCCGGGGAGGCCCAGACCCCATCTCCCCCGCATTGTATCTTGACACGCATGGAGGGAGCACAAGTTAACTACCCCACACTCGGGAAAGGCAAAGTTGACAATGAGGTTAGATGAGACTTAACCTCCTTTCCCAATCCCCCCTCTTTCTATCTCTCGCTAACCCCAGTACTGATTGTGCCACTGCAGCGGTCTTCTCAGTGGGTTTTTCGTCTTCCAGGAAGTCTTGTCTTAAAAGACGCTTCATCTAATCTGAAAGGGTAACGTAGAGGCCTCTCTTTAATGATGTCATGATGCATCTGACATTCACCCTAGTAGATAGGTATATCTATCATTTCTAGGCCATGTCGCCCTGGATCGGACATCTATGTCCAGTTCCACGGCCGGAGCGTGATCGGGTGCCTAAACCATCAGTACGGATCCCAAAGCCCGGTAGTTAGGCATTCCTACTAGCGGTTCCATTTCCGTAGCCTGTTGTTGGCTTTGGGTGATGGAGGACTGCGCTTGCCCTGGGTGTTGTCCGTCTAGCACCTAGTCTGAAGGTCGAGTGTTTCGAGTAGCCTGTGCTCAGTGTGCTCGCACATGACCGGTAGACAAAAACGCCTCTGCTGCTGTTAAATATGAGTTTGAGAGTTTGGGAGGGTCACTCACCTAAGATGAGGAAGCCAGCATCAAGAAGCCATGTCACCCAAACGGCCACGGCAAGGACCTGGCCAAACCCCCAATCATTGTCTTCATAGTCATATCGTACATGTTTGCGCATTCTCTCTCTACTAGTCTGAAGACTGAGATAGAAATTGAGAATAAGAAAACTGGCCACAGCTGTGAAAACGACGGATACGCATGGCTCTATCTTCCAGGAAGATTTGCTAGACGGAGGAAAGCCAAGCGGAGAAGATCCTCCGCCTAAGAAGCTGTAAGTATATAAATCCGTTGCTGAAAGCCAGGATGGGTATGCCGTATGCAAAGGATAAGACGAAGAGAGCACACAGACTGTAGAAACATTCGGGATTATCTTTTCGAATGAAACGAATGGAGGATACCCCCTCAGGCTATCGCAATCTTTGGCGATCTACTCAGAAAACGCATAAACCCAGACCTACTTTCCACCAAGCGGTGATATGAGATCTAGGCTGAACCGCAACTGTGCACTTTGGGCGGGTATGCATATCAGGACCCCAGTGTAGAGTACGATTTGAAGGATCCATTGTATCTTCGAGTCAGCTGAACAGCAAAACGCATAAGATGCAGATCCTAGCACGCAAATTATGACTTGGTACCAAGAGAGGAGACGAATGAAATGGGACTCGAATACGGGGCACATTGGATCTTGTCAGATGACGGTGGAAATCACCATACATGTGGCGGTGAAATAATTCTATTTGTGAGTCGGGGGCGCAAGCTTGAGGAATAGATCAACCCAGCGGGAGCGGTCTTGTTGAGATTGAAAGTACGAGAATGGGTTGTTTTGCTTATCAATCAGGATGACTGCAACGAAGAGAACGGGGCAAAAGATCAGTAGCACGGCGCCTTGAGTGGCGTACGAGATCATAATTTACCAACAAAACGTTAGCCGACTTCAAGTCACGTTTTCATCCAAGAACTTGCCCCAATGCATGATAGGTCGGGATTTCCGGTGCCGTAGATAAGCTGACAGACGGTGTCACAGGTCTCAATCAACAAGGCCACGTTAAAAAGCTCCTAGTTCTGATTCAATTCATCAAAGTGGTCCTGTAGGCCAGAGAATGCGCAGGGGTCCTCGGGTTCACCTGGCTTCGCTGGTGGGAGGGAGGTTGGAAGACTCGAGGGCTTCAGGTCGTCAGCGGTAGCCACCACCATCGAAACTAAGGCTAGCCCAAGAAGACACATGGCCTTGGGCGCGGCCATTGCGTCTAACGAAAACCTTGACAGGGTACTAGATTTGAGGCGTGCGTACTGATGTTGGATATTAGATGTTGAAGGTTGACTGATTGATCCCTTTAGGCTCCGGGGGACGGCGTGCAACAAACAACGCAAAAGTGAAAGAGGATACAATTGAATAGCCGAGGTTGGATTGCGAAATTATGCATAGAGGCGTCGCTGGTGGTTGTAGAGTAGTTGTGATTGGCTTGGTTGGTTCAACTTCAGCCTTGTTTGCTTTGTCCCATCCACGGCGCTCACACAGTCGTCTCTTAATTTTCCCGCCTATTTTATATTATTTACCCCTCATGAGACGAGTGGGCTTTCTTCCATCCATCTCTAAAAGCATCAGCGCGGAATAAATGCCACAGCACGGCGTTACTATCCGCTATAGTAATTGCAAGCCGAAACCGCCGCCCTGGCAGGGAAATGCCAGCTTTTGCCTGTCTGTATGGAATTATTAGAGTAGCTCACCTCTCCAGCGTTGAGAAATACGCCGTGATCAATTAGATACTCGCACAGCTGGATCTCGCGGCTGGGCTTGTTGTCGCCTGAACTAGATCCCTCAAAACACGATAGCCAGCTGCTAAGGTCGATAAATACAAACAGACCGGAGTTAGCGTCCTCATAAGGAATTCAATGCTGGATGGGCTCGGTTCTCGTCTTTTCATACGAGTCTTCCAACCGACTTTGGGGTAAAGAGAGCTATTCATCAGCAAGATTCTCTTGGGCAATTAAAACTTGAGCAAAGGAGCAAGACAATTTAGTAATTCATGTGAACCATTTGAAAGGCTAGGTTAGGTTCCATAGTATCATCTCATCGAGACTGAAAAGATAATTCACGTCACTCACCTTCGCTACCTTGAGCGCCTGTTTGTTTCGAGTCACGACAAAAGCGATCCGAAGACCTCCCACGGCGAAGTCTTTACTGAGGCCATAAAGACAGTGGAAATTTGATGTCTAGGCTGCATACCCGTCAAGACTGAGCACCAACGAGAAGTTATCAGTCGATTTGGGCGGAAATCGAGACATTGCGTATATTTCATCACGACTAGGTGCATACCTCATTATCAAGGATATTAGAACTTCCCCAAGAGTCTTAATCATGCAAGCCTTAACTACCCTTCCGCAACATATTGAGGGGAGGCCGCAAGGATGTCAGGCGCTAATTACTGCCAGAACAGGAGACGCTCTCGCTCCCGTGGTTCCCTTTCGGTTAGAACATGCTAATCTTGCACCAAGCCTCAAATGGAGAACCAGACCGAGCGTTTGTTGCACTTCTGTAAAAAGTGCGAACACGGTGTTTGCACTCGAGATGTATAGATATACGTCATGGTGTTCAATAGTAATTTTTGGAATTCTCCTCTCGACTGCAGAAACACAAACAATACCTTCACCAGTCATCTTCATAATGAGAATCAGAAATGCTTTGTTCTGGGCATTACTCGCCCCGGCTCTGGCCATGAACTCTGATAAATATGTCGTCCACAAGTCCAAATTTGATCCTTCTCGCCAGATGCGTGTCAAATCTCATCCTGAAGGTGCCGTCTGTGACGGGGGTGTCGCAAGCCATAGCGGTTGGGCCGACTTGGGCAACCATCACATGTTCTTCTGTAGGTGTTGCTCTTAAACCGCTGGCATAATCTGATCAGCATATGATAGGGTACTACGAGTCTCGCTCCGCCGCCCCAGATGCACCCGTGATGGTCTGGTTCACGGGAGGGCCTGGGGGCTCCAGCCAGGCTTCCGCCTTGGTGGAAAATGGCGACTGCAAGTTTGATAGAGATTCTCAAAAGCCAACTCGCAACCCATACGGGTGGACTGAGGAGTTCCACATGGTCTATATCGATCAGCCCGTCGGGGTCGGCTTCTCTTATCTTGACCACGGAAACACCCCTTCCACCACCGACGAGGCCGCTCCTGACGTGGTTGGATTCCTTCGCCTTTTTGCGGAATCGTTCCCTCACCTTGCCAAGAATCCCCTCCATCTCGCCGGGGAATCCTATGGAGGTCGTTGGATCCCAGTATTTGGCGACTGGGTGAACCAGTATAACAAAGTTGTGGCGGAGGAACAACGTATCCCGCTCGCCTCGCTGATTGCCATAAGTGCCTGGTCGCACCCTATGGTACAGCTCCCCACCACTTACGATGTCGCCTGCTGGCCTTTCAAGGGTTACCCGCCTGCTCTGAATGACACTACCTGCACCGCCATGGCTGCCGAGTATGAGAGCTGCAAAACTCTACTAGATGCCTGTGACTCCAGTCAAGATGGCATCATGTGTGGCGAGGCGGCAAAGCTGTGCCATAAAGGTATTCTTGATTATCTCTACACCCAGAAAGTCAACAAGTATGACCGCCGGATGGTTTGTCCTGCTCCTAGTCAATGCTATCCCATCATGGACGAGATGGAAGCCTGGATGAATACCGAAGCTATTTTCGAAGACCTTTTGGATATCACCAACCAGACCTCGGGAAAGAAGGGTTCTTACCAATTCATGGATTCCCAGACCTATCTGAACCTAGTTGCGTCGGGCGACTTGGTTGTGAATAGTCTGAAGCATATCGAGACCATTCTTCAAGACCGAGTCGTCCCTGTTCTGTATACGGCGAGTGATGCAGACATGATGGTCAACATCAAGGGTGTTGGTGAGGCATTGGATAACATGCGCTGGCATGGCAGGCCCTTCTTCAAAAACGCCCCCTTTGAAGAACTGCCCTTTAAGACCAGTGCTGGTCATGCCGGAGGAAGGGTTAAGAAGAGTGAAAAGCTCTGGTATGCCGAGTTGGCCGAAGCGGGCCATATGGTGAGTCTCCTTCGGTACTTTATATACCCAATCACATCTAACCACTGAGTAAAGGCACCATACGACCAGCCAGCGGGGACACTTGAGCTTATGAAGATTTGGCTGGCTGGAATTAACCATGGCTTGGTAGGATTGCGCAAGGATGATAAGCAATCTTTTCTTGGTGCGGATTTATAGTGGTCAATTGAAACGTACTGGTAGGTGGTAGGTAGGAGGTAGTTGGCGGAGCGTACAAGTACTATTAAAATTTGTTCCTCAGTATTCATCACTCAACAGTTCTCCATATCCAGCAGCCGCTCCAGTCCTACGGGGAAGCCATATCGGAGCCCATGGGCATGCTTACGGAGCAAGTATTGTGACTGTTGTACATGTCAATTGAGGGGGTGAAAAGAAGGGCATATGATGCAAGTACCCAATTGAGATCGGGAGAAGCACCTATTAAAGACTTCATGGTTGTCTAGGCAGGCACAGGAGTTGGTATGGCCAAGTAACTGGCAAATGCAGGCGATATCACCAGGGCTGTAACAGACTACTAATTGGAGGTAGTTCGTGGTTATAAAGATGATTTATTTTACGGTATTTGGTTTTAATACCATCATATATTAATGTCTACTTTTTACTGTTGTGGCTGACGGCATCTCATGGACTTGTTAATGTAGGCAATAATAATAAAGATGGTTCCCCAACGTATCAGGGGGGAGATTCGTACGTGTAGACGGTAGTGCTCCAGCTTCTATATATTTACCCAGCCTATTTCTTGAAAGTCCATGTCACATCCTCCCAACCAGGCCTCCTACTGAGCTTGAAACCGGGGCCATTAGCTCCCCATACAGGCCGCCTTGGCGCCGATCCGAAGATGGGATCAGTCGAGTCAGGCAAGTCCAGTCCTTCTACCGTCAAGCCCAGGGCCAGGACACCAGTGAACCCCAGAATCTCGGCGAAGGCAAACTTTCGGCCCGGGCAAAGATGACGTCCGCCTCCAAAAGGCAGCAGAGCACCTCGTCTCGCCCTTTCGTCCTGTGCAGTAGGCTTGATGAACCGCTCGGGATTGAAAGTGTCTGCATCGTTGCCCCATACCGTATCGATAAAGTGAGTCACCCCTGGTGGCCATTGCACGTTAGTTCCCTTCTTCAGTAGATACTCTCGGCCGTCCAAGTCTTGAATCTTGGTGTCTTTCATAGCTCTCCTGTTTCCAACACTGTGGAGATACATTCTAAGCGTCTCCTGATAACAAGCGTTGAGTACTGGGCAGTGCTTTTCGAACTTGGTAGAATCAACCAAGGCTGTCCTTCCGTTAGGACCATCCTCAATGGTGGTGATTGCCTCTATCTCGGCTCGTACACGTTCCAGGTATCCAGGTCGGGCAAAGAGGTTCACAAAAAGCCAGAATAGCGTCGGGATGGTGTTGGTAGACCCGACCCACGGCAACATGAGTTCTTGAACAGCAAGGTCCTGATCGTTGTAACCCGCGGCTCGAAGGACCGCAGTACGTTTCCGAATAATGTCAGAGACATCAGGTCCTTCCTCGCATCTAGCCTCGTAAAAAGGGAGAAACAGTTTGTTCAACTCGCTCCTTGCCGCCACAGACTCTCCTGCAATTAGATTGGGGGCCACGTTAATAGCTAGCAGCGTAGCACTCTTGTCAAATGTCCTAGAAACGAGTATCAATGGTCTGTTTGGGGTTTGAGTAGAGAGTGGATGACGTACCATAAAAGGTGCACATGTTCTGGGGTGATGGGGTTCTTTTTGCCAAATAGAGCAACAGCCGTCGCTTCTGTCGTCATATCGCGGATCCATATGAAGGCATCTGGGATAGCAACAGACTCATTTGGCTGGATAACATTGATGTGTCCCATCATCTTTTCGAGTGCCACCACATTCAGTCTATGCAGAGGCTCACCCAACAAAGATGAGTGAATGATGTCTAACAAATCCTTCATCACAGTTGGGCGGGCGATGACTTCCACTTGTCTCTCGTTTTGCCCAAATATTCCTTTGGAGAACTCAACAATGAAGGGGTCAAAAGAGATGTCATTGTTGCGCAAGGCTGCCTGAATGAGACTGGGCGAGTTGATAACGTATAGCTTGCCATTCAGCATGGGAAGTGTACAGATAGGCATACGTCGTTCCTTACTGATGGTAAGTTAGAGAACCAAGTCCATAGACTAATGAGGGTTTAATACTTACAACAAACGCGTATAAAAGCCAGCTTTCTCTCTCATCATGGAGATGATATGGCCAAAGATGGGAACCCTTGGCTTCAACAACGGTGGCTCAAGTGGATCCATAGTCGGAAACAAACATGCTTTCAACAGGTAGAGCAGTCCCGTCAGGGCTACTGCCAGCCCTGCGGTCGACATGGACAGACTCTCGAGAAGCATCTTTGTCAGGTCGCACCAATTGCCTCGGAGATGACCAACGAGGGCAGTTGTCGGTAAGCACCGAGTCTCAAGATGCTCACCGCAGAGACTTTATGGTGGTCAGGGGAATAATCACGGCTAATTCTAAAATGTTAGCACGTGACGTAAGCCCAATTCCCTAGCTTTGTATTGGGTAGTTGCTTGGACTTTGACCTCGCTAGGACAACTTGAGCTTAGTGCTTAGAATATTGGCAGGCCTTGAACCCCTGTGGACTCGTATGCTGCCTGTTTGTATCTACTCCGTAATCCTGTGGCATTGCTTGATTCGCGTATCATATTGCCAAAGGTTGGTGCAGGGGTTGAATTTATCCCGCGAATAACACCATCGTGGCCAGTTCCATCCTCCAGGATGGTAGTGGAGATAAGATCATTGCAGGGATGCCACCCCACCCTAGAGTTCAGCGGACCGCCCTGGTTTGAATGCGTTCTGATGAGATAAAGGTAAAGGGCGAGGATTGTATCGATGTAAAGTGAAAATGGGAACTTAATAGCTGAAGTAGGCGCGTTGATACAAAGCTTAACCAATGAGGTTTAAGGAGAACGCCCAGTCACAACAGTGTGAAAGTCATGCTGCAAATACCCAACTACAATCACAGCAAGAAAAGTGTGGCATTGCATACAGGTACAACAGTTGATCACTCTGTAGGAACGATTATTTTCCAGATTCAAGGAATAAATTGATTTGCCTCTTGAGATTACTTCCCCAGACAGCATTCTTGAGAATACATGCCTTTCCTTTCTCTGATTACACCATTGGGTGGATGACACCTGGCAGACAGCCAAAAGGTATAATTTGTTCACAGATCTGATCACGTTCGAGTTCCTAATGATAGCAAAGACTGAGAGTTACCCTATAATTGGCTTTAGGTGGTACAACTACTTGACTACATAGATACTTCTACTCAAATCGTAGTAAGACTGTCCATGCAATGTCATTGTCTCCCCGCCACCTTCGCCGCGTGCCTGGCCCTCACAATCTGTTTCTTCCACGAGAGGCACTGGGAACAAGCTACAAGTTCGGAACTGGTCAGCTGGGTCTGCATTCCAAGAGAAACGGCGTGGAGAATGTCAACACCTACTCCCGCTGCTATGCTTTTCGCACAGATAAACTCCGTCCCCATTTTGTGAAACGGGAGGACAAATGAGGGCATCTCTATCAGTGGCATCGAACTATTCACCCCAATCAGTTGTCAGGCCCTCAGAGCTGGCACTAATGATCTGGTTCATACTCCGTAGAACGCGTCGTTTTCTTCGCGGAAATCTGCACTACAATCCTCACACTATTGTTCAATTAGTTTGGAGCTTTTGATGCCCAACGTCGAGTAGGCTTACCACTTCCTGGAGGTGCTCCGCGCAGAACACGCCATCGTTGATTTCGACAGACGCGGCGTCCATTGTGGTGACTTTGTTGAAGGGGAATGACAGTTGGATAGTATGGTAGTGAGGATAGGCCGATGTACAATCTCGAAAGGTCAGGGACAGCGAGAGGGAGGGAAAAGAACTGCGAGAGGAGGATAATGCAGCATAAAATAGAAGACAAAAGCGGTGAGGGATGGTCGTTTACATCGACGTCATTCAAGACGCTATTGAATCTAAGACTGAGACATGAATCAAGACTTTGGTCGTCTGTTTCCTGTTTGACGATAATGTGGCTGGCTGAAGTGGCTAGGCGCTCCCAAATAGCTCGTAGAGTGGGACGATCTGCGGCCCGAGCTGTCAAGATCTGACAAGATCTGCACTTTGGATAGATTGCGTGAATGGGCAACTGGAGATAAGGCTTCTCGCCAAGATCTTTTGAATGGACTAAAGACGCTTGTGGGCCGTCGATCGAGATTCTTAGGTATAGTAAATGTGATTTTAAGTAAAAAATATTTAATCTGTTGATGATCATCTTCGCGGCCATAGTGTGTCTTTTTTATCGTTCTCTTCTCACAATGTCCCACTGTGTCACTCAGGCACTCTTGAAGCTAGATGGCGTTGTACTCGGAATGTCAAAATGCTTCAAGAGCTGACTCATGTGCTGAATGACCGGTACTTGTTGTCCAAATAGAAGCCGCTGGGATTCCTGCGTCGTAGGCAAATACATGATGGCAGTTAACTGCGCATCCAACGCGCCTTTGATATCCGAGTCGGCAGAGTCGCCGACCATGATTGCGTGAGGAGAAGCGTTGAGTTGTTGCATGGCATATTGAAAGATACGCAGATCGGGTTTCTGATAGCCGGCTTCCTCCGAGGTGATGATGCGGTCGACTAGATGGCGTATGCCGATAGCCTCAGCCTTGGCTGCTTGATCTTCCGTTTGCCCGTTGGTGATTATGCAAATTCGATATCCATGCTTGCGTAATCTAAGTAGCGTCTCGACGCTTCCTGGTGTTGCTCTTCGATTGGCTCTGTATATTGTCTTATACCCACCACGAAACTCGTTGACCTCGTCAAGGCTGGGTTTGGGCAGGCTAAGAGCTGTGAAGAAAAGATGGACCTTCCGCGTGTTGGCCTCTTCGAAAGTGATCGCCTTGTCCAGGTACTCATCATATGCTTGTTGAAGGGCGGTGTTGTACTTGTCCACCAGTTCCTCCACATTCTTTCCCGCAAGAATAGGATATAGTAGTTGCATTGTGGATATTGCAAGACGCAGCGAGTGGTCGTGGTCGAACAGCGTGCCGTCTAGGTCAAAGAAGACGACCTTGGTGGTTGTCGGTTCCATGGCGATTCCGTAGTGGCGTGCAAATAAGATAGTGCCCAAAGAACAGCGAGTTGAGATTAACTTGCAACTGGGTGACGAACCAAGGGCCAAGATCTTGACTTAAAGGTAAGGAATCGGCCCAATTTTCATGGTAAGTTTGAAGATCCAGCGTCGATTTAGTAAACCACTCCCTTCAAGGTTTCCCAACAAAATTTGTCTTTCCCTTCAACTGACCCAAAACGTTCCTACTAGCATTACAGACTCATCAACCATTTATCAAGGTACTCCGAATCCTCCATCTTTCTCAGTAACTCCTCATACTTTTCCCCCTCTGACATACCCGCCTTCAACGACTGAGGAATATTAGGGCATTTCTTCACATCATCCCACTCAGTCGCGCCAAAGTCCCGCAACACGGCGCACCGCTCTTCCATGGTTCCACAGGCGGCCAGTCGGGACCAGTCATCTGGCTTTTCGGGTGCGTCATACTCTGGCAGCCGCAGAGGCGAGTTTCCCGAAAAGGTTTTGAGCATAAGAACAGGGTGTGCGTTCTCTTTCGAAGTGGAAGAAGGCGAAGACGTTGAAGGATAGCCGACGTGTAGGTTAGGTGGGTAATGGTAACCGTAGGGGTAGGACACATCCGAATACTGTGCCTCGAATTTCAGGCTGGGCCACCATCGAGCACCGAGCTGCATAAGACGAAGGGCCAGTGTGTCTTCCTCCTTCAGGGATTCTTCATCTGCGGGAATTCGGGAATAAGATCCTTGGGATGAGCGTGGAAGCCCAAGCCATTCCAGTTCAACGCCCGTGAATTGTCCCAGGACTACACCACCCACTGACGGATAGGCAATAACTGTGCAGTCATTGGGACCGAGTACCGTTCGGTGCTGGTGGCCGTTTGGGGGCTTAGCAGAATCTGGGCACAGGGGGGCAATGCTTTTCATTGTGAGATGCTGTTTCTGCTCGACAATGAGGAAGAGGGAAAAGAGGGCGGGGAAATTATGACACAAACACCCAACATAGTCACGTGGGAGCAAGAACAGAGGCATTCGAAGAGTCAGCTGTCCTTGGCCAGGTGGAAAGGAATGCTTCTCAGCCCGACTTGCCAAGTCATCGTCTTGAGAGAGACTGGACCTTTTTCTGCCCAGGGCTCTTCCGCTTGCGGAACTTGGGTAATGCGATGGCTTATGGATCTGGTCATAATCACCCCATCTTGAAAGCTGATTTGAGAAACTATGAGAGTCGTGGTAAGTCAAATGGTCTTCCAAGAAACTATTCGTGCTAATACGACCAGCTGATACCTTCTTGCAGGAGTTGCTGCACCTTGATCTGGCCGCCAACTCCAAGGACGGTAACCCAAATCCAGATATTCGGGATCTTCTCATCAAATTCACTTTTGGCACTGGCCCCGATAAAGGTAAAAAGTCAATATGGACAAAGGTCTACGGCCAACGCCTAGCCAAGATTCTGGCCCGTTTTCAGCCATGGCGGAAAGATCAGCCTCTGGGGTACTTCATCCAACGCAGTGACGACAGCTACACCATGTTCATCCTGGCAATGTACGTGCAGAGAAAGTTTGGATATTATCCATACATCCCCATGATCTACGACCAGCTCAATGACATGCCTCTCGTGCCACCTCGGGATCGGAACGATCAGCCCGGACTAGGGTTCGAACACAACGATACTGAGCCGGCTGTGCTCCTTGACTTCACACAGGACGGTGACGGGATTTGCCCATCTCTCTACGAAGGAGGGTCTGTGGAGGACCTGGAAGTTGGTACTCCTCATGATAAGTCCTTGTATACTGACTGGTACTGGGAGCAGTATAATGGCTGGATCAAGGAGATTGAGGTCTTTCTCGGCACAGGAGAGAATGCAACGGCTGCCTAGGGCCTCTCATCGAGGTTAGCAGTGATAGTATACTTGTTGAAGATCATACGCCCTTTCGAGATGCAAATATGCAAATGGACAGACCGGTCATAACTCCGGAGTGAGTGTTTACTCCCCATCATCGGAAAATAAGCAAGACTTCCAGTTTCCCGTTTCCACTTCCCCAGGTTTCATCACCTGATGTAACAATCTACTATCTCTCTCATCAAACATCTCCCTGCTGTTAACGGACCATCGGTGCGCAGTGGCAATGATCCTCCGTACCCCGCGTTTACGTGCGGATCCGCGGGCTAGATGTGGTATGGCCAGTGTCGCCCATCCGTGTTAGCGCCGATAAGCCCCCTGACCCTAGACTCCAACACCATTGTCGTTGGCTGGGTTGTCTCGTTATCATCAGCATGCGCGGAAACGATTAATGGACGCTGATACTCGTGGGTGCTGAGTGCTACTCGGAGTCCAAAGGAGAAGTATATTGACTGGGCTGACAGTCGAGAGTGTCACCACCACGCCATGGTGTTTGGGAACATCAATTTATATCTCGGACGAGCCTACTCCCCCCATCAAACAGGGCTCATCTCCCCTTCACGGCATCTGGTCTATTCGATCCAGCTTCTCATCACTTGTTTCTTGTCTACCTATCCTCACCATGGGTTCTACGACCGCCCCCACCGAGAAAGATGAGTCTTTGAGAGATATAGCGCTGGATTTACCCAACAAGGAGGGGCCAGAGAGCATGGTCCAAGCTACAGATGGTGCCAGTATTTCCAATGGCGAGACCGAGGAAGACGATCCATACAAGCCACTCTCAGGCGTGCCCATGTATGATGGCCGTAGATTGGTGACCATCCGTGCCATCTTGACTGGTGGTGTGCTTGGCTCTCTGATTGCCTGCTCAAACCTGTATCTCGGTATGACTACCTTTATGGCGATGTTGAGACCGTTGGACTAATGCGAAAATATCTAGGGTTAAAGACTGGCTTCGGTGCCGATGCCTCCTTGTTCTCAGCCATCTTTGGCTACGCTATTTGTAAACTCCTCGAAAAGTCCAAGGTGAGTCATCGCTTGACCCCCGAGAAGCAGGCATCTTCAACCTAGACCGCGCGCTCACACGATCGTAGATACCCTTCCTGTCCGGCCACTTCGGTCCACACGAGAACAACATCGTCCAGGCAACGGCTCTGGGATGTATCGGCGTTGGCTTCATGTTCATGAGCGGCGTGCCTGCCATGTACCAGCTGAAGCTTCTTGGACCTGGCCCTCAATCCGACTACGGAAGAATGCTCTGTCTCACACTTGTAGCCGGGTTTTGGGGCCTCGGTTTTGCCGTTCCTCTCAGGCGCATGTTCATCCTCAGGCTGGCACGTCAACTGAGCCTTTACTTTCCTCTGGGACAAGCGTCAGCCATTACGATACGCGCTCTTCATTCAACGACTGAGGGCTCCATGGGGGCCAGGGAGAAGATCAAGGCAATCAGCTACTCCTTTTCGGCATCTGTTGTATGGTCCGTCGCCACCTCTTACGCCCCAGGAATTCTCTACCAGTGGAATCCCTTTTGGTGGATCTACAAATGGGGAGGCCATGGTATTCTCAGCGCCGTGAACTGGGGATGGCTCTCCTGGCAATGGTCCCCTTCTATGATCGGAGTGGGCATGCTCATCGATCTTAATGCTTCTCTGTCCTATCTTCTCGGAACAGTTCTGGCCTGGGGAGTAATTGGGCCAATACTCGTGGCAAAGGGTGAAGCCATCGGGATTCCCTACGATCCCACCAACCCCAAGCTGATCACCTACAATGCCTTTGTTCCCGAGCAGCTGAAGACGAACCCTTCGCCTCGATACTGGGTGCTGTGGCCAGCCGTCCTGATGATGCTTGCTGTTTCCATCGCCACAATTCTCCTAGAGACCAAGAACTTTGGAAAGCTTGGCAAGTATGGACTCCAGCGGCTGGAGTCTAGGGTTGCTAAGTATACGGGAAGACGCCTGCTCTTCAAGGCCGACTCTGATCCGGGCGCTCTGGCTCTTGGAGACTTTGAAATCCAGGACCCTGTGCCAAAGGAATATCAGGTTCGCTGGTGGGAGTGGTCATCTGTGACAGTTCTGGCATTCGTGTTTGCCATGATCACTCTCAAGTACACCTTCGGTGTGCCCCCTACACTCATCCTACTCAATATCTTCCTAGGCTTTATCTGGTCATTCGTAGTGATCCAAGTCTTTGGAGCATCTGGTACCAACCCCATCTCAGCTGTTGCGAAGGGTTCCCAGTTTATCACCGGCGGCGTGCTTCGTAACCAGGTCGAGAAGCAGGGATTTGACCATGCTGCCCGCTCCACTCTCGTGGGGACGGTCTTGTCTTCTGCGGCTGCCAACCAGGCTGGCGAGCTGTGCCAGGATTTCCGCACAGGCTTTCTCTTGGGAACGCCAGCCCGGGCTCAGTGGCACGCTCAGTTGTTGGGTACGCTCATAGCCGTCTTTCTATCCCCAGGCCTGTTTGTCTTGTTCACCAAAGCGTTTCCATGCATCACCGATGCATCGGCCACAACCTGCCAGTTTGCTCTGCCATCAGTCACAGCATGGCGAGTTGTCACCGAAGCCATTCTCGCCGAAGACTTTCCCATTAGCCAGTCCAGTTGGATATTTTCTGTCATCTTCTCTATCCTGGGAATGGCTCTTATTGTCCTAAAGCGGTACTTGGCACAGAGGTCGCATTTAAAGAAGTGGGAGGCATTTGTACCCAACATGTCGCTTGTTGGACTCGCAATGACCATTCCTGGGTCTACCACGACAGTCACAGTGGCCATCGGTTCAGTCATTGCGTGGATATGGAATAAGCGCTGGCCCAAGTCCCACGCCAGATTCATGTACGCCGTCGCATCAGGCGGTATTGCCGGAGAGGGTGTTGGCTATGTTGTCCTCAGTGTTCTCCAGATCGCGGGGGTCGGCGGCAGTCAGCTTGGAACAATGATCGGATGTCCTGGAGGTGCGTGTTGAGCTGTCGGAATAGGCTTCCAAAAGGAGTGTTGGCGTTGGAACCAGCGCCTACTAACCCTGATGGGGACATGGAGTCCGCCGATATCTTGCAAGGACGTCTGTATTCATAACATCATTTTCGCATATATAGGCTAGTATGGCCGATCTGATATCGCTTCTCCTCCCAAAGACAAACATCAGGTTTCTTTAAGCCAATCTATCATACTGTTTCATTGTTCATGACGATCGACGACAACCCACCAGCATGAAGTATACCCCCATCTTCACGACCGAGGGCGCTAAGCCTCTCCCGCAGTTCTCACAGGCTGTTGTGTACAATGGCCTTGTGTATGTTTCCGGCAACGTTGCTTTCAAACCTGGGCCCAAGGCTGAGCTGGTGGAGGGTACGACAAAAGACCGAGCGGTAAGTGACGGGACCTGATATCCCAGTTGCAAAACTGAACCCAAAGTTTTAATTAGAGGCAAATCCTTTCCAATATTCAAGCGGTTTTGCAGGCAGCTGGAAGCAGTCTTGATAATGTCATCAAGATGAACATCTACCTCACAGACATGGGCAACTTTGGACTTTTGAACGAAGCATACGACGAGTTTTTTACCAAGGATATTAAGCCAGTATGTGTCCCTTTGTGAATTAAAGAAGAAGAAGAAACTAATATTAGTGATTCAGGCCAGAACTTGCGTGGCTGTGCACCAGCTGCCTTTTGGAACCGACGTTGAGATTGAGTGCACGGCGTTCGTGAATGTGTAGTAGAGCTCAGTGAGATGCGGGCCTGGATTAGAGGATGTAAATAAAACCAAGCCCTAAGTTCTGATGTCCATTCGCTGCGCTTGGGTATCAACAACGTGCCTTTCCCATCTCTGAGACCTTGTGTGAGCAACTTGCCTCTAGGATACTTAATTGTCACTCCAGTTTCTTTTAGTAAAACCTTTTAGTAGAACCCCTTCCTGATGACATTCGGCGCTGCAAGACTGTACTGAAATCAAAATGGAAAAGAAAATGTTACTGACTTGAGTCATGGATTGGTGTCATCTCTTCCTTTTAGATATGAGGAGTCTACTATTACACTGGAACGACATTTTTTAACTATGCGTAAGACTGTATCCAACTCAATGAAGAAATCAGACCTAAAACCAACAATGCACGTGCTGCTCTGCCAACACTCAGACATGATTTTGAACCATCAGATCAACTAAATGGGAGTAGGCCATAGCAGCTGACCCTGAGGCGACTTGACCAGAAGTCCCCCCTTCCATACATATCGAATATTCTCTGCACTCTCAAAGAGATGAATATTATCCAAAGGATTCCCCTCAAGTGCAATCAGGTCAGCATCCCATCCCTTCTGGATAAGCCCCTTCTTCGGCGCAAGGGCTCCAAGTGTCTCGGCCGAGTTGATGGTCCCAGCCTCGATGGCCTGGAGCGGAGTCAAGCCCGCCTTGACGGCAAGAGCGACTTCATGACCGTTCTTACCATGGGCCGTGTCTGTTCTCGGATCAGACCCGGCAATATCGGTGCCCAGGGCGATCTTGACCCCCTTGCGTACCGCAGTCTGGTATGCTCTCAGGTGAGACTCGGCAATGTTGACCATCTTCTTGGCCGTGGGTGGGTTAAGCTTATCAAGATTCTTAAGACCCGCTTCAACGACATGACGAGTCGCCACGAGCGTGATGCCTCTCTCTGCCATCAGCTCTGCTGCCTCATCATCGATGTAGCTTCCGTGCTCGATCGTATGAGCGCCCGCCCTAATGGCTGCCATGATGCCGTCCTTTCCGTGCGCGTGAATACCTACCGACCGACCCTGGAGAGTGGCTTCGTTAACTAGAGCAGCGAGCTCTGCATCGGAATACTGTCTGTACTTTGGGTCGTCCTGAGTGCTGAGGACACCACCAGTGGCAACCACCTTGATACAGCGAGCACCTCGTCTGATCTGTTGGCGGACGGCGGTGCGACATTCGTCCACGCCATCAGCTATGACAAGAGCACTAACACCCGGCCAGGGGTTGCTACTTGAAGTGCCCTGGCGCGAGTAGACATAGTCAGATGGCAGAGTGCAAGCGTCACAGCTTCCACCTGTTATGCCAATAGCAGCACCCGCTCCAAAGATGTTGGGCCCAAGGATGATTCCACTTTCTATCAGAGGGGCCGCCTCTGTTGCGTAAGAGCCCACATCTCTCACTGAAGTAAACCCGGCCATGAGGGTTTGGTGGAGGCCGCGTGTGATGGCAGCCCCCAGCGTTGCAGGGTGGGTCAAGACCATGTCGGGAAAGTCGACATTGACGGTCCCGATAAAGTGAGTGTGGCAATCCCAAAGACCCGGCAGAAGATATTGCACCGACACTCGTGGTAGTGACGCGAGAGATCGAGGCAGCTCTGACTGGGGCCCAACAAAGGTGATGGATCCAGTGTCGAGAGATATCCCGACGGCAGCGTTGAAGATTGGTTCGCCCCGTCCTGGGATCAGACAGCGGGCAAAGATACAGGCCGATGAAGAGTTTGCGTCATGGTTGTTGGTTTGGTAGGGTGTATTCACTCGAGAAGAGACGGAAAGCTGGGTACGTGGGGACGCGTTGACGGCAGTCCAACCATCGATTGAGTTGTCTGAAGAAGGGCTCCATTGTCGGTAAGGCTTTTCATGTGTATGTTCCTCATGTTGGCAACTGCAGGGCGGCTCCACTTGATGGTGGCTGTCTGGGACAAAGTAGGCCTGACTTGGATTCATGGTGTTTGGGGTTCGATTCTTTAGAATGGTCATTTCTTACTGTTTTTCCTCAAGTCTTTAAACTACTCTTAATACATTTCCGTTCGATTCAATCAGTCTGAAGTCCTCGTCAGTTCGGAACCCTGCATTTGGTAGGCGTTTAGCTATCTCGTGCGTTCCCGCACACCCGATTAAGCAAGTCGGTCCCCTCGCCCAAAAGGGGCTCCCGATCCGCTACCTTCAACCTCATGATCCACACGCATGGTCCAGTTGGTCCAGAGCTGACCGAATCCGCCGGATCCCCAAGAGAGTGGCGTCGAGGTCTTGCGTAAAGACAAGCCGAAAATGGCCAGGGAGATCGCAGCCGGTGAACTAGAGGTCGGTTAATAGTGCACTTGAGTGGAGAGTGAGATGGCTTACCTGGCCTGCATTCAAGAAGACCCCGTGATCAATGAGCCATTCGCAGAGCTGAAGTTCGGGGCTCAAGGCATTGTCAGTCGCTGGTGGTTTGCCGGCCGGGTCTTGAAAATGGTGGATCCAAGCGCTCAGATCGATAAAGACGAATAAACCAGCTTCGGCTCGTTCAAATGGAATTCTGTTTGTCTCGAGTGCAGTGGAAACTTGGCGATAGGCATGGCTAAGCCTTGGCCTGTACACGTCCAGATATTCTTGAACCAGGTCCAGTTGCTGGAGAAAGCGAGTCACGAAGTTGTCTGACATGACGCTGAGCCAAGTGAACCATCTGTACAACAAAGATTAGTTAGAGACGATTCCTGAACAACTCGTGTAGTCTGGAGTATGCAGGAGGACACCGACGTGATTTTGGAGACGGCAGCGCGAACTTGAGCATTTCTGCTGACGAGGAATGCCATTCGTACGCCCCCCATATTAAAGTCTTTGCTTAGTCCATAGAGGCAGTGAACATTCTCTCGAGCAGAGACACTGAGAATGCTGGTCATCGGAACAAGGTTATCGCCATTGGGATTGTTGTGATCGTCCTCATTGGAGAAGGTGGACAATGCGTAAATCTCATCGACGACGAGATGCATCTGTCGTTGGGCACACCACGACGCCAGTGCCTCGAGGGTCTCCTTGGAATACCATCGCCCTTGGGGATTTGAAGGGTTGGTCAGGCATAACATGCGACACTTGACATTGAGTTTGTCCTGGGCATTATCGGCGGCAGCTTCGAGTGCCTCAATGAACTCGTCCAACCCGTCAGCCCCGAATGGGTCCTTCAGGCCAGTCATCGAAACTGGCACTGTGGCAAGGCCGGTTCGTACACTTAGGTCAAAGTCGAGCATGTAAAATCTGGGGGTGGTATAAAGAGCTCCATCGCCTTCATCACAGAGAGTCCACGCCATCATGTTGAGCAGCGAGGTGACTCCGTTGGCTGCCAGTACCTGCTCAGCAGCGACTGGCTCTGCTGGATCGAAGAAGCGGTTAAAGAATGCGGCTGCAGCACTGAGTAGGTCTTGAGACCCGCTGAGAGGCCCATAAGACAAGGCTTCAGACGTGAAGTGTAGATTTTTGTCGGCGTATGCCTTCATCCAATCCTCCATCAGACCGTTGAGCGCCCCCGAAAGGTTGATAAGACCGTCCGGCTTGTTCTGAGAGTCATATTTCGGTCGAGATTTGACTCGTTGCATAAGAGTCCAGGCGGGACCTTGGTCCAGGGTGGCAGAGGCTCGCGCCGAAGGTGGGAAATTTTGAGCCATGATTGAATGATCCGATACAGTTGAGACGGGTGCCCAGTGAATACCAAGAACTAACAACTTATCTATAGTGGCAATAGGCGGGGTTTTGCTGAGCTTGTCGACTGACTCTGGCTTCCATTGAAACCCGCTGCAAACCGAGATTTGCTTCAGTGAAAGCATGGGATGGCGCGGTGTCCCTTATCACCACTGCTCGGTCTGTCCCTGTCCACTAGGAAAGCGAGTGGCAGTGGGCGGTTGGGGCCTACACTAACCCACTAAAGGACGGAATGGAGCTCGGTTATCATTATCATTTGGGCTAAAGCTGCTAAAATGCGGGGGCGCCGATCCCGTGTCACGACTGAGCAGACTGCTCTTCTCAACACCAACAGCGACTGGAACCATTCGAAGCAGAACCAACGACATTCAGCGCCGCGGCAGCGTCAGGGTGAGATACAAGCCAAGATACGCGACAAGAAGTAGCAACAGGAAGCGGTCTGGCTGGCTGCAAGAGGCTCGCCATGTATGCCCCTGCGCCACCACGCAACAAAAAGACAGACATCACACGCAGCAGAAGTGGCTGCGTTCGATGCCGCCAGAAACGGAGAAAGGTACAGTAACGTTTCGGAGAAATCACTCTCCTGCATCTGTTGACTAACACCTCGCATAGTGTGATGAGGGCAAGCCGAGCTGCAGGCGCTGTGTTACAGCCATGGCCAACTGTGAGTATGGGGCTATCACACTCAAATTTAGGGAGGCGACACGCTGGGCAGCGCAAAAGGTTGAGCTTGGAAAGGGCATGCCTTCAGCTGCGATAACGAGGACTACACTTCCGCCACCCCAGAACTCAGCAGAGATCGTTCAGGGGCACAGAGGGCCCATCTCAGACGAAAGCACTGTCTCACCTGTTTACCAGCAGGTTTCACCGCCTCAAGACACTGAAGCTCCACTGGCAACTTATTATCACGATGCACCACCTGCCCCGTTCCTGGTTGAACAGAACGACTGCTGCCAGAGCTCAGCCGGGGTCCCCGAGCTAGGCGTCGAGGTTGATCCCTCACCCATATCTGTCACCGCTTTAGACCCCCCTATAGGCAGTCAGGGCTCCGTGCCTGGGTCTTTGCTGCACTCTTGCTACTCACCAAAGTGGAGTGGTGCCCACCTGAGCCAGCTTGGGTTTGATCTTGCATCAACCGCAGCAGATGCCGACGATGCTTTATACCCCAATCTCCTTGACTTTCCTGAAAATCTGGTAGACACTGGTTTGTCAGAGCCTTACTGGAGCGAGATTATGATGCAGAACCCGGTCGGAAACTCTCCGGCGTCATCACTTCAGCAGTCAACTGATACTGATGCCCAGGGGAACTGTGACATCGTTCCAACATGTCAGCCCTTAGTACTTGACCATCCACAGCAACTATCTGACCAGCAACAATCATCTCCATCAGCTGAATGGAATTACCAAACATCAAAAGCGAACACCAGCCATGGAAACCGTCTTATATCTGTCCAGCTACCATGGCCAAAAGCTCAGAAGCCGCCCCCTGGATCAAAGATCTCTGTGGGCCACAGAATCTACCTGGCCCATTTCAAGGTCGCCATCTTACAGGCTTTCCCCCTCGAGCTACCATTCTTATGGGACATGGTTATCAAGTCGGAGCCCGTCCGTTACGCCGCTCTATCGCTTTCAGCAGCAAATCTCGCCAACTTACAGGGCCAGCAACCAGACGACAATGAACCCGCTTGGGTTGCTATGCCAGTTCACTCTGCTAGAGCTTCAGCCTTCTCTACACACACTGTTGAAGCGTTGGAAAACGGTACAGCCGTACCTTTGGATGCTCGGATTGTAACGATGATTCTAGTCGTCTTTTACGAGCTCGAAGCCAGCTCTTTCAGCAGTGCATCCCACTCCCTTTCGATATTGAATGTCATGATCCTCAGCTGTCCCGAGGATGTCTTGTCGTCAGCCAACGGCCGTATCATCATTCAATGGTGGCTTCACCTTCGCACCTTCATAGCCAATGCCCAAGGTCCCTATAGCCTCTACGGAGCCGAGGATCCCGCCGAGTCATTGATCAACCAGTTAGAGGTGAGGGTCGCGGGAGCTCCGCAGATGATCGACTTGATTACGACCAAGGCCACTCGAATTTGGCACCGCGTCCTAGTGGCCAAATGCTTCGAAGTACCAGAAGACAGGCCAGTCGACACTATGAGAAAAGTGGATGACTGGTGGAGGATCTTGAAGGGGAACCACTTGTGCGACCCTGCACGAGATGACGAAAGCCTGATTCTGGGTGAAGATGAGCTTTATGAGGAATTGGAGAACTTGCAAAGGACCTTGGACGCTTGTGATGCTCCAAGCGACTTTCGGCCAAGCATGCTCGAAGAAGGTCCAGCCTCTCGAGAAATCTTGCCCCTCCGCTTCCCCAACCACCGCCGCGCTATAGAAGTGGCGGATTTCGCATTCGCTCACATCCTATGCGCCCAGGAGCGTCTTCGTGCTATGGTGGAACACTCAACAGACCTGCCACGTCAGTTCCCGGACACGGCTTTGGATCCAGCGATTACCATGGACGCATGGGTTTATCTCTTATTACGCACCGTTGCTGGTCTTGATGTCTCCAAGTGCGCAAGAGAAAACACATATAGGAGAGGAATCATCAGCTCCCTATTTTACACTGGACTTTTCTATCCTGGCCAAGTCTCATCAAAGTTCATCACCGATGCCATCAAACGAATGATTGAGGCCCGAATGGAGTTTGAAAACCCCTTTTACCCGCTCCGTGCATTTATCGACTTTCAAAACTCATTACAGCACCAAGTGGCGGGTGGCAGGACTATATTCTTTGTTTGTTCGACGTATGATGAATGGACAACTAGGGAGACCGTGTTATCTGGATGGGAAGAGGAGTATTTGATGGTTCTTGGTTGCGAACCGGATGGTCGATACTTCAATGATTTGGTCCCTTTTACCCAGACATAGAAGTGTGGAAGGACTCTCTTATATCATCACACCAATAGTATATGTAGTATATGGCAAGAGCACATGCTAGAGTACCTAAACAGGGGGCGGGGGGTCAAGGACTATTCCTTCTTCACATCTTGCCTTGCTAGGAGGCCAGCTTCATCCCATGGTGCGAAGTAAATAGATATTTAACAAACTCTATCACAGTCATTGGTAATCTCTATTCTTGGACAGTTATCTCGAAGCAACGTTTCCTCATTTCGAAAGCCACGCCCCCAAGACGGCTGAGATTGATTCTGGTTGAAAGTAGGGCGCAAAGTGCCCAGCCTCATCAACAGCGTAGAATTGAAGACGATCAGTTCCCTTCCAAAATCCACCCCTCTGTGCACTCCGCCTATCTTCCTTGGAGGAAACCAGCTTGCCTTGTTTAAAAAACCAGTTCTTGTATCTGAGGCTTCGATATCGCGCTTGATCCTTCCAAGGCTGCGCGTCCAACAATCGCATTTGACCGGGGGTGTTACTAATAGATGGTAGTTAGATTCAAGGAAAGGAGAGAAAAAGCGAATCCTGACGGCTCAAAGAGGGCACTTACATGATAATGTCATTGTTACCATTGATGACCAGGATTCGAATGTCGGTGTTGTCAAGTAGCCAAGTCAGCTCACGAGTAACAGGCCGATACAAGTGCTCGGCCTTGACCCAACGGTTATTGGTGTCAAAGTCAATCAGCTCAAAAGGTAATCCCGAGAACCCAAGCCTTTCTTGTACCCAAGGTTGGTTAAAGAATTTCCATGTTTCCCCATGAGCAAAGTTGGAGCACAGCGGAGGCTTCTCACAGGGGTGACGACCTGGGATACATCAGCAATCTGAAGCAGGAGCTCGAGATGATATTCTAAGACCGGCTTGGAATATTTGATTAGCTGTGACTTACTATCATAAGGATCCCAGCCTCCTGGGCGGATATCTCGAGTATAGTACTTCCCAACAGTGCGCTCACAAGTGACCATCATTGAGAGGCAAACCTTAGGGTTGTAGCTCTCTCTGCAGTGAGCTCCCATGAGCTCACAAGTTGGCACTGCAGCAGCCATCTCGGCGCAGGTAGCTTCGTTCATCAGTGGTGCGGTGCGTAATTGGGAAACAGGGTCCCAGTCAGTGCAGAAAAAGTCGTAGTAGCCAGAAGATTGATAAGATGAATCGATGTATCCATCAACGATAACGGCCGAGGAGATGTTGATGTGAGGATCTAGCCCTTGAGCGACTCTCTCATGCTCTAGCTCCATGATATACTTGGTATAACCGGTAACGTAGTGGCCTCCCATCGACTCGCCTGTTATGTGCCAAGGACGCCCGGAGAAGTCAGGGAATACCTCTGTAGAGAGGGTGGATAGGAACGAGTAGATATCTCGCGCGCCTTGCTCAAGACTTACGGCAATGTCATCACGGTCGGCAATCTCTGAAAAGCCAACACCGATCGGCTGGCTAGGACGACATGTTAGAGAGATGGACATATCAAGGATCAACATTTAGGACCGCCACTTACTCGATATAAATGACATTAGCGTGATCCGTCCACGAATACTCTAGGCGTCTTGTCGAGTTTCCATCTTGATTGACCGCACAAGGGCCGGTGCCGAGGAAGCAGCCTAACTCTCCTGTTGCGCCAGGGCCGCTATTGATTTCGTGCCGTCAGCGAATAGTGCTATTGGCTCATTTCCCTTGAATATGATACTCACCCGCTCATCCAAAGTAGCAGAGGATCCGTGTCTGGCTTGTTACGGCTCTGGAAGTACCCTAGATAGCATTAGTATGGCAAGTCAAACAACATTAACCGGAGGAGCGGGAGTAACTGCTCACAAAAAAACATGGATTTTTCTGATGTAATGTTGACGGTGCCAGTCCAGTATCGGGATCCAGCGTCGCAGAGATCAGGGGACTGCTCTCTAACATCAAACTTGACATTTTGATGGACATTTGACATGGGCTTTTGGACCTGGGCGCTGACCAGGCATCCTATAGCAGCCAGAAGCATCGCCGGAGTCCTTCGAAAGAGTCTCATTGTTACCGGCTCGTGATATGGCACGCTGGAACAAGAAGTCAATCGATATTGATAACAGCTTTTCACAAGGGCATTCAACCGGTGGAGCAATATTACTTATTTCCGATATCACAAAGCCGGCCCCTTATTGGGAAGAGTTGCGTGGGTAACGTTAAAGGCGCGGATCGGAGGACCCGATCTGGTTTAGCATCGCACAAAATTTCCTTGTTAGTACTGCGGTGGATAAGTTAATTGGCTGTTCAAGTACCTGTATCAGTCGCATTCATCGCACGGGGCAGACTCAGCAGCAAGTTGAGATTCTCACAATAGTTGTTTGAGCAACATGCTACGACTTCTCACCTGGGGCCTTGTAGGCCTGGTCGCGCGAGCACACGCCGCTATTCCACTGGTAGCTTCACCATCACACGTCAATCTCGACACTCCCTTCTCTGGGCGTCCTGGCGTCGAGCCCTTTACTCTGCGACTTGGTCACGACACGGCCAGTGTATGCAATAGTTCGACGCCGGGCACGTCTGGTTACATCACTTCCAAGGACACACAGGGAGGTAAAAGTTCAATCTTTTTCTGGTTCTTCGAAAGCAAACATGATCCTAAATCAGACCCCGTGATTCTGTGGATGACTGGGTATGGTGTCCATCTCTTCTACCACCGTTTGGCCGAACTACAATTGACTGTTGGTTAGTGGTCCGGGTGCCTCATCCGTCGGTTACGGGCACTTGATGGAACTTGGACCTTGCCGTATAGCTCCCGAGGGCGGATACACTGTTGACAATCCATTCGGATGGAATGCCAATGCCACTCTCTTGTTTGTTGAGTGAGTCAATACAAAAAATGATGGCATATCGTTACTGACTCTCCATTCTACTCAAGTCAACCGGTCGGGGTCGGTTATTCCCGCGGAGAGCACAGCTCACAGGGCCTTCAAGATGCTTCCACAACTATGGACCAATTCCTACGTCAGTTCATGGTCGCGTTCCCTGATCTAGCCGGCCGAGACTTTTACATAGCGGGCGAGTCATACGGTGGCTCATGGGTTCCTGCTCTGGCTACGACAATACTACAATCTCAGAGCAACACCACCGATGATGCGGAGCCTATACAAGTCCAAGGACAAGACCGTGGTGTTGATCCAGCCTCACACGACCCTGACAATAGCCTACGGATTAATTTGAAGGGCGTCATGATCGGTAATGGCCTTATCCGACGATCGATACAGAACATTGGTTTCTTCGAGACCGTCTGCGCTGGACCTGACAGCTTGTTCAACACGTCTCAATGTTTGCAGTGGGCTCCTCGAGCCATGTGGTGCGAAGAGAATCTCGTAATTTGCGAGACTGAAGGCATGAAATCTCCTGCCTGCAAAGAAGCCGAGACCAAGTGCAGTGCAATCGGCAGTGTCGTCGTAGAAGACATGCACCGCAACCCATATGACTTCCGTCAAGAGTGCTACGACCCTGCAGCTTGTTACGCAGAGATGCAGCACATCGATGAGTATCTGAACAGAAGTGATATTAAAAAGGCGCTCGGGGTATCTGAAGAGCTGCCTTTTGTCGGCATATCTTTTGACGTTTTGGGGCAATGGGAGAAGGTAGGCGACTTGTGGAGATCAAGTGACAAATACGTTAACTATCTGCTGAAATCTGTAAGTGACAAGGCACCACTGACTCGCTCATGCTGACTGACACATTTACAGGGTATACGTGTTCTCATATACGTTGGAGACAAAGATCTGTACTGCAACTCTGCAGGGATGCGTCTCCTTGTTGACCGAGGCCTCAACTGGGATGGCCAACCCTTTATCCGTTTCAGGGACTTGATGCCATGGTACGTCAGAACAAAGGTAGCTGGTCGATGGAAGTCATTTGAGCCTCTTACATATGCCGAAATCTCCAACGCTGGGCACATGTCACCGTTTGACAAGCCTGAGGAGGCACTGACCCTGATCAACACCTGGATTCAGGGAACACTTCCAAGTTCGTAATGTCAGCTTGCATATAGTTCTTCAGGGCATATCGGTATGACTGAGTATCATTTTCAAATTCTCAAGCCCATTGGAGTATACTTTGCTTGCTGAACTATGTACTACCTTTCAAGAAACCCAAGTTGCAAGTAAACGACCAACTGAAAATAGTCACGTAAAACATGGCGTGTCGAAAGACTGCAGGCTCAACTTCATAAATAATGATTCCTTCAACGTAGGAATATGATCTACACTACATATTCAAGTAGCAGTTGGTGCTATGAGAAGGAGAGCTCTCACGCCTAGTAGTAACACCCATTGCAATCTCTCAGAGTACATCTACGTATTACTCCCAGTGACGGGTACCACTAGCTTGGTTTGATGCCTAGTTAGGCCAATTAACCGCTCAAGGCGCGCTCTTGTTGACCGTTTTTGGCAATCCTTTACCGTCCAACCCTTGCATGGTAACTGATATGACCCGCATTCAATGAGTTTGCCACCGTGTACCTGGTGGCAGGGTCCTAGGCATCCTGTTTGCTCAACCTGTGCTCTTCTTCACGTGGAAATATCTGTTCTTACTGCAACCTCTCGTTCAAACGACCTTCTCGCACTGGATCCAACATATCATATCAGTCTTTTTGCCTACCCCTAGTGCTGGTCTCCTTCTTGCCCATGGACGTTCGTCATAATGATTGACAATCCTCTGCAGTGAGTATTCAATACACAGACCCGAAACCTTTGGCTCACAATATCTATAGGCTTTCTTTCCTAGTCTGTGTTCTGGCTCATGTGGTGACGGCAGTCCATCGCCTCGGCTCTTCAAGACATGGCCGGAAACAGCGGAATTTTGCATGGACTGCAACCAAAACAATAGCAAGTGTAAGACAAGCTGGTATCTCGAGAGAAACACTGTACGCTGACGGCCTCTTTAGATAGCTAACGGGGCCCTCATCTTAGTTGGCATTCTAGCCTGCTTGAGATGGGCACAGAGGGAGACACGTTCGCCAACAACAACCATTTGCCTACCTTCAACCATTGGAGTAATAATCGCATCGGCCACTTCTCTTTTATTAAATTCTTTGGATCAGCCGTCTTTGCTACAGGGTATCTACGAATTGTCATCATGCGTCACCTGGACCGTTACCCTGATTTCGGCTCCCACCTTGGACTGGCTCACGGTTTCTATCTCGACCTTGTACCTATTTGCCTTGATCACTACGTTCGGTACCCCTTGGACCCCGGATGCCTCGAATCTCGCCGATCATCCACTGTCGGGGGCCCCTTGGCTTCACAGAATCGCACTATCCTTGCTTGACCCCTTAATGAAGCTAGCGGCGAAAGGAAGTCTGTCCAGCGACGACACCTGGCCGATTGACCGCCAAATGTCAGTCAGGCACTCACTAGAGCGTCCTGGCCTTCAACCGCACGCCATACGTCAAAGTCTGTCGGCTGGACTTGGTCGGATGCTTTGGCGCAACTTTGGGGTTGAGATGATGGTGAGCTGCCTCCTTGCTCTCATCAGCGTGGCAGCAGCCTTAGCACAGCCATTCTTTCTCCAGTCCTTGCTAGAGAACGGCGGTATACCCTCAGTCTGTGGGTTGTTCGCAGTAACCATCATGGCGGGTGTCACCGATGCTCACATGAGACTTCTTCTTCGCAAAATTGGAGTGCAGGTCAGGTCCGCTTTGACTGCGCTGCTTTGTGATGGATGCATGTCCATGGCGAAGGATGAAGACTCGGCTGCTGATCCTACAGTCTTGATCGAGGTTGACTCGGCCAAGATCTTTGAGCTGATTGAACAATATCATTTGATATGGATGGTCCCTCTGCAGGCCATCATCAGCATTGCCGCGCTGATTCTCCTTCTCGGCTGGCAAAGCGTCCTCGCTGGATTCCTGTCTCCGGTAGGGCTTCCTTGTACTCTTTTGCATCAGTGTTAAAACTTTATGCTTACTTTTCTCCAGCTTGTGGCTTTACCATTGATCACCTCTACCACCAACCATATTTCTCGACAAATGGCCCTGGTGATGCAAGCCAAGGATTCAAGAATCGTCCTTGTTACACAAGTTATCAAACAAGTTAAACAAGTCAAGCTCGGTGCGCTTCAGGTCTTGTTCCAGCACAGGATAGACAAGCAACGAGCCCATGAGCTCAAAAAGTACAAAGGCGTAGCTTTTCTCAACGCCTGCATGGTATTTTACGTCTACGTCATGCCACCAGCATTGATCTCCATCACGTTTGGTGCAGCCATCTTCCTTGGGCGTGGTTTACCCAGCAACGTGGTTTTTCCAGCGCTTGCGTTTTGCTTCAACATTACCAGATCAACATCCTTGCTTCCTCGGTTGGTGATGCTCTACCAGGCCGGTCAAATCTCATTCGGTCGCATCAAAGACTTCCTGCTGACCTCTTACGACGAGCCTGTCATTATGAGCCAAAGTAGGATTCTGGATGAAAGACCGGTCGAGTTTGGAATGCGAGGGTGTAACATTGGGTTCCCAGCGTTCCAAGGCTCAGACAAGGTCATTCTCCAAAACTGTACAATAGAGGCAACATCAAACTCTCTTGTCGTTATATCAGGACCTGTTGGGTGCGGAAAGTCGACTTTGATCCGTTCCATCATTGGGGAAATCAAGCCTCATGTCGGCCATGTATGGGTCCATGGAAGAATTGCGTACGCACCACAGACTCCATTCTTGGTCTGTGGCACAGTGCGCGAGAATATCGTCTTCGGTCTGCCTTTTGATGCCTCTTTTTATGGCCAGGTTCTCGATGCCGCCTCACTCCGATCCGACTTGGCCAGGCTTCCCCAGGGCGATGCCACCATGCTGGAAGGAACTGGTGTTGCTCTATCTGGCGGACAGAAGAGCCGGATTGCCCTGGCTAGAGCGGTCTACTCCCGGCGTGAGGTGGTAGTCCTTGACGACCCCCTCGCAGCTGTAGATGCCAAGGTGCGGTCCCATCTCATCAGTCGTGTGTTGGGGCCTCAAGGCATCCTCAAAGACTCGCTTCGAATCGTTACCACGTCTTCTGAAGCTTTGATGTCCTGCTCTGATGCACTCTATGCTATCAAGGACGGAAGATTGTCATCGGCTGAACAGCCCCCACGAGTTGATCAAAGTGGAACAGACCTTGAACAGAGTGCCATGTCTGAAGATCTCGAGAGTATCCCCAAGACAGCGAAGCCCTTGATCGACTATGGAGCCATCAAGTCAAATGTTTCCACATCAGTAACAGCCCCTGACCCCGACAGCGACATGGAGAGCGCACCCCTTCTGGCACCAACTACCAAAACAAGTCAGTCGACCGACGTCGGTGGTGCCCCAGTGCAATTTGACACGTACTTGAGATTCCTCAAGCTTGCCAAGCATGGCGGTTGGATCGTGGTTCTCCTGACAGCTGGTGCTTCCAAACTGTTAGACATCTTAGCTGTCTTCTTCCTCAAGATGTCAAGCGATGAATTTGAACGTCAAGGACACTCACTGAAGCTTGCTTACTACTCAGGCTGCGCCCTTCTGGGTGGTGTCCTCTCGGCCATCTTCGTCCTCGTTGCCTACTACATCTGCGTCATCCCAACGTCTAGATCGATCCACGCCGACCTCACACGGGGGATTTTGGAGGCCAAGTTTTCCTTTTTCGACACAGTCAATATTGGAGATGTTCTCAACCGCTTCACCAATGACATTAACAAGGTTGACAGCTCGGTGTGTGGTGGTTTCATCAGCCTGGTCGCTCTCTGCGTTACGGCCTCCGCATCAATCCTCGTGATTGTGGCAGCAACACCATTGAGCATCCTCTACCTGTTACCCATCGGTGGTATTTACATGGCGATTCAATCACACTATCTGCACGCTTGCAGACAACTCAGACGCCTTGAAAACCTGGCTCGAGGCCCCATTCTCAACATTGCCAATGAGATTCGTGTTGGAGCCCCTGTTATCATGGCATTTGATCAGGCTGCCTCCTTCAAGGATCAGGCCAGGGATGTGATAGACCATCATATCCGTGTCTGGGTCCCCTTTGTATGCTTGGATTCTTGGTTAATTCTTCGTCTTCAACTGCTTTCCAGGTGCGTCTACATTCTTGTCCTTGGTTCAACCACCGCAGCATTGACACTGTCTAGCATTATCCAACTCTTGTCTGCCGTCCTGCTTCTGTGGCTTCGCACACCTGCTAGTACTCTAGGCCTTGTCATGAGCTATCTGATTCAGATCACATCGCAGTTCAACACTTTTGTTCAGATGCGTGCAGCTCTTGAGGCAGACATGACCTCTGTGGAGCGGATATGGTCCTACGCTGCCAACACGCCCGAGAACCAGCCCGAAGACGAAACAGTGCCGTCACCAAGCTGGCCTGTTGATCCAACCATCGCTTTCAAGAGCTATGAGGCATCATATAAATCTGGTGACAGGCCGTGCTTACGTGACCTGACCTTTACTATCAAGGTAGGCGAGCACGTTGCGGTGGTTGGCCGGACCGGCGCAGGCAAGTCATCTCTCGTTCTCGCGCTACTACGCGCCCTAGAGCATGACTCCAACAAAGGTGGCAGTATCGCCATCGACGGGGTTGACATTGGGAGCGTCAACTTGACACATTTGCGCAAACGTATAACCCTTCTTCCTCAAGAACCTTCCATCTTTGGAGGAACCGTCAGAGATAATCTCGATCTAGAAGGGACGCGGACAGATGAGCAGCTCCGTGGGGCTCTTGACGTTTGCAAAATGCGTCAGATATTTAACATTCAACCTGGCCAAGATCCACTGGACTATTACGTTTCTGACTCAGGGTATGTGGACGGCATGACATGATTCAATTTGCTAACCACTGTTTGTCCAGGAGAAACTTGTCTGGTGGGCAAGTTCAAATACTCGCACTCGCGCGGGCCATTCTAGCCAAGAGTAAGATTGTCATCTTGGATGAAGGTGCGTCATTTGTTTTTATTCACATGCATTGTCTAACCATCTTGTCCAGCTACTGCTGCCATGGACGCCTCAACAAGCACCGTCATACACAACGTGATCAATCACAGATTCCGCAGCCACACGGTTATTACCATAACTCATCATATTGAATCGGCTGTAAGCATCTATTACGTGACGTTCAGCACGCATCACTGACGCATGTTCTGAATAGCTTCAATATGACAAGGTTCTCGTGATGCACGATGGTCGTGCGGCCCATTATGGTGCCCCAAAGGAGTTGCTCAAGGACAAGCACTCAATTCTCTCAAAGCTGGTTGCCGATTCTAAAAACAAGGTATTAAGCTAGGTTCTTTATTATAGATGGTGGCAATGGCGAAATTCGCGAAGAGAGGTGCGGGTGCGGGAGACGGAGGTTAATGAGAGAAGGGAAGGGGTGGCATAGCGAGTTTTTCAACAGAAGTCCGGGCTCTTCTCCATCAGGAAGCCCTTTTTTCACACAGTTTCTATCGAGCTTGGGGTGAGCAATTGCATCAGCGTATGGCAACATTTCTTTAACGCCCTCTTAGAAAATTTTCCATAATATCCCAAATGGCCCAAATCGAAGCAAGTCGAGCCCCCCTGATACCATCATCGTAGGTCTTTACCCGATAATGAGTAGCTACATATTTCGTCAGGTCCCGGTGGGGTGATGTCATGTTGGGAAGATTCATGGCCATGCCAGGTGTTCATTAAGGCTGATTCTGGGCTTCTCGTTCATCATTGAACCGGCTAATAGACCACACTTCTCTCAAGGGATTGTCCAATAACAACACACAAAATAATAGAGAAGAACATGGAGACTACAAGGCAAGCGGGGAGATACTATGCGATTGCTTCTTGATCACCAGCTGTCCCCTCTGTGCCCAACGTTAGGGAGAATGTCTGTTTGTACGCAACGTTATCGACCTAGAGTTAACTTCAAGGACATGATTTGCACTCTTATGATCCATGCTCGGTCGGGTTCACCGACCAGCGCGCGGTTAAAGCGAACCCGGGCTCCACTATCTTGGGATATCACCTGCGATGCAAATGGTGAGCCTTCACCAGAGAGGGCAGAGCGAGTTGACGTCCTGTAGAGGAAAGCGAAGTGGTATTCCTCGTCCTGCTGGCCTCTTTGGGTATATAATCTCTTCCTCTCTTTGCAGATACAGAAGACAAGAGACAGCTGCATCTGACTTGTTCTCCCAGCCTCAATTCACTCTTATCTTTCTACAATCGAGTATCTTAAGAGCTTCTGTCACTCCTCTTTCACATCATCTTCTCCTCAACTGCCCCAATGACCGTCCCTGGAGCCAAGGATGAAGCGATACAGCATGAGGACGTCCTGAGCAGCCACAGGGACTCCAGCAGCGGTAACGAAAAGGAGGCTCTAGACAAAGCCCCTATTTCTACCGGTGCTCGTCTTAACAACCCTCTGGCGGGCATGACCCGGGAGCAAGTCATTGCAGACGTTGAAGCATTTGTGAGCGAGCGTGGTGTTGAAAAACATCGGGACGACTTCATCAAGGGCGCTCTTGTTGCCCAGGTTAACAACCAGCGTGGCGGCTTTGAGACTATTGACCTGCTTTCTGAAGAGGACAAATGTTATCTTCGACGCGAGGAGATGCACCGCTGGAGCCAGCCATTTAGGCTCTACTTTCTCTGCACCCTCTGCGCCGGCTGTGCCATCGTCCAGGGAATGAATCAGACGGACGTGAATGGCGCCCAGGTTCGTTGCCCCCTCCAGATCGCGTCAGTGCAGCAGTCCAAACCTATGTACCTAGCTATTCTACTTTGACGAGTGGAACATTAGCCTCATTAATAGTGCGCCGTACCTATGCTCGTCAGTCGTTAGTTGCTAGTCCAGCCCCTTCCTCAACAAGTATCTTGGACGACGTGGAACCATCTTCACCGGCTGCGCCTTTTCGTTGGTCACTGGCTTCTGGATGGTCGTCTGTCAATCGTGAGTTTTGACATCCAGATTTTTAAGAACAAGAATACTAACCTCGAGTTCACGCTGGCACAAGTTCAAGCTGGCACAAGTTCATTGCCGCTCGGTTCGTTTTAGGCTTCGCTGTTGGCCCCATGTCGAGCACTGCCCCTGTATACTCCGCCGAATCGACTCCTAAGAATATCCGCGGTGCCCTTACTATGATGTGGCGGGTAAGTCTCTCCCTGATACTTGAATGCTGTCTTCTCCTCTCTGGCTAGGCTCTCAAGGACCAGAATGGCCCCCCGAGAAGACGGCGTTCCAGATGCCGAACGATTCTGATCAAAATTACTAGATGTGGACTGCTTTCAGTATCGCCGTTGGAATGATCATCTTCGTCGCCTTCAAGGACTGTGACTTCCTCGGCGAGAACTCCCAATGGCGTTGGATCATGGCCTTGACATCTGTTCCCCCTCTGATCGTCATGTGTTAAGATTACTTCTGTCCTGAGAGCCCTTGATGGTACATAGAAAAGGGTCGCTTTGATAAGGCTTACCAGTCGACAAGACGGCTTCGACATTGTGCCGTTCAAGCAACCCGCGACATGTACTACGTCAGCAAACTCCTTGACGCCGAATCTAAACAGCGAGAGGGCCACAACGCCTTTAAAGAGTTCTTCACAGTCCGCCGTAACCGTCGTGCCGCCCAGAGCGCTTGGTTTTGTATGGTAAGCAGGACCCTCTGAAGTTCCCCTAATCGCTAGTCAAGTACTGACGATGAGACAAACAGTTCATGCAGCAGTTTTGCGGAGTAAACGTCATTGCCTATTACTCTACTAGCATCTTTGAAGGCGCGAACTATGGCCCCAGCCAGCAGTCCATGATCGGCTGCGTGACTACGGGACTCTACGTCTTCATGGCGTGTTACTCTCCCGGAATGGGCCCTGTTCCCTTCACGTATAGCGCCGAGGCCTTTCCTCTGCATGTCCGAGATATCGGAATGGCGTCTAGCACTTCCATCACCTGGTGCTTCAACTTCATCATCAGTCTCACGTGGCCTCCTCTAGGAGAACGTCTTGGTGATAGCGGCGGCTTCTGCTACTATGCAGCCTGGAACCTCTTCGGCTGGGTTATGGCGTACTTCTTCTTGCCTGAGACTAAGAACCTGACCTTGGAGGAGCTTGATAGTGTTTTCGCCATGAAGAACAGGGATCACGCGGGCTATTATCTCCAAAAGCTGCCCTGGTATCTTAAGAAGTACCTTCTGTTCCAGGATGTGGCGCCGTTTCCTCCGCTTTATGAGTTTTCCTCGACTCACGGACACAACACGGGCGGTCTGTCCGCATAGGCCGCCCAAAGCCACACTAAGAGTCCTGCCAGAAGTGTGCATCGGGGGGGCGGTCATGGGGAACTCCCAGACGACGCACGATAAATTGGCAAATCGCATGAGATCTTTGGTTCAATATCTTCTTTCTCCATGCTTCTCTGTAGTTTTGGGACCGGCAAGAGTGGCAAGCTTGAGCACACACTTAGTCACCCACCTTGCATTTCTCTATAGACCTTACTCTAGATGTAGAATAAGAGGAATCTTTTCACAGAATAAGTACCATATATCATCATAAAGCGAGTCCTAATTTCCCGCCAACCTGTAAGCCCTTCCTTTCAGGGAAGTTTAGCACTGTGAGCGAAAATCAGACTGTGTTCTAGACCGGCATGGAGCAATGACACATGCCTATGTCCGCCTGGATAAAGGATCGGATCGGCCTACCGAGGATTTGACGTAATCCCGTGGTGTGTTTTACTTCTAAGGGATTGCTCTAACAAGGCCACTCCTTAATCCAATCCCGCCTTGAGGTGCCCTACCTGACGATTCTGAATTGCCTTTGCCGATTAGCCCAGGACTCCACGCGGTTCCTCAAGTTATCCAGTCTCTCCTTATCCCAAAATCCCGTTTCATAATCCCACCAGCCCCATATTTCGTGAAACCAATTGGAGTCTAACCAAGGCATCCATGGCGGGGGACTATCATACCTCACATCTTTCTGCAGCAATATTGGCGGCCGCTGCAAACTGCAGAAATGAAAGAAGGTCGCCACCACAAACTCCCGTTGAGTTTGACCTTTGAGTTCTTTTATTTGAAGAAGCATGGAGTAGCCTTTTGAGCAGAGGTACTGAAGAAATGCTTCATGCTCCTTCTGAGAACGAAACATGAATCCAAAGAGTCCTTGTGTCCCTCCCATATTAACCCAGTCGCCCTGGTTATGCAGGCCAGTGTCAACTGTCCTCAATAGACGCGAAAACCTATCAAGGATGAAGTGCAGCATCGTATAAAAGTTCTCCATCCTCTGTCGGGTTGCTAGATATCTATTCGGGTTGGTTCGAGACTTGCAAATGAGTCTCCGAAAGGCCCAGTCTCCTTGAAATAGAACCTTACCGTCATAGAAGAAAGCGTTGCAATAAATGTCGAAACAGATTAAAGACTCCAGAAACCTGGCACGCTCTGTGGTAGACAGTTGCAAAGGCTCATGCCCGAGGTTCGTGAACCAATGTGCCCCAGCAACTTGCCCAATATAGCGTGTAGGGTCCTGCTGCATTGCCTCCCAAGACTTCCCGGCATATTTTCTCATGATGGCTTCTGTATCGGATATGAGGCGTTCTAGATGCGCGAGCTTTGGCAAGCTATCTCCCCAAATGAATGAGCTGTCCTCTGCTGCTGGCCACAGGCCTGCTGACTCTCCATCCGATGCACTTGGGCCGGATTCTTTCAAGGAGCCCAGGAGGTGTTTTACGAGCCATTCCACGGCCTTATCGCCTAGATGGTCATGTTCTTCTCGGAGGCGTCGAAGGCGGATGCCGAACAATGCCATGGGGAGCATTTCGCCAAGTTTCATCTTGACCATGCGATGTCTTGGTCCCAAAACTAAGCATCGATTTGCCTTGAAATATGACAGAGCCACTGGCGAGGCCTAGATAAGGCACTGAATTTCATTGATGGAACAGTACTCGCTCATTACCTCTATGAGAAGCTCGGGTGGAAGAGTTTCGAGGCCCTGGGCGAAAAGGCCTGGTGGACAAGATAGGCGGCCGTAAACGAGGGCTGACAATCAACCTCTTGGAGCAAAATCCATGGCGTCGTGTGTGATGAACGGATTAGAAGCAGATGACAGAGGTATTAGCAGAGATGTTGACAGGAGAAGATTGGAAAGAAGGCAGGACTTTTATCTTCTAGCACTTGTAAGCATACAAGGTTTACAGCAGTAGTCTTAGGTTTTTGCTGGAATTTCATGGCTCTATGCAGCCTAGAGTTTCATTCAAACTACATCCTAAAGTAACCCTATTGTGAGTACATTCTCTTTGTGTCCTTATGCTCTATGGGGACCAGGTCGCGATGAGGTGCTGATGATAAAAGCCCTGGTGGAGAACTAGCATAGCCAACCGGGTTAGAGATTGCCTGGCAATGTACCTATCTACCCAGAATTAACGAAATAGCAATCTATTGAGGGTTTTCGCCCAGGCACCAAATCCCGGGTAGTTGTTGAGTCATCTGCCATGAAGTCGACGGAGTTACTTATCTCTCCCGGTGATGATCAGTATGGTACCGGTTACGGTATCGGCTATGGTATTCAGCTCTTTTTATCTCAACATTCCAGGCCCGTGTGGAAACCAAATTCGATTTGCTTCGGCTATAGATGTGTATCCTGTAATTCCTTCAAACTCTCACAGAGTATATCTAAATCCATCCCTATCCTCACACAGTGCCTCTCCCTTGTCGGCTCGCTGGTTCTGCCATCGGAGCAGGACCATGGTAACAACGGCAGTAACCACAGCGGCAATATTGATCGCCATGACGGCAATAATTCCCGGGAGGTAGTTAGGAGCATCTTGCTGGCCTGCTTCAAAGTTAGAAAAGTCATTGGATACCGTGGGTTGATGGATACTCACGGAAAACCATGCTTGAGTAGATTCCACCAACACCGCTCATGCTAATGAGGATGGCGGTTGAGACAGCTCGTCGGGAGTCGCCCACAATATTGTTGGCCTGCCAGGCGAGAGTTGTGACAACTAGACCGTTGGCACCAGCAACACCGAGAAATGTACCAATGTATCTGGGGGTAGGCGAGTCCAGAAATCCAGTCAGGCAAAGCCCGATGATACCAATCAAGCCCTGGAAGACAACGAATGGGCCACGCATCTTCATCTTGTCAGCGAGCCATGAAATCGTCATGGCCTCGACAACCGAAAAGAGCGCTGGAGGTGTGCTGAGAATGAAGGACATCTCCAGAGAGTATCCAAGACCGCCTCGAAGGATGATTGGGAGGAAAAAGAGAAACGCATACACGCCGACAGCACCAGCCATGTACATGAGCGAGTACGCCCAGGGCTTCCAGTCAGCAGCCGTTTTGGCAATCACCTTCAGGGTGACCTTTTCGCGCTCCTCGGGCCCACGGTCGGCTGCGAGTCTGGCCTTGACAAAAGCTCTTTCTTCAGGTGTGAGGAACGTGTTGGCGGACGAATCGGGGAAATCGACGATGATGAACCATGAGCCGACGCCGGCTACGACCGTGATGGCGCCTTCAATAATGAAGATCCATCGCCACCTGGACATTTGACGGTCAGTTTGTATTTATTATATCCCGAGGGAGAGCACATACCCTTTGTAGGAGTGGTGTTTCGAGATCTGGATGAGGCCGTAGGCGAGGATGTTTGCAAAGGCAGAGAGAGCAGACGCCGTCAAGAAAAAGCCGGCCATGCGTTTCTGCACTTCGTACCGTCTGTACCACGAAGACACCAGGTAGACACAGCCTGTGGCGGGATTAGCAGACGCATCGATATTCCACCTCAATCAACTAACCTGGAAAGAAGCCGGCCTCAAAGACACCGAGAAGTGACCTCAACACCGCAAAACCCTGCCAGCTATGAAGGAATCCGATGCCAAGCGAGACGAGTCCCCATGCCACAGCCAGAAACGCAAGCCAATTGGCAGCACCGAGTTTGTGAATGAAGGCGTTGCTAGGGATCTCAAAGATGATGTAACCAATGAAGAAGACCATCAGTGAGATTGAGGCGCGACTGCCCTGATCAAGACCGAGGTCTTCATCCATGCCGGAGATGCGCGCAACAGCAACATTGGATCGGTCGACGAGGGCGATGGTGTACAGACATCCAAGGATAGGGAGAAGTCGCCAGTCGACCTTGCGTAGAACCCTCTTCTCGAATTGGGCGTCTTGTTGTTCATCGCCTCCGTTCTCGGCTCGTTCGACTTCATCCTTGGACATGTCGATATTGTCGTCATGAGAGATGGAGTATTTGTTGTCCATGATCATCGGCGAAGCAGGTTGTCCTGCTGGTTGAAGTACACGATGTAGGGTAGGATGGATGGTGGAGGTGATTCAAGATGAGTCGTGAGAAAGATTTAAATACATGCATGCTCTAAAGAAGAAATCATAACATGGAAGTGGTCCATGGTTCCCTCTCTCCATCTGAGATTTCTGTACCCCTGGCATCCCTGGTGTTGTGGTCCATCGGCTAACCTCCGTCATCCATCGGCTATGGAATGTTCGGCTATGGGTGTGTTTAGCGACTGTCAGTTGACCGAACCACTCGTGAGGGGTAAAACCGACTACTGAGTGGCTCCATCCAATCAGCCGTTAGTGATAAGAAAGTCCTGATAAGTGACTCGCTTGTCGGCGAAGTTTCTTAGGAGCCAAAGTACACCCTCTAGGATCGTGGCCCCTCATACAATTTCCATTCCTGGAATAGACCATCCTATTCAGAATTCAGCCAATCGGTGCCCTCTCGCTCCGGATCTTCGGGGCTTGGCCGGCCCCTTCATCCATGTTTTGCGGGGCCCCGGATTTTGGGCCGCGGACCGATCTCGCTCATCTTTGCGCACGCACATCGCCCTTGCATGACTCCTCTCTTTGGTCCTCCTTGTTGTTTTGTTACTGTCAATTGACTCTTACGGAAAAATGGAACCTCTCACCCAGCGCTCACCTGCCCCAACACAAGCGCCCAACGCGTCAAGAAGAAGACGGGGAACGGCTTGCGAGCGTTGCAATCGGCGTAGAACCAGATGCGACGGATGGACCAACGGAGTTCCTTGCTCGGCGTGTAGAAAGAGCAACAATCAATCCAGATGCGTCCTGATTCAGTCGAAGCGTCGAAGGTATGATCTCCACGAGTTGCGACTAATGATGTTATCTTCTGACTTTAATTGCAGAGGTCCGGATGGACGGTATACCTATCAGGAGGATCACGAATCGCATCAAGGTCCCTCAGTTGCAACCTCTGAGCCACTAGCACCTACTTCAACAATTACTCAGCCACCTGAACGAGATGCTGCGAGTTGTGATGACACGGCTGCCGATTCAGGTCAACCAATAAACGGACCCTTTGATTCGGAACTGCTGTCTGCAGTTACGAGTCCAGACGAGAGACCCAGAGTAGCCCATACGCAAAATCCCACATCACCATCCACTGTTCAACCAAGTTTTGTGGGCGAAAGCTGGTACGCGTCCTACTTCATGAGGGGGTTTGCTCCTGGCTGCACCAGTTTCCACCGCCCAATCGATGACTGCAATCGAACAGTTCAAAACGTCTCCCGCGATACACCTAGGCAAAACTGCCCCAGGAGGTCACCACAGCCACGGGGCCGAACCGAGCTATCAGATCTACCACGCCCCGACTTGATGGACCGGCTCATCCATGCATACTTTGACCGGTTTCATGCCTTTTGCCCGATTGTCGGAAAGGAGTTCTTTGCTGCTTCGCTTCATGATGGGACCGTATCTGGAACTCTCCTGCGCTGTGTGCTCTTCGTCGCTTCTCTGCATTGCGATGTGGAGATACTGCATGTTATGGGTCACAGCACTCGATTCGATGCTAATTCCGATCTCTTTAACAAGGCCAGTGCATCATTCGACGAGGATACACAATCTGACCGGACCAGCATGGTCTTGTCCTCATATTTACTCCACTACTGGTTCGGTAATCCTACCTCCTACCGTGATTCGCATTGGTGGCTTGCAGCTGCCATCAGGTCGGCCCAGTGCATGGGCTACCACAGGAGTACCAAGGATAGCCAGATGCCGCCCCAGGAAAGGCTGAGATGGAAGCGCATATGGTGGTGCCTCTATGTGAGCAAACGCCGTCTTTCTACTAGGTCCCAGCTAACAGAAAAGATCCGCGATCGGCAGACATCCCTCTCTACTGGCAGCCCCATGGTCATTAATGACCTCGATCACGATGTCGAAGAGCTAGTGATGAACGATTTGTCAGACGAGACTCCAGAGACAGCAAGGTATATAATCTCACAGATGGAGCTGAACAAGACCGGTACGAAACCCCGAGCCAGCTGATGGGGACACGATGCTAATGGAGCAGCGGCGCGACTGTATTTTCTTCACTGCTCTCCGTTACGACTCCCTCTAAGTAAGGAGGTTTCCGTTCGCCAGACTGCTATGGAAGATATCCAGATGACCCTACAATCATGGTACACGACCTCTGAAGGAATTAATGTTTCCAGGAGAGACCACCATTTAACACTGACCTTGAAAATCTGCTACTAGTGAGTTTCCATTTGCCTTGCTTAGATCATCATACTCATACAGCCAGTTACTACTTCATCAATCTCCTTCAGCGCCTACAAAGACAGTCTAATAGAGGCGGTGACACTAAGCCGATTCTTGATGCTGCTCTTCAAGTCTTTGGTCTGGTGGAAGACTCGCTCCTGTACTGGACGCCAGAGTATTTCCCCATGATTTAGTGAGTGATTAATTAACCCACCATTGCCTCACTGTGCTAACTTGAAGCACAAGTGTTTCTGCTCTATTCTCTGCCATGATAGCTGTCGCTGCTGATGGTAGCATGTCCCCGCCCAGAAGCGACCAACTCCTCTGCAAGATACGCCCAGGTCTGCTGGCCCTGAAGCAGTTCGAGTCAGTCTACAATCTGGCTCGATGGATTCGGAATTTCTTTATGGATATCTTAAATCGTTCCGAGCCACACACTGGCGACAAGACTGCCCGTGACCAAGGACTGATCCCACCACGCCATGTTCAAGATGGTCAACCCATAACACCTGAGAGTGTCGCTCAAGCCCCTGCGGAGAACACTGTAGCAGATACTCCAGTAACGGCGGAGCAGCCTGATTACTCGACCCCAAGTTTAAATGTCGAAGACGCAAGCTTTCTATTCGGGCATGATACCCGTGAGGATGAGTGTCATCACCCAGAACTGACACGCGTTGGTGGATTCTGGCCGGCATCCCTGGTGACGGGCATCTTTTCTGGGACTCATAACAGCGATGTGATGGACTTCCCCCAACCTGATTCCATTCAGTATCAGGCCATGCACTTTTTAGCCGACTTGGGCATAGCGAGTTCAGATTGTGTGTAAACAAGCAGATGGGCTCTTTGGTCGATGGCCAATGCTCCTGCGGGGTTGACTTTTAGGGGGTCGTAGTCACCGAATAAGAAAAGTTCTAATTCTCGCATCGCGACTCATCAACCTCGAAATCTGTACGGTGGCTCGCCAAGGTGTGAGCCTCCTCCCTGGATAACCGCCGAACCGAGGCCTCATTACCCCACAAGCTAACCATAGCTGAATGACTTCATCGGAGTTCGCCAAGCCCACTATTGCCATTGCGATGTCGAAGGATCCCCAGAGTGTGGCTCCTCCATAGCCGAAAACTCAACACCATAGCCGAAGGCCATCACCGATCTCCACAGCAGAGCGGGTCTGGATTTCAGAGCTTCGTGGTAGATTTAAGGAAGGACAAGCTGGTACCAGAAATTGCTATTGGGTTATTTCTCTTTCTGGAGTATCTTTTCCTCGAGGCGAGTTCTGAACTCTTGCACATGATGCTCACTTCACATGGACATCGCGTGTCGTCTAGACTTGGCGGGTTACTCCTCCAGCACGCTTCCCGGCAAACCCGCCCTCTCTCAAATTCAAGGGGATCATCGCCGAGACCCAACAAAGATTTCGGAAAATATCTCGGTAAGCATGATAACCCTCCCTTGCCTGGTAACCACTCATTGGACTCACAATATGATAGGACTATTTTCTTTGGGAGTGGCTGTAACTGGTGCTGCGAGTTTCGCAGTTCTCAACAAATCATCTCGACAATCATCGACATTACCACTTTCCGAGGCCCCAAAAATACATCACGACACCTCGGCAGCAAACATTAAAGCAGCCTGTCAAGAGTTTGAGCGGATCATTGGGAAAGACCACATCTCGAGCGAAAGAACTGATCTCGTCACTCATTCTGGCTCAGATTATCAGTCATACGCCTGGACTGAGGAAAATGCCATCCTTTCAAATGTCATCCTCTATCCAGAAACGACAGAACAAGTCTCACAGATCGTCAAAGTCTGCTTTCGTCGCCGTTTACCAGTGACGCCATACTCTGGCGGTACATCAATCGAGGGCCAATACATTCCCCAATTCCAAGGCGTCTGCATCGACTTTACCCGCATGAACCACATCAAGGAGATAAATCCTGTTGATCTCGACTGCACAGTCCAGCCTGGAATCGGTTGGGTGGATCTGAACGACGAGTTGGCGTCACATGGTCTTTTCTTCCCGCCAGACCCAGGTCCTGGCGCCATGATAGGAGGAATGGTTGGAACTGGCTGCTCAGGGACAAACGCAGCTGCGTATGGAACCATGAAAGATTGGGTCCTATCGCTCACGGTGGTTCTTGCCGATGGGACCATTATCCAGACGCGGCAGCGAGCAAGGAAGTCCAGCGCGGGTTACGACCTAACGAGGGTATTTGTTGGGAGTGAGGGAACTTTGGGACTGGTCACCGAAGCCACTTTGAAACTGGCAGTGAAGCCTCCGCACGAAGTCGTGGCTGTCTGCACATTTCCCACACTGCGTGCCGCAGCATCTGCGGTACGTGAAGTGGCCTCAAGTGGTATCCAAGTGGCGGCAGTCGAGATTCTCGACGAAGTCCAGATGAGGAACATCAACTTGGCTGCTCTGACACGACTTAAGTGGAAAGAAGAGCCCACGCTGTTCTTCAAATTCGCCGGCAGTGATGACTTCATCGTCAAGCATATCGCCAAAAAGGTTGGAGAGATAACCAAGAGAAACGGCAGTTCGACGTACACCTTTGCCTCTGACGAAGGCGAGCGAAATGAGTTGTGGTCTGCAAGAAAAGCTGCTTTGTGGAGTATGCTTGCCCAGCGTCAATCGCCAACAGACAAAGTCTGGACAACAGATGTTGCTGTTCCATTAAGCAGACTCCCGGATATCATCGAGCTTGCCAAGGCCGACATTGAAGAGTCTGGTCTTATGGGTTCGATCGTTGGACATGTGGGAGATGGAAACTTCCACACATTGCTCTTGTTCCCAGAGGAGAAGAGGCCCATTGCTGAAGCGGTTGTGCACAGGATGGTAGATATGGCGATCGAGATGAAGGGTACTGCAACTGGCGAGCATGGAATCGGTCTTGTCAAGAGAGACTATTTGGAGAAGGAGCTTGGGAAAGAGACGGTGGACACCATGAGGGCTGTGAGTATTATTCCGTTCCCAGAGATCACTGTTTGCTAATGCCACAGTAGATGAAGAGCGCCTTCGACCCAATGTGTATTCTGAACTGCGACAAGGTCATCCGTATGAAGCCAGTAGAGGAACAATAGAGTCAATGAAGCTCTTGAACAGTGACACTGAGTTTGCCGTTGTTATCAAGCTACTCAAAGCATGCCAGGCAACGTGGCAGCGGAGCAGCCGGGTTTGTCAGCCCTAAGAAAGACAACAAGGTATCATCCGATCTGTATTCTCCAGCCGGTATCAACTTTGCATCTCACCGAGTTGTCGTATGTCACGTGAATACCATCCTGAAGAACTTATAACCCAGAATTACTTTAGGCAAAAAGAGCGAGGTTTTAACCATAGAGGTAGGTAAGTGTTAGACTACCTGGTTGTCTATCATGGTTCTCCGAAATAGCCGGGTACGAAGCGCTGCATTTGGACTTATTCACGCATCAGCCGCAAAAAATCCCTCTTTTTTCCAGCAACACGAGTAGTATTTAGGGCCGTAAGTGGCCCACCCTTGTTCCTGACCAGTGTGCCCTTATTTTTAAGCTTACCATCATGCTTAGCTCTGCAGGGGACACATGCGAGCTGTGGCCATCAAGGTGGACGGGTAGTTGTGGCGTTCCCAGCCTTCTGATAGTTCATGTCCATGAGCCCACCAACGTGCTTGGCCAGGCACCTGCCTGTCTTGGTAGTTGGACCGTTCCTTGACGGGCGGATGAATCGGAGGTTTGGTCTTTGTAATGACATCCAGGTACCCGGTTATCATTATGGGGCAGTTGAGTCAGTCCGGACTGAGTTTATTCATTGGAGCTCTGGCTAAGTATGTACTTCATAAAACGTAAAACGAGCGACATCAATCATGAGATGAATAGAATAGACACGATGAGTTTCAATCCCCACTTCCTCCACTCTCCCTTATGTCCCTTGTTTGCCATGTCGTCACAAGGCAACGAACGAGAAGCGAGTGTTGGCGGGGCTCTCTCTTCGCTTGGGTGTCGACCTTGTCCTTGAGTTAGCCGACAGTCCGGGCAACTGGTAATCCTTGTTTCTTACCCCACCTAGTGTGCGTGACAGTGCCAGCCCTGATCGGCGGTATCGGGGCAAGTGAATCCATGGGTGCTACCGACGAGGTGGCACTCCTCTCCACAGAGCGCCCAGACGTCACCTCCCAAGGCGGAAGGGCAGCAGAAGTACTCTGCGTCGCCCTCGTGAGTGTGTTGGCTGCAAGCCAACTCTGGGTACTCAATGGGGCAATCGTCACGGCGAACCAGGGTGTTGGCTGGGAGTGCCATGACGGCTGAGAGGGAGAGGCTGACGAGGGCAAGGAAGGTGGTCTTCATCTTGAGATTTTGTTAAGAAGAGAGGGGAGAAAGATGATTCTGCTTGAGTTTTTGGTGAGGCTTGGTTGTTTCTTGTTGTTTTTCAGGATTTATCCCTTCTATTTGTACTCGAGCGTTGAACCACGATCGGACCGTCGGCCTGTCCAAATGCAACTTGATGCGAGGAGCAGATCCCACGAACAGCATCAAGCTCGTCCGAGTCCGTCTGGCAAGAGAGGGGAAGACGCAGTATCTCTGCTTCTGACCTTTGTGAGTTCGCAACACGACCAATCCAGACCTTGAATCCCCTCTCTTCTCACGATAATCAAGGACGTGGCTTAACCAGCAAGGTACTGCGTGGGCGACATCCCGCGCCAAGAAACCATCAAGGGATTCAGCTCGGTCTTCTGACCAGGAACAATATCGCCATGACTGTGTGATGTTGGTGATGGAGTTTTGTTTCTCCAAACATCTGTCAGTCACGAACACAAACTGCTACCAACTGGCGTAACTGACTGACCATATAAGATGCTCAACTTCCCGCTCATTCTACGATTTCTTCCCCCTTCCTCAGCAGCCTCTACTTGCCAACCCATCGAGGCCTTTCTCTCTAACCTGCACCAGGAAAACGCACGCACGGCGCTTTCACTGGGCCAGCAAGGCTCCCTCTGTTGCAACAAATCGCGTGCAAAAGCATGCATGTCAAGATGCATCTAGTCAAGTTCTTCCTGGCTACTTGCCTTTCTCAGGCATGGAATGTCTCCGCTCGGCCACGCCCCCAGGCCGAAGAGGCATGCACCCCTCATGATGACCATTGGCATTGTCCTCCTGGTGTACAGCCACCCACCACGCCTCCCGGTCAACCTGATCCTACGAGCACGGCGCAACCTCAGCCAACCATCACCGCCCCCCCAGCAACAACTTGCTTGTAAGTACTGCGTTGGGTTGGAATACTTGTCGTGCTTTCAACGAATTTGATATGATGCTAGTATCAGATGCTAACCCAGAAAAGTCCTACCACCACCGCAGTTCCTCAGTTGGTAACTCTCAAGTCGAACCTGGAGGACTCCAGAACCTTCCTTCGGTACATGAACCCAAAGTACTCAACCTCGGGTGCAGTCTTCTCTGGTTACTCTGTTCTCTGGTATTCCTCAGAGGGCACGTACACTCGAAGCACTGGTGTCATCACCGTTACCAACACCTTGTTCTACGATTCCAACGCTTTGTCATCTGAGGGTTACGACATCACCACCAAGACATCCACCCGGACGACCTGTGTGACTCAAACCACCGATGGCCCATCAGCAACCTGTTCCCCACATGGAGATCACTGGCATTGTCCCCCAGGTGTTGAAGAACCCACGACGCCTCCTCCACAGGAGACAACGACATCTCCCCCAACAGAACCCACGGGAACCTGCTCCCCACATGGCGACCATTGGCACTGCCCCCCTGGGGTCGAGGAGCCTACGACGCCTCCTGCTCAAGAACCTACCGGAACTTGCTCTCCTCATGGTGATCACTGGCATTGTCCTCCTGGAGTTGAACAACCAACAACACCTCCGCCTCAAGAGACTACAACTACTCCAAAGGAACCCACGGGAACTTGTTCCCCCCATGGAGATCACTGGCACTGCCCTCCGGGAGTTGAAGAGCCCACTACGCCACCCTCGCAGGAAACCACAACTACTCCGAAAGAACCCACCGGGACCTGCTCTCCTCATGGCGATCACTGGCATTGTCCTCCTGGCGTTGAAGAGCCCACAACACCTCCCCCAATCATCACGTCCAAGTCGACTTTGACCACAGGCAAGGATGAGCCTACGGGAACTTGTTCCCCCCACGGAGATCACTGGCATTGCCCCCCTGGAGTTGAGGAACCTACGACTCCTCCTCCTATCATCACTTCCAAGACAACGGTGACTACGGGTAAGGATGAGCCCACAGGAACTTGCTCTCCTCACGGCGACCACTGGCACTGTCCTCCTGGCGTTGAAGAGCCCACGACACCTCCCCCAGTCATTACATCCAAGACAACCAAGACCACACCCAAGGATGAGCCCACTGGTACATGTTCCCCTCATGGTGATCATTGGCATTGTCCTCCCGGTGTGGAGGAGCCAACCACCCCACCCGCCAACCCCACCACCGGTACGAACCCGTCCCCTACAGGTAGCACCGAGTGTACCCCCCATGGCGACCATTGGCACTGCCCACCAGGCGTTGAAGAGCCCCCGTTCCCTCCTGGTCAAGGCTCCGATAATGGAGACGGTGATGATGATGGACACAACGGCGGCCAAGACCCAGGGGAGTGCGTTGCTCACGGTGACCACTGGCATTGTCCCGATGGAGTAGAGGAGCCTCCATTCCCTCCCGGCCAAGGTTCTGACAACGGAAGCGGTGGCGATGATGGTGCCAACAATGGTAGCGAAGACTCTGGGGAGTGTGTCGCTCATGGTGATCATTGGCACTGCCCCGATGGAGTGGAGGAACCTCCCTTCCCTCCTGGTCAAGACTCTGGTAACGGAGATGGTGGTGACAGCGGAAACGGCGGAGGAGAAGATTCTGGAGAGTGTGTTGCTCACGGCGACCACTGGCATTGCCCCGAAGGTGTTGAGGAACCTCCTTACGCCCCTGGACAAGAGCCTGGTGGCGATGGTGATAACTCAAGCGGTGGTTCGGGCAGCGGTGATGGTGCCGCTGGTGAGTGTGTTGCTCACGGTGACCACTGGCATTGTCCCGAGGGAGTCGAAGAACCCCCTTACGCTCCTGGAGAAGAACCAGGCAACCAGTCTGGCTCTGGCGATAACCACGCTGATGGCGATGCCGAGGGCACAGAGTGCGTGGCTCATGGCGATCACTGGCACTGCCCCGAAGGAGTTGAAGAACCACCCTACGCTCCAGGAGAGGAGCCCGGTAGCGAGGGCGGCTCTGGTGATAGTTCTGGCGATGACTCTTCTAATGAGTGCGTTGCCCACGGCGACCACTGGCATTGTCCCGAAGGCGTTGAGGAGCCCCCTTATGCCCCGGGAGAAGAGCCAGGAAACGAATCCGGCTCCGATGGTGGCCATAGCGGTGACGCTGAGGGCACTGAGTGTGTGGCTCATGGAGATCACTGGCACTGCCCTGAGGGGGTTGAGGAACCTCCTTACGCCCCAGGAGAAGAGCCAGGCCATGAGTCGGGCTCTGGCGATGATGCTTCTACTGAGTGTGTGGCTCACGGCGACCACTGGCATTGTCCAGAGGGAGTTGAAGAGCCATCATATGCGCCGGGAGAAGAGTCCAACAGCCAATCTACCTCTGGTGATGAGCATGCAGGCGATGATGCTTCTACTGAGTGCGTTGCACACGGTGACCACTGGCATTGTCCTGAGGGAGTTGAGGAGCCTTCTTACGCCCCAGGAGAGGAGCAATCCGGCTCTGGCGATGAGGCTGAAGGCACCGAGTGTGTCGCGCATGGCGATCACTGGCACTGCCCCGAAGGAGTCGAAGAGCCTTCGTACCCCCCTGGAAGCGAGTCTCAGGCTGCTGTCACAAGCCCAACCACGCTTGTCACCGTACCTGAGCCCACCGCGACTGAGGGGTCGCCTGTTGTTGTAACGGGTGCAGCCAGCCGATTTGTTTCTCCAGCCCTTTCGGCGTGGGTTGCTGTCATGGTTGCCGCGAACCTACTCTAAGCAGTAGGCTGAGTCATGGCTTGTATCTTAGAAGCAACAGCCGCCCATGTGTGAGAGTTGGGGTGTAAATGGAAGGATGATAGGTCCAACAATGGTTGAGAGATTCGCAGGATATAACTTACAATTCTTGACATTCCTTGGTAATTTAATATAATCCAGCCGCTCATAGGAGTGTCAATTCTACGCTTGTTGTCACGTAATATGTATGAAGGCCTTCATCCTCTCGCTGTGACTAGAAGATGAAATGAGATCATTTGGCCAGCTAGGGCCCTATTTGGTTTACTCGCTGTAGCAAGCCCATGTAAAGCACGAACCTACCAGCAATGAAACTTTAGAAACTCCAGTCAAGTATTAATTAGGAGAATAAATAACCTTAATTCGTAGTCAGTCTATTTCTATCCTCGCTTTGCTTTGTGATCTTGGGTAGCCATACTGGTGGTCCAAGCGGATCCGAGTCCGAAATCATGGTCAGTGTCGCGATGAATGGGAATTTGCGGTTATCAGTCAGAGTCTCCAAGAGGACCTGAATCTAGATAACGCTAGAGACGCTGCTGTAGAAACTCTTGTTGACGTTGTGGCTGCCATGTAGCGAGTGGTCATGATAACGTGGGAAACCTCGGATTGCATGGACCCGCCTCGTGGGAAAACAGGCCAAGCAGAACCTGGCTGGCAATGATGCCATACCCCTTGCCACCGCGATAAGGGATGAGAAAGCTTAAGGTGACCGCTGTCCAGATCCTACGGTTGTAAGGTCTTGGTACGCCATTGACCATGAGTCGAAGCCGTACCAAATGCCGGGAAGAAGATGATGACACGATAGGCGAGAGTGAGATCTCGGCGGCTCCGCGGAGGTCGGGGCCAGAATTTGACCTTGCATCAGATCTCTTTGCTTATTGTCAGAGTCTGGAGCAATCGAATCATGATAAGCATGCAAGATGAATCTCATGAATCTACCGCATTGAGTAACTGTCGTACAGTAAATAGAGCCAATTAGGCCCCCTTATCGTCATGGGGGCCCCCTACCTTTTGGGTGGCCTAACGGCCTATTTTTCTGTATCACAGTAACGCAGTCTATCACACCAGGATCAAGGATACGCGCAGCATTCCGATAGGGGTAAGTCCGAGTCTAGCTACTTTTGGGCAAAGACATGTAGCTGAGTCGTGAACAGAACAGTCCGAAAGTCCGAAGGTCCGTCAACCGCGGACCTCTGAAAGTCCGAAATATCTTGCAGAGACTCGTCAGTAAGTGGAGAAGACTTCACAGTACAGGAGTGAAGCTCAGGAATCGGTATCAGGAAATCATCGGAATAGGATTCCGCATAAGAAGGTACTTATTCTCCCATCACGCCACAACAATACAACTCAATCAACAATCGAATCAACCGTGCATCATCAGAACTCCATTGTCCATCTGTCCACAATGGCTCGCATCCCACATCCCCTGTCGCAATTGAGTCTCGACGAGACGGCCTTGGCGCGAGATGTGATTCGTCAGGCTCACCCTGGCACGCTCCTCAACTTCCGCGTCATCTTTCTCCTTGAGCCTCCCAAGGCCGAGGTTGAAGCTTACCTGGAGCTTGAGCATTCCGGAAACCTTACTGCAGCTTCACAGAGACTGGCACGATTGGCCCAAGCTTGGTATGATGTTATTGGAAGCTCGCGTGTGCCTCAATACCATGAGACGGTTGTCGATCTTCGGGCAGCCAGCATCGCTGAGAAGAAGGTCATTGACGCCAAGAGCCAAGCCAGTCTCTCAGTGTCAGTTTAACCATTGACCCTTCTTTCACTATTTTCTTACTGACTTTCTTTTAGGTGGGAGTTTAACCAATTGGTCAAGTGCGTCACAGAGAACCCAGAAGTCCAAGCAAAGGTCGCCGACTTGAAGCTCCCAGCTGGATTCGAACTCGTCATCGAGCCTTGGCCATTTGGTGCCCCCGATCCTAGAGATGGAGACGACCGACTATTCCAAGCTTTGATGTTCGCTCAAAGAAGTGGAAACCCTGACTCCAACTTTTACGCCTACCCGTTGCCCATCATCCCTGTCGTCAACATTTACAACCTCGAGGTTGTTCGCATCGAGACCCCTGCTACAGGTGGTGGAGGCGATTCTCTGACAGAACGATCGAACTATGCCGGTATCGTCGATCATTGCACCGACAGCGAATACGTGCCGGAACTTCTCCCCGGCGGCACAAGACAAGATTTGAAGCCTCTTACTGTGGTTCAGCCTTACGGACCTAGCTTCAAGATTGACGACGGAAATCTCATTCGATGGCAGAAGTGGCAGTTTCGCGTTTCGTTCAACCCTCGTGAGGGTGCTGTTCTCCACGATCTCCGATATGACGGTCGAAGCGTTCTGTACCGTCTGAGCATCAGCGACATGGTGAGTACGGGATCGAGAATGTGGATGGTCTTGGATAATCCAGGCTAACTCAATCAACAGACCGTCCCTTATGCTGATCCGAGAAACCCTTACCACCGAAAGCAGGCCTTTGACTTTGGCGACGGAGGTCTCGGTAACGCTGTCAACAACTTGACCCTGGGCTGCGATTGCTTGGGTGTCATCAAGGCAAGCTGGCTTCCCTGAATAGCATTGACCCAAGACTTACATATTCTAGTACTTTGATGGTGTACTTGTTGATCACGAGGGTAAGCCCCAGGTCACCAAGAATGTCATCTGTCTTCACGAGCAAGATAACGGCATCAACTGGAAGCATACCAACTGGCGAACCGGTCGAGCCGTCGTTACTCGCCGCCGAGAACTGGTTATCCAGTTCATCATCACCCTTGCCAACTACGAATACATCTTCAACTTCAAGCTCGACCAAGCTGCTGGAATAATGGTGGAGGCCCGCGCAACCGGTATCGTTTCGGTCGTCAATATCGATGAGGGCAAAACCGCACCTTGGGGTAATGTCGTCAACCCAGGAGCGTTGGCGCAGAACCATCAACATGTGTTCTGTGTGAGAATTGACCCTGCTATTGATGGTAGCCGCAATACCGTCGTCCAGGAAGAGAGTCTACCAGTGGCGATGAACCCTTACTCCAACCCTCAAGGCAACCTCTACGAAGTCCGCCAGGTACCCATCGCCAAGTCGGGAGGATACGATGTTGAGCCATTGAACAACCGGGTCTTTAAGATTCAGAATACGAACAAGCTCAATCCTGTCTCGGGCAAACCTATTGCCTACAAGGTCATCACCCCAGCTACACAAAAGCTGCTTGCGGATCCTCGAAGCACCCAAGCTCGACGAGCTTTGTTCGCCAAGCATCATCTCTGGGTAACCAAGCATAAGGACGACGAGTTGTATGCTGGTGGTCGGTATACGCTGCTGAGCAAGGATGAGATTGGTGGTGTTGCAGATGCTGCTGCACGAGATGACGATGTGTTGAATGAGGATGTCGTGTTGTGGAGTTGCTTTGGCCTGACGCATAACCCCCGTGTCGAGGACTGGCCTGTCATGTGAGTCACCAACACTCCTTAATACCTCCATTGATGAATCTGTTGCTAACAAGTTGTTCTTCTAGGCCTGTTGAGATCCTGCAAGTCTCGCTTACTCCCGCCGACTTCTTTACTGCGAACCCTGCGCTCGATGTTCCCTCGAACAAGGATTTGGGCTCCAGGTATGTAGATGCTTGCTGCAAGGAGAATAAGCTATAAAAGGCTTTGTATTTGTTTGAGAATGATTAGAGCGTTGTTCAAGTCTTGTGTACGAAGAGCGTGTACTGTTGATGGAACCTATAGACAGCGAAGAAGATCTCGCTGGTTGAAGTAAAGTCGAGAGAAATCTGTTATTCCTTTAAGCAAGTTTTAAATACAGAATGAGTCTAATAGAAAGAATACCGAATGTGAAAAACAAAGACGTGATCAAAGTCTTCGATGCAAATACGGCTCTTTATCTTGGATCTAGAGACCTTGCTGGCGTTAACAGTTTCCCAACATCCTACTTTTCATTATAGAAATCTTCGCAAATGCCGACTCCACGAGAGTCATGTTGGTCTTTGCTACCAAAGTCTTCCAACTCGTTGGGATGCTCATGACTTGCCTCTCATGGAGAGCCTCTATCATGTCTTTCCTCATTCTCGACCCCACGCCTAATTTTTACTTGTCGTCTCCTTTGGGAGTGCTACCAAGAACACATAATTGAATCTTAATGTACTCGGCCAAAATCCGTTCGTCATAAAGTACCTGTGGCAACATTCTAGCGGTTTACATGATGGGGAAGAGGCCAGCCCATGATTGACGAGATGTCAACAACCGCGGACAGCGGATTGTTCAGACTGCTCGGGTTGGAGATCACAAGTCAATGGCCTATTGACTGATTCCATTCTACCCAACTTACATCTCTGTGGTCAATTTCTTTGACCGCTAATGAACCAACAATCTATCGAGGGTGCGATTTGTAAGTCCTTCGCCACATGGTGACCCATGAAAACTCAAGTCAGTGGAGTTTACCGGTATCCCACATCCCAGAACGTTCCTGACAAACTTCGAAAAGATAATGAATACGAGGTTATTGGATAGATGTTATCTTTGCGGCATTTGACGAGACTCAAACACGAGTGCAACGCAATATATCCGCGTACTCATGATAAGTCTCACATTCAGTGTAACAAGTTTTTCTTCAACGACTCAGCTGCCTTCGCTTGAATGACCTTACTGAACTCTAGACCACTTAATGTCGACCATTTAAACCACTTATGGTAAGACCATGAATCAGATCCGGGGTCAAAAACTCACTAGGGGACCCATGCAAAGTCCGAATGTCCGTTGATAGCGAATTACCTGGGTCCGAAGCTCCATCGTGGCCACACGGGCCAAAACACCTCGGAACCAAAACCTTCAATTCCGAGATCCCTGGCTCAAACATTGGCATATTGCCCGACCGTTGTACGATTCTTCGTTGAGAAGGGTACGCTCGAGCCAATCACCTCATTGCCAATTGCCGTTCCTCGCCTCCAGCGTTAGCCTTTAACGATCTGCGGGGAAGAGATCGGGTCATGCAGATTAAGGGGACATATGACCGGCTTTCCCCAGATTTTGAGGATTCTCGGGCTCGTTTCCGAGCCGCCCGCGATCTGGGGAGCATCTCCAGGCTCTCGTGTCACTAAAAACGACCTTCAGGTCAACTATGCCCCCTGCAAGTTTTGATACAGAGCATTGCATGCAGTAGATCAGCACTGTTTTGCGCCCGGAAACATGGCTCATGAATTCCTAGATAAGCGACTTTTGTGTGCGTGTGGCAGAGTGTCTTATCAGCAATGCCACCCATGCAACAAGCGGCATGGCCTAGCCGGCTATCTCTTGTCCCAGATAATGCCAGCCTCGATGTGGTAACAAGCAATCTACCCCGCAATCTCAGGAGGCGAGGGTTCCGATTCCGACACGTTTGGGCTACAGTACAAAACAATAGCCTTGTCCATAGGTAGGCAGATGATGATTCTCCATCATCAGGCTTCATGCCAATATCGCAATCATGGAGAAAGACGGTATCACCGCGACTCGGACCCGAACCAACTCGGTCTCGAAGAATCCTCAGGATGATGATGCTCGACGCCTGGCCCAGATGGGCCACAAGCAGGAGCTCGAGAGATCGTACTCCCTGTTTGCCCTCGGTGCTCTTTGCGTCTGCCTCATGGCAACCTGGGAAGCGTTGTCGACTGTCATTGCTACAGCCCTGATCAGTGGAGGAGCGCCGTGTTTGTTTTACAACCTGTAAGTTGTACCGGAAAATGCTCAGGGTAACCCCTTTAACGCAGTTTACATAGCCTCCTATCCACGTTTTCCACCATCTGCATTGCTTGCTCCCTGGGAGAAATCGCCTCGATCTATCCCACTGCTGGTGGTAAGTTCAACCAGCCTTTCACTGACCTGGGTAAAACTCACATAACCCTCCTTCTAGGCCAGTACCACTGGGTCGCAGCCCTCTCTCCGTTATCGATCCGATCTCCCTTGGCTTATATGACTGGATGGATTTCTATCGGAGGTCAAATCGTCCTGACTTCCTCTGCCGCCTTTGCAGCTGGCCTGCAGACCCAGTCTCTAATCATCGTAAACTCTGACTCTTATATCCCTCAGCGCTGGCAGGGTATGCTCTTTTACTGGGCTATCCTCACATATGCGTTGGTCATGAACATATGGGGCCATAGGCTACTCCCTACGACCAACACCATCTCGGGTTTGTGTGAAACTCCTGCTCCAAGGTGTGCGATGCTAACTCTGTTTAGGTGTTCTCCATGTAGCGGGTTTCATCTCGATTCTTATCGTCTTGGGCGTCATGGCTCCCAAGAACTCAGCCTCCTTTGTCTTTACCGAGTTCACAAACTCAAGTGGCTGGTCTAGCGACGGTGTTTCTTGGCTCGTTGGACTCTTGAGTGCTGTGTATCCCTATCTTGGGTAAGTTTTGAAACCTCAAGACTCAACGTTGAACTGTCTCTAACTGCTCAACTTTAATCAGTTACGATGCTGCGTGTCACTTGGCAGAGGAAATGCCTAACGCGAGCAGAAACGTCCCCCTTGCTATGGTCGGCAGTGTCTCCGTCAACGGACTCATGGGCCTCATCTACGCCATCGTACTCCTCTTCTCGACCGGTCCTCTCGAGTCGCTTCTACAAACACCTACAGGCTTCCCATTCATGCAAATCTTCCTCGACGTAACCAAGAGCCGAGCCGGAGCCACTGTCATGTCTGTTGTTATTATAACAATTGCTATCGCAGCCTCGGTTGCAGGTGTCACATCCACCTCTCGAACGCTGTGGGCTTTTGCTCGTGACAGGTCTACTCCTTTCGACAGGCACCTCAGTAAAGTCAACAAGAGCCTCCAAATCCCCGTTCACGCTGTTGTACTAGTCACTGTCCTTCAGATGCTGCTTGGTTTCATCTACCTTGGCAATACCACAGCTTTCAACGCCATCCTATCTATGGCCATCATCGGCATGTACACAAGCTATGCTCTCCCTATCATTCAGATGATCTGGGCTAGAGGCCGTATCATCCGTTCCAATGATTACGGGCCTTTCAAACTGGGTCCCATCCTTGGCCCTGTGGCAAACGTCATCAGCCTGATCTGGATTACTGTTGTCATCATCTTCAGTGTTTTCCCCAGTTCGATGCCAGTCATTCCACAAAGCATGAATTATTCCATTGTTGTTATGGTCGGCTGGATCCTGTTTGGTATAGTATACTACATCTTCTACGGACGATTCAAGTTTGAGGTAGCGGCTATCACGGATGTTCTCGATGGAGTTCCAGGTTCAAGGCCTTGAGTCAAGAAATTTAGTTGTCGAGAACTATATTCTAGAATGATATCAGCATGGCAGGTTTGCGTCTGTATGTTCTACTGTTCAGTGGTGTCTCTGGGTTGCAAGTCACACGTCTTTAAGAGTTTGTTATTTAAGACTTGTCAATCTTGTTCAGAAAGTGCCCCTTCACTTCGTTTCTCCTAGTTTTAAATACCACTCAATTTGCTTTCTGGGGTAATCATTCCGTCGACTGAAAATAATCTACCTTGCCGTACCATTGATAGGGTCCTGGTAGCTTCAAATCAAGGAGCCAGGTCAAGTGGATATCTCTACAGGCCTACTTTAGATCTTCGAGAATATATAAGAGACTCCTTGTTTTCTAAAAGTTTCCAGAATCCTATAAAGTCAGCGGTATAGTCAATACACCGTCCCTAACCTGATGCTGTTGATAAATCTGGGTGAATTTGTCGGTATTGGCTTGCGTATACTGATCCTAACCATAACCTTAACCAACTACAACCCTTATCCCAACCTCACCCTAACCATAACATATATCCTAACCTATGCATTGGATAATAGGTGTCAAAGGGGGTTGGCTCACGAGGTGGTCGGGGGTCGGCTTGACAAACCACTCTTGGTGTACCCTGGCGGATTAACTTGTTTCAACTTCCTCTACATTAGAACACTAACAGATAAGACTCTAATTCCCGCCCGTTGCTGGAGTATCTGCTAGTGAGATAACGCGGGGCTGTAATCACACACACCTTTCGGCCACTCAGAACTTGCTCATTTACCGATTCGTAAAGCATCATGTGGCCTGGAGGCCAACAAGGTAGATGCCAACCCGTTTATTTGTCTCCGAAAAAGTGTCCGAATAAGCAGGGAAAAGAGTCCGAAGAACCTGTGATGACTACTTTGCACATGTTAAAAGGCCCTGTCTGATCTCTCCCCAGTCGTTAGCCAACTCTTCTGTTTAACATCCATAAGTATTGCAAAGGAGTTGTGACTTCCGTCAACTGGCCTGCCTAGACCTTCCATCACCAACCTCAGTAAGAACAACACGATATGTCTGAGACAAAGGCTCAGCACGAGCTTCAGCAACGCTACAATGCAGGGTCCCAGTCTCTCGAGGATCCCGAAGTGCAGCATATGATCAACCAGGCGGATGAAATGATGGGCAAGCCGGCACGCATGCTAATCACACAAGCAGGGCTCGCTTCTATCACCACGAGCTTCAATCTTGTTGATCTTGGGTGTGGCACAGGTCTAGTCGCCTCTTGCGTCCTTAAAGCGGTGCAGCCATCTGTCTTGTCGGAGAGCAAGATTCTCTGCACCGATGTCAATGCCCGGTTTGTCGATATCCTCCTGCAACGCATACAGAGGGACAAGTGGATCAACGTTGACGCAGCCGTCGGCGATGCTCAAGTAAGTTCTCTAATAACAAGTTGCAAGTATTGGCCATCTAATCGAACTAGATCTCAGATCTTCCCGAGCACTCCTTCAGCCATGTGACCATCAATTTCGCCATGCACATCATTCCTGACCCGGCTGCAGTCCTGCGCGGTAAGTCTTCCTATCTTCTTCTTCCTAGTCTCTCTGACCTCTGACCATATTCATAAGAAAAGCTTCGCATCCTTAAACCCGGCGGTATCTTGGCATTCACTGTACCACATATCAACAACGGTCATGACGGCGGATGGGTACCGGATCTTCGCTCAGCTCTCGAGTCTCTTCCCTTCCAGACGCCGTTTCCAGACCCAATGCCGGTGGCCCTTCACGGCAAGCCCCAATGGGTAGAACCAGAAGGTATCAAGGCAGAGTTGACCGATCATGGCTTCATTGATGTCAAGGTGGAAACCATGGAGATGATCCATCCGGTTTCTAATGCCAAGAGCTTTCTAGCCTCATTTTCAATGATGATCAAGTGGGTAATTGACACATATTGGACTGCGGAGCAGAAGCAGCAGTATGGAGATGGGTTCAACAAGACGCTCGTAGAGCACCTTGAGTCGAAACATGGTGGCAAGGGTTGGGATCTCTACTCAACCGCTATTGTTGTCACTGCTCGGACGCCACAGTAGTTGTATATAAAAGACCGATGCGACGATGACTGGTGCAAAGATTGATATGTTGATAAATAGCCAACCACCTACTGGAGGGCTAACTAGTGGGCTGAAGATAGTAAAGGCTTCAAGCCGAGAAGTATTTGTGCTCAATTGTCTTTGTTCGTGTTAAGAGGAAAAAATACATTTTAAATGCCATTATTAATATTTATTCCTCAACTTTTATCAAGGATTTATCAAGGACTAACCAACCGATGCCGGGCGTGCCACTCTAGCAGTCGCCTCTCCGCTCTTCTCGTACGTGACTGGACAGGTTCGTATATTTGATCAGTGTTGTAGAACATTTGGCCAATTTTGGAGAAGCATAGGCTAACTCTTGAGTTATTCAGACAATTGTGGCAAGTATAAGAAAGTCAGCTCTTAGTAACGTACTAATTATGACTGGGTGAGTGGTGGCAAGGGGGGTATGTAACTTGAAAGAAAGAAACCCTGAAGGTGCAACAGCTAAGAGGTGCACGAAGAAAGTAGGTTGGGTTATGAGATAACGACAGGACATTAACCAATTCACAGTATTATGTCAATGTAAATAAGTAACTACCGACTTGAGGATCAACTACTAGGTTGAAAATAATAAAAGGCTTCAAGCCAAGAAGTAAGAAGTATCTGCCCCGACTTGGCGCACCTTCCATGATAGACCGACGGCGAGGTTGATCAGACACCAGAATCATCCTGGAATGGACCGCTGGCGTTCCAATGGTTCTTGGGGTTAGAATACCACAGGTCCCAGTTCTCGCAAATCCTCCTTGTTTCTCGCAGTCTCTTCTCGGTCATCAACTTTTTCAAGTCTTCCTCCCGCTCCATAATCTGCAACGCCAAACCACTTGAAGCATGCCAGGCAATGTGACAGTGGAACAGCCAGGAGCCGGGGTTGTCAGCCTTGAAAGCGACAACGAGGTAACCCCCAGACGGGATCAATGCAACATCTCGTCGTGGGGGGTTATCAAACTTGAGTGTCACTTCACCCTTACCAAGGCGTGTGGAATCATTGCCTTGAGCGAGGAGAGCAAAGTCGTGGCCGTGGAGATGCAGCTATAAATGGATCAGACCAATGACACTTCTGGCGTACCAGGGGGATTGAACTCACAGGATGTGCAACAGGTGCAAAGATCTTTTTTTTTCCAGCAACAGTGGTGTTGGGGGCCGTGATAACGAGGTAGACCCATCCATCTTTGTTTTCGGCGGGCACTACGACGTAGTCTTTGGGCCACGGATCCGTCCTGTTGAGCCCAGTAATGGTCGGCTTGGAAAAGTCTACCCACAAAGGGTTGTCCCCAAAGGACCACCAACTAAAGTTGTTTCCAAGAGCAGGTCTATTCTCAACCTTTTCCAACCCAATGTCGAAGTTCTGGGACCCTGAAATTTGATGAGTTGTATGTTCTAGTATCAGCTTGCCAGGGAGTGATGTACTCACAGTTGGTCAAGTTAACCTGTGTAATGTTCCACTTGTGAATGGGTACCAGCTTGTCGTAGTCCTCATCACGGCAGGCCAAACTGTATGGGTCTCTCCAAGTAGTAGGCACACTCGTGCTGCTGGCGTTGTACCGAAGGATGCCCTGACGCTCGTCGGGCTCATTTCCAACCTCGAAACCCTTGCATCCATCTGCGGGAACTGTGCGGATCCAATAGTTTCCATCTTCCGACTTGGGATAGGTGATGTTGTTGATTGGGTTAGCATGGAGAACGATGTGGTATCTTTGACCTGCTTGATGTCAGTCATGCATCTCCACGTTCCAGAGATCAACTTACCGATGCCAATGAGGACATTGGACACTTTATAGGGTTTGATGGGGACAAAGTCAGAACTCATAACCTCGAACAAGTGGTTGTCAATGCTAAAGACAAAGGTTGTGTCGACGGATGTGTTGATGACACGCAAAAGATATTTCTTGCCCTACGGGTACCTGGTTAATATCTGCATCTGCCATGGTCACATTCGTAGGTGCACAAACCTGGGTCACAGTCATGTTGAACCGCTCACGTGGGAAGCTGCCAGCAAAGTTTCCTACGACTGTGAGTGACGGAGTTACAGTTGTTGACAAGAAGAAACATACCAACTCCATTGATCAGGATACTGTTCATCCTGGGGAAGGTAGGGATCCGCGTCAGTTCTCGCTCCCAATCTTGGAATGCACTTCGATGGTTCCAGTCTGTGATCAGGATCGGGTCTTTGGCCTCGTCGTAGTCGGCTGATGATGGCCCGAAGATGGTTATAGGCCCCGCCAGGCCGTCGGCGTACTGCAGAGAGTAATGGCTATGGTACCAGGAGGTTCCGTACTGGAGAGCCTTGAACTCGTAGGTGAAGGTGTCGTTTGGGGCGATTGGGCACTGCGTGACACCATTGACGCCATCCATCTCCATCGTCTCAAATTGTCTAAGACCGTGCCAGTGGATAGTGGTGCCGTTGTACTTGAGCTTGTTCGTGACGTGAACTCTGATCGTATCTCCCCAGCATGCCTGGATCCAAGGGCCAGGGTAGGTTTGGTTGAAGACCTTGCCTTCAGGGTTGAGTACGCCGTCTCCGTTAATAGTCATGTTATCAACCACGAGCCAGTACTATAGAAATTGTGGTCAGATAAGAAGCGATGACCATGGTGATAGGATCTGCTTACTTCTCTCAAGACCCCTGGTGGGGCATCTATCTCATAGTTTGTCGTGATGTTGAATTCTTTCTGAGTGTGTTTATTTCTGAGCCAGCATTTTCGGTTGGTCTCACTCGCGCATGACACCCAGTCATTTTCAAGCTCTGGATACCTGCAAGTGAAATTCTTGACCGTATCTGGGCCATGAGGTGCAGGGAACTTGGGGTAGTCAGGAAGGTTGTGGTCAAAGGAGAAGATGGGTTGCTGGGAGTCGTCATGTTGGCCGAGCGGTATGGAAAAGAATGTGGCAACGCAAAGGATGAATGCTCTACAAGCCTCGTAGAGCCCCATGTTGGATGGTTTTCAAGGTGTTTCTCTAGAGAAGTTTGGACAAGTACGAAGGACTTGAAAAATGAGTAGAAGAGGAGAGAGGCCCCGGATCATGGAGCTATCGTTTCTTCTCTTTACATCTTCTCGCCATTGAATTCCCCCCTCACTTGTCTCCGGGTTCAGCTGCGGGCGAACGATGTGATAAGCCACACCAAGGTCAAACGTGATGCACATGCCTTAAGGTTGTCTTGGATTGCCTATCAGTAGCATACAGGTCGAATCCGAGGCACGGATTACAGCCATTTGGTGGAGCTGGTCTGAACCTAATGGGAGCTATTGGATATATGCAAGCCTTGAACGATAGCGCAGTTCGAGCAGACATTAACCCCTGTCGTCAGCCGCACCGAAACGGGTTCTAGCCCATGCCACTTTCGCTTTTCCCCTCTCCAAGACAAATCTTATTCGCTGACACGCCTCGTGTGATGAGAACAGGGGATACGTTTTTGTCGAAATTGTTCCAGGCTAGCTAGCCGCGTCGTGCCGTCCCGTGCAGCAAGCAATACCTCCGCTTACTCGCATCAACAGTCAGCCAGCCTCAGTTCCAATCGTTACCAAAGACGGATGGAGAAAGGAGCTTTTGTCGCTGCCGAAGGCCATTGCCGAGCTCCTTGCTTAACTCCATACAGCTGACGCGCCGATCTGCAACGGCGTCGAGGAGCTTATTGATATCTATGACGTGCGAATCACACAAGGCTTGACGTGATCCAGCTGATACACGACATTTCTCTTGAGTGCAAGTTTAAGCCAGAATGTCCCGAGCCCACAATGTGCATACACAAGCCGGCCAAAGGAGATTCTCTAAGCACATCAAGGTACTTGGTCAAGGGCTCGAGGAAGGGGTTGGGGTGGGCTTCCCAAATCAAGGTACTAACATGCCTTGAGCTTTACAGACCAGGAGGCAGACAGCTATCACCCGTTAGACCCCACGTGGCGTAGGTATGAAAATGTCCCAGAGCCCTCAGTTGGCGTCGGCACATGCAAAACGACAAAAGTTTCGTGGCAGAGACCGTTTGCGTACAAAAGTATCATCAGATCCAAAAGCGATGAACAACAACTTTGAAGTGCTTGCTTTGCCAAAACAATCTCTTAGCGCACCCATCTCTAAGCTTCCCAGACACACAGCAGAGGACACAAGGCCTACAGGTTGTGAGGCCTGAAGAACAGAAATACCCTATAGGATCACAGCGTGGGGAAAACAGCTGGAATGTGAAAATGTGACATGCCCTTTTCTCCAGCCCGTTCTCTCGGAGCCGGCCCCAATCTCCGCTCGAGGCTGGAACTCACTGACAAAATGTATGCCTTATCATAACTATGCCCTACTGGACAAATTTCGGGTTCTTTTAGGGAAGACAAAGTGAGTCTCACACAACGAACTCAAACAGTTCATAATCACAAAACCACCGTATTCCACGTTCTCAGAGCTTGGCCAAGAACAAGGCAATTTGACAACAGAGCGCACACACACGATTCTGACAAGTAAATCTCAATTGACAAGAGTAATAAGAAAAGGAAATTCGTCAAACGAAAGAAATGTCTAGTTACCCGCGCCAAACCAAAACAAATAACCCAGATCATTAACATTAAGCAAAGCATTTGCCCTCAACCATCTTTGCAAAAGTGACTGAAGGTGCGTCCACCAGCCTCCAAAAGATATCGGCAAGCCAGATGAGGATTGGGATGTAAAGCACAATGGAAAATAACCATGCAGCTTCCTTCCAAAACCCGGGATCCGTGCCAGTGAAATTTTTCCAGAAGAAATCTATCAGAGGCTTCCCGATCAACTGGTTTCCGAGACCGTGTACCAGGTACAGGGCGAAGGATATCTTGCCCAGATATCGGATTGGCCGTGTCTCCAGGACGGCTTGGCATCCCTTCAGGTAGCTAATAGCCGAGACAACAGTAGTAGCTCCAATCGATAACCATACATTTACTCCGTAACCCGGGTTATCTTTGAACCAGCTGGCCATCCACATCCATCCTGGAGTCGCATCTGCTCCCTTGTTTGGGTACGAGAGAATGTACAGACCCAGGATCAAGATGAAGATGACGCCAGCTTTCCGAACCTTTTCGCTGATCTTTCGAGACCATGGCATCTTGGCAAGAGCCTTTTCCAGGTCGAGATCATCAATCCAGGTCGTGTCTGTTTGGCCGGTGTTGGTGGGTTCAGAGAGCAACAAGAGATTGCTTTCTGCCACGACAATTCCTGCCAGGAACAAGGCCATATTCCATTGTTCCTTTGCCATGAAGTAGACAACTATGACACACACGGTTACCATTCGAACCCAAGCTCTGCACCGTGCAAGGCCCAGGATCGTTATGAATAGGATCATTGATCCACGGAATTCGATCGGGATTGTCCAAAGGTGTCCGTTGAAGTGAAACCCGCCATTGCTAGTTACCAACGTGAATGGGTTCACGATCCGATCAATATCATGAAACAGGGCCCTCGTGTCGGACCGAAATGTTGCCCCTTTGTGTCTCTTTGGGGAGATGTTTGCGAGGTGGGCCAGGTAATGGAGAAATAGCGAGGTAAGACTGGGAATGGCCAGTCTCATGCCACGACGAAAGACTGACGATGATAATCTCTTCAAGAGTGTACCATGGTCTTGCTTGTGTATGAACTTTAACGGTGAGAAGGACAGGGCATATCCAGAAATGACGAAAAAGATGGCCACCATCGCACGGCCGTGGACAATGAGCCGTACGAAGGGCAGCTGTATAAACAGACGTTTGTTCTCTCCAGGACCACCATATGCCCAGAAGAGGCCAGGGTGCCCGTACATCGTGTGGTGGAAGAGAAACACGAAGAACGAAGCCACACCGCGGAGCCCATCGAGCCAATCTGTACTGATCCGACTGCTTCCGGCTTGGCGTGTGGCAGATTGGCTTGGCCGTTCATCCTCAGAGGCATCGTGTCGTAGAAAGCTGGGTGTCAAGATTTCCTGAATCTTGATGGCGGCTACTTTCCAAGGGCTGGGAGGAGGAGGAGGCGGCAGGACGAGGGAATCGAGGCTTGATCGAGAAGAAACACTGCCGATTGCATTGGTCGCATTGTCAATCTCGATTTCTTGCCGTGGAAGGGCCGTATACGCCGGCTGGCTCATGATGTCTGAGAGGAGAAAAAGGCCGACCAGAACAAAAAACCAAGAAACCAAGAGTCGCCGAGAATGCGGGAAAGGGAGAGATGCAGGTTTTGGTTGCTGCACTCAAAATACATATATACTCTACTTTTCTTTTCCCCTGATGATCCTGTGGTATGGCAGCATCGGTTATTTGGAAGCCAACATTGTGTTAAAACCGAGGCTTTTGTCATGGTGGCTTACTAGATCACCAAGAGGCAAAACGCCATGTACCCAGATGCCCGATATCTCTCCTATGAGCAGCGCTATAGCAGATTTTGCTCCATACTAAAGTCGCGTTCCAATCTGCCCCTTTTCTCAAGGGAGACGTGAGACATTTAGTCGAGGGCAACGCTGTCCTAACCCTGCAAGGGAGGGATAAGCAACATTAGCTCGCCTCGCTAAGCGAGTCGGAACGCAAGGGAGGCCCAACATGACAAGGGAGTCTTTTGGATTGCAAAGTATACATTAAGCATAAGGCTGGTGAGAATAAGCTTATTCCTACATCGTAGGGCTGTACGATTTCGACCATGCAAGGCAGAAAGGTGAGGCAGAGATGATCGACAGGTTCAGCGCCTCTATTTGTGGCGGATTACACGACGAGGGAACGTGTTGCTATACATTAGTAGCTTGGAAGAGCCCAATTCGACTGTGCCTCGGCTGCCTCTATCATAACAGGACCTCGTTAGTCCCTTCGGAGTAAGGGAATGGGATCCAATTCCTTAGTCTCAGCCCAATTCAATTAATGTCTCTGCTTGACAACCTCCTTGCTGCACTGTTCCATTAATCGGTATCCTTGCAGAGTCGAAAGAGGCAAGAGTCGAGATTTCGTAGCATCTCTTGGTAAAAGCCAACGATCCTCAACCATCTCTTTTTTTGAGAGAGAGAGCTGAGATCCGGGTTTAAGAACGTTCCAGCCACGGTGGCCTTGAAATGTCTGGTTTCACACTGATACTACTTGACGTGCGATCGACATGATTCGCGTTGTTTGTGGCAAAAGCGCTTATGGCGTTGCTTGTAGGAATTCTAATTGTTCGCCTCCAACTCCTGGGAATCGAATTTCAGCTGGCGTTGTTTGGCATTCTCCTTGGACCACCCATGCGAGGCTGGCCAAGATGCGAGTGTTGGTCAGAAAATTCCTGGCAGAGGTCTGATGTTTCAGCAAAGTCAAATGGCGAGTTAACGGTGGAGCAGCACTCAGACAAAAACCGCAACAATCTTGCAGCCTCATAAGGCCTTATCCGAATTTTCGACCCAGTTAATCGTGTCATCTCCGAGTAGGCTGTGTGTTGCTGATGCGAGACCTTGTCAGTTCCAGATCCTTGAAGTGAGACATGCTAGACTCCATGTTGATGCCAGCCCTGTTTGAGAATCTGAGTAGTATTGAACTTGGTGCTACAAACATTATGATATCTCCCATCCCCCATCACCAAACCGCTTCACCAAGCCTTATGATCTGCTGTCTGTATGTGGGATTCAACAGTTTAGTGCTGACCCAAGCGCAACTGAACGCTTCTCTGGTGAGCAGTCTCGGTGGTGGCAAACTTCCAAGCGGGTACACCACGCTCAAAGAGTTCATCCAGCTCCTCATATGTTCGTCCTTTAGTCTCGGGGAATAGGAAGATCGTAGGGATGAGATAGACAACTGTGATGCCACCAAAGAAGAGACCGATTTTCTGACCCCAACCGGCATTTTGGTTGGACAACATCAGCGGCACCGTGTAGTTCTAAGAACAATTAGAAAGAATCCAAGCATTTCGCAAAAGTGGTAAAACTTACAAACAGAACACCGCTGGCAGACTGAATAATGGAAGCGAAAGCAGTCGACTTGGCGCGGAAGAGGGGACTAGAAACTTCGACCAAACTAATCCAGCCTATCATGATAGATTAGCAAGTGCTTCTGGACATCAGCTGACGCCAAGACGTACCAATTGGAGCAAGTGAAACGGCATAGATGAAAGCCCAGAGCGCACAGAGAGTAACCAAGGCAGCACCTGTGGCCGAGTTGGCCTCTAGGAAACCAAGGCCACCAACGATGAAGCAGAGAGCACCCATCACGATTCCACCATAGATGACGAGTGTACGACGGCCAGCCGTATCAACTAGATAAAACGAGGCAATAATTCCGGCCACCAGGACGAGTTGAATGATCAGGTTACCGAGAAAAGGATCATCGAGCTTAGCAAGGGCGAAGAAGTATGTAGCGTAGTTGAAGAAGAGAGGTGCGCCGACAAAGTTTTGGAAGGTAAATGGCAATGTCGCGATGATGGCTCTCTTGATGTTCAACCAAGTGAAGAATGCTCGCCATTGGTTGTCGGCGTGCGATTTTTGGAGTTCGACCGACTTGTCGGTTTCGTACTTGATGACGGCGTATTCGTGGTCAAAGTCGTAGCCTTCGACGTTGCCAATGAGTCTTCGTAGAGACTTTTTGGCATCTTCGGGTCTATCGTGCATAGCATACCAGACTAATAAGAAGTTAGCTGGTGCAACTTACATGGCAAGGCATAAGAGGCTGTACGCACCTGGCGACTCTGGGAGATAGAGCATGGGGATAAGCCAGAGACCACAGAAGACAAACTCGGAGAAAAAGATGTTGCGGAACTTGAGGGGAGTAGTGTCCTTGAGGATCTTGAGACCAATGGCGAGGAAGAGCTGGCCGATAGCAAAGAAGAGCGAGAAGCCACCGAGCAGAGCGCCGCGGAACTGGGGCAGAGCAGTCTCTGACAGGTAAATCATGATGGAGGAGCTCAAAAGACCCGAAGCAAAACCTCCGACAAGTCTAGAGCACAGAATGAGTTCCCAACCCTTTGCAACGATGGCGAGAACGATAGACTGAAGGATCCAAACGTAAGTATCTGGCTAGTGACGACTAAAGAGGAGGGGGCGTATCGTACTAAGGCGAGGAACACGGTCAAAGCCCACATGTTGAACTTGCGACCGAACCGATCGGCCGTAATCGGAGCAATCAATTGAATAATAATCTGCGACGCAAAGTTCATGGCCTGCCACAGCGAGACATGGGTTGAGTTGAGGGCTGGGGCGCCCGTCTCGGGATCGGTCACGGTAGCGAATTGCTCGATGAAGCCTTCGTTGGCAATGATACTTCCGATAACGGAGTGACCGTAGCCGGAGTACCTGTATAGGAACCGTTAGCCATTCAAAGTAGCACAGACTAAAAGAGCAAGACTGGCGTACATTGCGCCGATAGATACCATGAGGCCGGTGGCGTAAAGGCGCCAGAACTTCCTCACGGCCTGGGCACGCGTCAAACCCGCAAAGGCCGAGGTGATTGGCGTTATCTCGTCGTTGGCCTTTTCATTTTGGGGGACATCGTCGATGTGGTTGAGCTCGTCGGCATTGGCGACGCTGGACTTGTCGCAGTGGTTGTCCATGCTGTTCCAACGCGTCAAGGGTAAAGATTGATAAGGCAGTGAATCCTATTGTGTGATTGGGTATGAACCTGGGTTGAACCTGGAATCAGACCTCAAGTTGGAGTCCAAGACTCAATCTTCTTATACAACCATGGAAGAAGCTCATCGGTTCCTAACACCATTGTTGATGGATCAGTCGGCTGTCAGTACCGATTGTCTGGATCGAGACAGGCCATTGATGTGGGGTGGGAGTTTCTCCGAGCTCAAGCTATTTTTCTGTTTGTGAGGCCGGAGAAATAGACCATCTCCAGATGGAGCCAGCATGGGGTATTCTCCGGTCGGTTTTTCTGATCTGATTGGTTGTCCGGAGAAACTGACACGGTGAACGCGTGGAGATTGGCAAACTCGACGCGGTAGTCTCACAACTTAACCGTTCCTTTCCCCGCGTTTATCACCCTACTATGTAACACAATCCCCGGATCACCGCTCTCTCCAAGCTCTGACGGTTCAAGCCGTTGTTCCTGACGGGATACCGAGGTCAAAGCAGCTTTCTAGGCCCAGCAGCGTGGCTCACCCTCTATTTTATCCGGGCGACCAAATTAGCCGCTGTTTCTTAAAGTGGGATAGTGTCACCTGCTCACCCCAGATCAAGACACATGACCTGGGGAAATACGGAACTACACGTATCCTGTTTTGTTTACGTACCTCGTACATCGCTGGATGATGCCGGGGCCGTCAGGCCATCAGATCAGGTCAGTTGGAGAATTTTCAGCTAGCCGATGTAGATCCGTTCAACCGGTCACAGGAGCACTTTTCGTGAATCCCCGACGCGTCGTAACTCAAGCCTCCACGGACCATCCAAGTCTACCATGATGCCTAACAGTAGCAGTATAGGCACCCGCATAGAATGCACAGCTGTTCTACCAAGTCGCGGTGCCGGCATTTCGTAATTGGCTTTCCAGAAGTAAAGTGTCTCTTCATCACCTTCAGTCTTTCCATCTCGGCGTCCTCCATTGTGTGAGTGGAATTAGGTGGTGATCATATTAGTCGATAGTTTGGTCGAGACGCGATCGCATCCGACCGTCGGAGAAATCGGTGGATCGAGGAGTTAGGTGTCAGACAAACAAATAGGCCCCATGCAAGTCACGGTAGACTACATTGATTCTCGACACAGGCTGTAAATCACCTCAGAGTCACAAAGATAGTTCCAAGATCCATACAGTTGACCGTCACATCTTCAAGCTTGTGTATTGGAAGCAGACCGGGGATGACCAACTGGAATAGCACTACCCTATACCTACGCATGAGCACAAAGGATCGCAATATTATGGAGGCCCCACGAGTAAAAACCTAATTTTGTAACTTGGTGAGGTACTTCATTCTTTACCTGAACGAAGAATCGGCCAATTCCTAGGGCTACTACCTATGCGGGTAATCCCATGACTTGAATTCTGGGTTTGCTGCGTATGTTTTCACGGCTTCATTTCGCGACCCAGGCCAACTGTGGGACGCAAAAGTGATGGGACGTGCACGCTTACCTAAGCTCTAAACCATGGCGGTTTTGTCGCATGTGCCAAAAAGGGATCTCGTGATAGCCTCATTTCTCAAATCAATGGGCAAACTATTAAGACGATTGTATCTACCCCGTCTTGAGCCTTTATGGTTAGGAGAAGTTAAAGGATAAAGGCATATTGGTCTTTTCTAACCACAAAGTGGATAGCGATAGCAAAATAAAAGTAATTTATCTCTTAATATTTTGTGAGAAGCAATACTCCCTGTAGCATAGTATTGACATCTCAACAAGCCCAAGTTCGCGTGATATCAACTAAAGCTCATCCCAGAATGAGTTCGATGTCTTCAAGTGGCTGGTTCTCCCAAACGTGTTGAAAGATCCGTCCCAATCCCTTGCGATACGCTATGCCATCACTCCATTCAACCCAGAGGATATTGACGAAGTCGTAGTCTTCTCCTAGTCTAGAGAAGGCATGCCCTTTCGAAATCGCGACAACCTGAAATGCTTCTTCTTTGCGTGATTGTCTGGTGGTGACGCTGTCATGCTTCTTCACGTTCGCGGCTGAGCTGTTGAGCTGGCGATGACCTCGTAAGCGCGACTCGTGTGTGCACTCTACCTCAGTAGGCTCGCCCTCTTCGTCCTCCGCATCCATAATCGAAGAACTTGTAGTCGCATGTAAGGTAAGATAACCAGCAAACAAACCGTTCTGGTCTTTCAGATATAGAGGAATGGGGTCATCGGTAAATTTCTCGAGAGAGGTAGAAGGGTAATGGTGTTCCCACTCGAGAATCCTTGCGTCTGGTTTTCCTTGCAGTACATTCTTGGACGACTCCCTCCAAAACAGCCCCTTCTGTGTTCGACAAGAAAGGTACCTTCCCCACTGGAATTCGTTGGAGGTTTGGCTCGATTTGATTATTGGAATGGGATACCAAAACTGAGTGTCCGGAGCATCCTCATGCATATAGTAGAAGGCCGGTGTTTCCTCTCGGGGTTTCCAAGGGCGGAAGTGCTTATCGTCTTTGACCATGGAGCTCTCGCTTTTCAATCTCGTCCAGCCAGACGGTAGATCGCCTCCCCCCTTATTCAGGAAGCGCTGCCTGTACTTGAACCCCTCATTCTGATAGGGTATGAGCTTTGGTTCGGATTCCTTCTTGTCTCGAGCGTACCATTGGACCAAGGGTTCTGTCCGGCAGCCATCAGAGTAGAAACGCATAGTTTTGCTGTATCGAATGTAATCGCTTGCTCCGATCCAAGACGAATAGTCCACCTCTGTGGCCCAGCCGGCCCAGGACCAAGTCGGTGGGCACTCCCCTTGCGCTTTTGAAGGGACTTTTCGGTAGATTTTGTTGGGGGAACCGGGCTGAGGCCATTGGGTATGAGGATTCGCCTTCCAGAGAAGCGCAGCATCAAGAAACATGATTGGAAGGCCCTGGATGAAGCCTCCCAGAAAGATACTGCTAATGGCCGTCGAGAACCCGGCAAAAGCGCTCAATGTGTCCTCTGGAAAGGTGAACTGCCGGGTCCCATAGGCTTCCACAAGCTGATTTAGCCCTGTGATGTCTGGAAAAGTAGTATTCAACGCCTCTTCGCCTAATACCCCCCATCCAGACCCCAGGAGCCTTGGCTTGTGATCGTAGTCCGAGTCCTCAGTCCAGACCACAGTACCGCAGCTCCATTGGACCGAGTCGTCACTGAAGATGAGGCGTCTGGGAGAAAACAAAGCTTCTTGAAAGGTCCAGCCTCGGCGACACCATGGCATTAGGCCTGTTGTATACTCTAGCCTCTCCACGAAACGATAGCCGCCTGCAGATACGGTTCGTACTTGAAGAGAGCGAGGCTCCGAGATATTTTCAAGGCCTCGTAGGCCGTGCCACGCGTCGGATGCTTGGGCAGATATTATCGTGAGTTTGGCACCCGCATAGATGGACGACATGTTGGTGATTTGGTGATGCTTGGATGCTCCATCGTCTTGGACAATGCATAGTGCATCAACCCATAAATATCTTTCGCCGAGCAACTTGACGAGCTCGATCGAGTCGCGAATGGTGCGGGCAACTTGCTGAGCTAGCGGGCCGGTAGAGAGAGCCCGTTCCTTCTGAAGCTCGGTCAAGTTGCTTCGTTGCGTCATCAGCATCGTCTTGGTGCCCCATATGTAGCTCAAAGCAACATATTGATGCCCCGGCTGCACGGGAACCAGGCAGTACTTGTGAGTGTCAACAAGCTACGCGGCACGAGAAGCAGGTAGTCTTTTAGAAGCCAGTGTCTGCTCACACTTGGAGTCGTGCGTTGTGCAACACGTGTCCTTCCACTGGCGAAGAATGGCTGAGTCAATCCAAGAAGGGTTATTGTCGCGTCCATGTCCGATGTTGCTTCCACCTACCGACTGTTTGACCAAATTGAAGTGGAATTTGTAGGCAACTCGCGGATTAAAGATGATGCAAAGGCCAGGATCATCGTTGTCAGAAACTAACTCGCAGGCCAGGCGAGACCTTTCTGGAAAGAAGCCCTTGAGTAGTTTCGGGTGGATGGTACAGTCTGAAGTTGGAGAAAGCTCCCCGATAGTATGCATGCCGGATGGAAGTTGAGTATAAGAAGGCAATGAACTCAGGCGCTGGATAATCTTGATGCACACATCGCAAATATGCTGACTTGTACCTGCGACGCGCGGTTCGTTAGTACTACTTGGAAAGATTTTAGATGGGATAACATTGTACCGATCTGACGAGGCTTTGGGTTGTTTTTGGGGAGTTGATCCATCATTTCGTTGTGGTTGGTTGATATGGCGTGGCTACTCTCTGCACGTTGGCGAGCCTTGCTGCCATTTCGAAGGAGGAGCAGGTCAAGAGGGTTCATCTTGCGTGGACTGGGGATTTTGACATAAGTGCTGTCGGATGCTAAATAATTGTTTAGATGAATAGAAGTGAGGTGCTGACTTTTAGCGATAATCCAACGTGGTCGGAGTGCCTGTTTTCTGCAGGCAGGACAGTGTCATTAATCGGCCTACCGATCATCAGGTTGAGGCTGAGCAGGCTGCGGCTTGAGGCTGATGTGGTGTGCAGGAGTAAAGTAAGATCCAATGAGTTGTCAAGTTTTCAGGTCGTCTCACTCGACTCGTATGATCCTCCTTGTATTCCTGCTGATAGATGACTATCATTAATCCTTTAGGCAGTAGTGGCAGCGACCAATCCTGCAAGGCATTTTGGAAGATTAGGCTGGATTCTGACAACCATAACGACAGAGGCTAACATATAAAATGAGCATTAGAAGTCTTGGGCCTTTTTCCTACAGTCATGATGGCTTCCCTTTCACTCTTTAGGCTTGAATCACATCGGTATCACCGGTCTTATTCCGCGGGAGTGTCCTCCGTAGCTGACAGGGAACCATTGTTTCACGGCTGGCGCTATCGCCGCTATTGAACGCCACTATGGATCCACCGGAGTTCGGCCCCGAGATACGGATACAAAAAGACAAGAAGGTGACGTTACTAGAAGCATAGAATGAAGATAAATTGATCGTGCAGTTTATGGTGCCCCGTGGAACTTCTCACGCGCGATGCTTGGTGTGTTCATCAATGATGAGATGCTGGAGCTACGGGCCTATTGTGTTTGTTTGACGTGAATCTGTCCCTGAGGCCTGATCTTATCCGCCAAACCCCGGCCAGAAGTGGATGCCAAAGACAAACTATTGAATTGAGACCACCAGATCTAAGCAAATAACGGCGATGCCACGCACGCAAGTGGATGTTCATTTCGGAAATGATTCTACGATCCTTGACACTTGCATTGTTTAAATCAGTTTGGTCCCAATTCATGCAAATTCTCGTCATTCTCTTCATCCAACTCCTAGACTTGCCCCTAGTGTCCGCCGTTTGCAATGATCTTCTCCAAGGTCTTCATTGCCATCACGGCTCTGGCTGTCAGTGGCTCGGTCAACGCCAGCCCTTGTCTTCCCAGCTCTAGGGCCTCGTCGTCCACTCTTTTGTCTACTTCTACTGTGTCTGCCTCGACGGAAACCACTGCTTCGACTTCGGGTGAATCATCGACCACTGCTACAGCGACAGCCACGACTACCGAATCGTCGACCTCGATAGAATCCACTTCCACCGACGCCTCGACTACCGAACTGTCCTCGACGACTGCTGAGACCTCGACGACCGCCGAGACTTCCTCGACTGACGCCTCCTCTACTACTATTGAAGTCACTTCAACCACTGCCGAGACTTCAACTACTGCTGAAGCCTCTTCGACGACCGCAGAGATCTCCACCACCGTCCAAACCTCCTCGACCACTGCTGAGGCTTCTTCGTCTACAACTTCGGTTTCTGTCGAGCCCACAAACTTTGTCAAAAACCCATCCTTCGAAAACGGAGACGCACCATGGCATCTCAGTTCGGGAGCTAGTAGGATCCCATCGGACAATTCGGATGGCAACTGGGCTGTGTACGTCTCAAATTTCCCAAGCGCGATGCCTGACTAACAAAAAATGTAGCTCCTTCACACTCCAGGACCCGGACGAGTTGCAATTTGTTGAGCAGGCTATCCAGGGCTTAACTGTTGGTGCCCAGTATAAACTGACCTATCAGTGGTGGACTCCATACTCTGCAATACCAGACGGCTGCTATTTTCATGTCGATTTTAACGGTGTAGACTCGCAGGTCGACCGCATGCCAAGCCCCAACGACTACTTTGTCGAGGCCCCGTCCGTCACATTCACCGCGAAAACCTCGCCACTGACTGTGCTGGTTGGTATATACTGCACCTCGACGCCTGCCTTCTCGGTGAATCTGGACTCTTTCGTGATTTTGCCAGTTTAGCCAGCTTGTTCTCAGAATGCAGGAGGAAACTAGGATGTCAAGACAAGAACGATGGCAGTCGACTTTTACTAAAAACATTAATACCCAAGTTATAGCCTTATGTACTGTTGTAGCTATTTAATAGAGGTTATATTGTTTGAACTGAATGTAGTTGTAAGTTGTAGCACGGATCTTGATGGGAACTGAGCTGGAAGATCGAAGGTAGTTGTACAACTTTCGCTGGGCCCTCCTTTAACATACTGGTCTTCCGAAATACCCTGAGAAAAGTGATGCTCCTCTATCATGTGACACAGTCCGTTGATTTGCTCATCATGACATGATTAGTCAGAGTGGAATGGCCAGTAATCACCTCTGAGGGAGGGAGTATTTTCTCCTCCGCGCGGGTCAAGTGAATGCTGGGGTAGAAATGGGGCAGGCTTTCTACTCCAACAAGGCGACTCGGCAGCCCCATTGATCTTGCCGAAGATATTCATCAAGGCCTTTGAGAGAGAATTTGCAAAGCTTGCTAACATATATGAACTGTAATAATCCGGCCTGGGAGACTTATCTCATTGTATTCTTCACTCGCTTTCGACATGGCGGCTCAACACGACTTACCGAACGGCAGCCTAAATGGCGTCAGTTCCAAATCTTTCGGCTTTATCGGGCTCGGGATTATGGGATGGGGCATGGCTAAGAATCTGAGGGCCAAGATTCCCGCCGAGTCTGTGCTCAACGTTTGCGAGATCAACAAAGCTCGACTGGATGAGTTTGTATCCTCAACATCCGGCAAGATTCAAGTTTGTAACAGTCCGCTCGAGGTGGCTCAAAGCAGTGTGAGTGATGATTCAAGATACCGTATGAACCGGTCTAATACGTCTCAAGGATGTGATTATTACCATGCTGCCTCGCGGAGAGCACGTTCTTCAAGTCTTTACAAACCCAAAGAATGGTCTTCTCTCAACGGCTTCTGGGACTAAGACCTTCATCGACTGCTCTACCATTGAAGTGAAGACGTCAAAGGAAGTGGCCGCCGCGGTAGAAAAGTCCGGCCGTGGAGTGTTTGCCGACGCTCCTGTCTCGGGAGGACAAGGCGGCGCCAACGGAGGCACCCTAACCTTCATGGTAGGTAGCACACCAGAAGTCTTTGACACAATCAAGCCCATTCTAGAGAAGATGGGCAAACCGGAAAACATCTTTCACTGTGGTGGCTCCGGTGCTGGACTGGCTACGAAGCTCATCAACAACTACCTCTCCGCCATCAACATGATTGGAGTCTGCGAAGGCATGAACATGGGCCGACTGTACGGCCTGGACCCTGCTCTTCTTGCTGGAGTTATAAACAGCTCTACGGGAATGTCGCGGAACAGTCGGGAACAGAACCCAGTGAAGGGTGTCTCATCTGTAGCGTCTTCGGCCACCGACTTTGAGGGCGGTTTCTCTACTGAGCTCTGCCACGGCGTTCTACAGATGTCGATGGAGCTCGGTGAGCAACTTGGTGCTAAGAGCATGTTGGCACCAGTGGTTAAGAACATGTACGATTGTGCTGTTCAAAGCGACAAGTGCCGTGGAAAGGACTTTAGGAGTATTTACCGGCTGTTTTCCGAGGATGAAGGACAGGAGTTGCCAGTGCTGAGTCCGAACAAGCTCAATGGGAAGAAGGAGTAATAGATGAATAGAGACTTTATTGCTCATCGACTTTGGCCTCGTAGTGAATTGTTCGTTTTTTGCCATAGGCGAAGCCCCACCATGATGAGATAACTGAGCCAGAACATCGTGAGTCTTGTTCAGCAACCTAGAGAATGGGGTTCTGTCATTAACGACTGAGCAAGCCATGTCTTTGCAGATTGTGGCAGTAGGGTGAATGAATATTCGCCGGGACTGGCGTCTGGTGATGTAAAAATATGGCTCCTTGCACTCTATTCTCTAACATCGATTGCAAACCATCTACTATGACCACATCAGAGAGCACCTGGAAAGAACCGACCCTCACTCTGCGCTTGTTTTTCCCAAGCTCCATCATGTGCAAAAACAACCTCGACTTCCTTCATATCTCCAGGATCTCGAATCGTCTCTCTAATGATGCGAAGAGTCTTCTCGGCTTGAGCCTTGTCCTGGTGAATACAGCAGACCACCCCTGGGTATGCCACGTCGTTCCAAGTGGCCACGTCCTTCTCTCCAGTCAGGAGTCGCCGATCGTGACACGAGTCCCCGGCCAGGTAGACGTGCTTACCACTCTCCAGTCGACACAGGAGGTTAATGTGGCCGTCAATGTGTCCTGGTGCGGAGACGACATGGACACTTCCGTCACCGAAGACGTCCATAGCAGCTTCAAAGCGACCCTTTCGGTGCCAAGGCTGTGAGAAATAGCCGGTCAGCCGCTCGGTTTGGGTTGTCAAGATCGTCTGTTCCTCCATCGGCGGAGGAGTCGCTGGTAGACCCGTTGACGGTAGCTCTATCGTCCTCTTCATGTCCAGCATACCCTGCTCGAAGTGATTATGACTTCCCGCACTGGTCTCTCCCTTGCCGTTGATGAGCTTTGCTGCTCCCGGCCCGACGACATATGTTGAGTTGGGGTAGTCAGAAGGCGTTCCGACATGGTCCCAGTGGAGATGGCTGAACATGACGACGTCGATATCGTCAGGCCCTAGACCACCATCCGAGAGTGACTTGATTGTGTCTGGGTCACCGGAAAGTGGTTGTCGGGTCTGGGCATGCTTGAATATGGGCGGGGCATAATCCTCGAGCTTCCGCCGGATGCCGAGATCGAATACGATCCTCGTGGTTTTTCCCGACTGTTGGTCCGTATGCTGGATCAAGAATGAAAGAGAGGGGACCGTTGTTCGTGCCGAGGTATCTTCCAGGGGCGTGACAAAGAAACGCTCTGGCAAAGTCAAGTATCCTGCCTGAAGGGCGTGAACCGAGACGAACGACATGATGAGAATCTGCGACAAGAGGCAGAAGCAGAGTCAGGGGAACAATGAAATGATAGTGGCTACATCGATATGCTATCTGTTTCTAAATACCGAGCCCGGCGGCCTTTGTAAATGCCGAACTCCAGAAGAAGCCGAATGAGTGCTGCTTCGGGACATCATATTTACCCCAAACGATCGCCCGCCGGAGGATGTTATCCCCTCCCGGGTTTCTCACGCAACAGCATCCCCGAAAGTCGTCAGGCATTTTTACCCCGAGGTGCTGGAGGAGAAAGACCCACGCTCCTTGACGACATTTTGAGCAACATAAAAGATACCACTACATGTCCGTGCATTGATCGATGATTTATGTGAAGAGTACACCTCGGACAAGTTTATTGTATACCCATTGAGAAATCCAGAGATCATTAGCAAGATGTCCACCGAAAAGAAGTTTGACAACCTCCACACCGAGATGTTTGATCTCGGCCTCCAAAACCGCCGTGAGGTTGTTGGAGACGCCTACGTCAACGCCGCGCTCGAGAACGGCAAGAGCGAGTTCGCCTACCCTGGTCAGCAGCTCGTGACCGAGTGAGTATTGTCTCCGCGTCTGGTGGCTTCGTCTAACTCTTCTCGTCAAGGTGGTGTTGGGGCAATGTTTGGTCACGCCCAGGTCTTGAGCGCAAGCAACGCAGCCTGTTGAGTACGTAAATATTCCCCTAGCAGGGTAACTGATCTAATCTAGTGGCCTCTAGACATTGGCATGTTGATTGCCCTCAAGAGCTGGCCCGAGTTGGGTGTCCATGTTCGTGGGGCCCTGAACAACGGTCTTACCGAGATTGAGATCCGTGAGGCCATTCTCCATGCTACCATCTACTGTGGTGTGCCAGCTGGTGTCGAGGCTTTCAAGGTTGCTCAGAAGACGATTAATGACATGGTTGAGAAGGGAGAGCACAAGAGGGAGTTGGCGCAGGTGTCTCCATTCCTCGAAAAGTCTGCGTAAATCGCCTAGCTAGAAGATACGGCTGCTTGTTGCCATAGTAGAAGAATAAACTACACGTAACACTCCATCGACATGTTCAAATTCGCCACTAAAAGCAACCAGTACCGTCAAGTTGTGTCTGCTTCGTCCCCAGTTCATCCGCTTGTGTGTGTGCTCTCTCCAGCTTGCCAAGAGTTCTCCATGCATTCATTAACTTTAACGAGAGCTCAAATGTCACAGCCGGACTAACGGCTCAACCCTCCTGTTCCAGACCCTCGGTTCGCAAGCAGACATGACTCAATCAGCTCCAAGTCGCCTCACTCACCCCATCTAGACCTCATACCCCAGATCTACTCCGCATAATTTCTCCCCCACGGGCACACAACCTGGTCCGTGGACCGAGAATCAGGGATGGCGCGAATGGGTTCACGGTTCGCCGCCGCGTTGCCATGTTGGACGTTCATCATGATTCTCGATATATAAACTCTCTCCGTGCTCTTACATGTCTTGTCACACACATATCTGCTTCACCGGATCTCTACTGCCATCATGTCGGGAACCAGCACGAGGTACAACTTCCTCATCATCTTCTTCGTTGCCCTAGGGTCCTTCACCTATGGCTTCAACTCGGCCATCAGTGGCTCTGTGCTAGGTCTTTCTTCGTTTCTTAACTACTTTGATCTTGTCACCAGCGGCCCTGGTGCCAGCAAGAGCAACCAGATCATCGGTGGTGAGTTTCGGCTACAAAAGACACGATACGACGTGGGCTAACTTTCATCCACAGCCAACAATGCACTCTTTGCAGGTGGTGGTATCATCGGCTGCGGTCTCGTCCCCTGGCTGCTGGACCGATGTGGCCGACGTCTTGCTATCCAGATAACTTGTGCCATTTGCTTGTTGTCAGCGGTCTTGCAGGCCGCATCCGTTCATGTTGGGATGCTACTTGTTGGCCGTTTCATCAATGGCATTGGAGTTGGCATGATTGACGTTGCTGTTCCGATTTATCAATCCGAAATTTCTCCTGCCAAGGTCCGAGGACGCATGGTTGGATCTCATGGATTTCTAGTAGTTGTGGGATATGTGAGTTCATGCATGCTGGCCGTTCCGTTGATGTGAAGCTGACTAGTCTTTTCTACTCAGGCTATGGCTGGATGGGTTGGCTATGGATGCTTCTTTATCACCAAAGATGCCCTCCAATGGCGCCTCTGCCTTGCATTCCAGATCATTGCCCCCCTCCTCCTTCTCGCCGGCTCTCCTTGGATGCCAGAATCCCCACGATGGCTGTGCAAGGTTGATAGAGTCTCGGAAGCACAAAATGTTCTTGAGAAGCTGCACCCCAGTTCCGAGAACCACCCCGAGGGCCACTCTTTCGCCGAGAATGAACTTCACCAGATCCGAAACCAGCTTGAGATTGAGAAGTTGGAGAATGCAGCCACCGGTTGGGCCGAGGCCTTCTCCAGACCTTCATACCGCAAGAGACTTCTCTATGGCTTCTTCGTTCAGTGAGTGGCCTGTCACTTTGTCTACAACGAGATGCGTACTAACTGTGTCCCTTTCAGATGCATCGCTCAGTCCACCGGCGTACTGGTTGTCAACAACTACCAGATCCTCCTCTACGATGGTCTCGGCCTGCGAGGTTCCATCGCTCTTATGCTCTACGCATGCTACAACTCTCTGGCTGCCTTCATGAACTGGGTCAACAGTTTGATCTTGGACCGCTTTGGACGCATCCGAATCATGGTCGTCGGTCTCATCGGCTGTTCCCTCTCTCTTTGCGGCTTCACTGCCATGGTTGCTGAGTTTGTCGGAACCACCAACAAGATCGGAAACGGCTTTGGAGTCTTCTTTCTCTACCTCTTTGTCTTCTTCTACGGTGGTACCATGGATGCATCGTCCTATGTCTATTGCGCCGAGATCTTTCCTACCTCGATCCGTGCCCAGGGAGTTGGCTTCAGTGTGGCTGGTTTGTTTATCATGACTCTGATCTACACGCAGACTGCTCCTACCGCATTTGAGAACGTCGGTTGGAAGTACTACCTCGTCTTCATCATCCTTCCCTGGATTGGTGCATTCATAATGCAGCGATACTTCCCCGAAACCGCGGGACTGTCTCTTGAGGATATCGCGGTTCTTTTTGGCGATGAAGCGGCCGTGAACGAGAACAACGAGTCGACAAACAAGTCGAGTGAGGGATCTACTATTCAGGACGGAGCTGATAAGGGAGAGACACGCCACAAGAATGTTTATTCTGAGCATACCGAGGTTGCCTAGTTGGCGGCGCAGTGCAACTGATGGAGATGAGGGCAAGGGAGGCGGATCTCGTTGACAGTTCTACCTGAGTTCTTGGGTAGGGTATCGAGACTCTTCAAGTTGCTACAGGATGTATTCTAGTTATTTGTCGTACGGTTTGGCTGATACGCTTTGTTCAACTCATACATCGCCACTCATACATCGCCAGTGCTATGGGAATGATGACATATGAGGAGGGTCACATAGAGGGGGAGAAATCAAGAACAGTGTTGATGCATCATTTGAATTGCTTAACGAGTCATCGAAATTCCCATGAGAGAGTTGGTCAACCTCCAATGTCATTAATCGACTGGGCAATAAGAGGAGACGAGCACGACGGAGTCATTGGAACTGGCGCTAACTGATGTCACTTGCTTACGAATCTTTTCTTCTCCAGCCTTTAAAGCCTCCAATACCGTCCCTCATTCAACCCGCTGTGGCTTAGCCCACTTCGATTCATGGTTCAATGACAAGAATTAAATCCAAGTCATTGCACGAGACAAAACCCAGTGACAATTGACCAGGGTCTTTTCACTATTGTTTGTTCATCCCCAACCACACCCAACTACCAATCAAGATACCGGAAATGCAGACTGCAGCGGTAGTGGAGCGCTTCGGCGAACCATACGTCTTGAAGCAGATCCCACGCCCCGAAAACCCTAAAGGGCCTGACCTTCTCATCAAGGTCCTCGCGGCCTCATACTGCCACACAGACGCCGTATTTGCTGCGGGGCTCTTATCTCAGGACTTGCCCAGGATCGGATGTCATGAGTTTGCTGGGGAGGTGGTGGCGGTCGGCCCTGAAGTCCGGGGTATCGCTGTAGGCCAGAGGGTGGGAGTGCCAGGCCGGGCGTATCATCCTTGCGGCTCTTGTTACGAATGTACGCACCCCGGACATGATGAGATGGGGTACTCGCCTTACTGTCCCCAAGCCGGAAACCTGGGTCTGACACGGGATGGAGGGTTTCAGGAGTACTGCTTGGTGGACAGCCGGCAGATCGCTCCCCTACCTGAAAGCCTGCACGCAACGCAAGCTGCACCGCTGATGTGCGCCGGTCTTACCATCTGGAGCGCTCTTCAACATGAAAGGGTGAGGAAAGCACAGCGAGTTGCTATCATTGGTGCGGGAGGTGGCCTGGGTCATATTGGAGTGCAATTCGCTGCATACCTTGGAAAAGACGTCCTCGCTGTTGATGCCGCAGATCAGGCACTCCAGCTTGTCCGACAGGTCAAAACCGACCTCGGTGAAGCGGGAAAGAGGGTGCATATTTCTGATGCCAGGAAAGAGGACCCGGAGACCATGAAAGCCTTGGGCGACTCGATAACCGGCATTGCGCCTACAGAGGTTGGGTTGGACGCCGTCATCCTTCTTCCAGAATCTCAAAGAGCGTTCGATATGGGCATGAAACTACTTCGGAATCACGGGACCATGGTTGTTGTCAGCTTCCCCAAGGACAAGTTGTCAGTCAGCGCACATGACCTTGTGTTCCGCGACATTGCTCTGGTTGGCAGTTTAGTTGGAAGAAACCACCAGTTGAGAGAGATGCTGGACTTTGTGGTCAAGCATCAGGTTCAAGTTCGAGTCAAGACGTTTCCCTTTAACCGACTCAACGAGCTTGAAGAGCAATCTCATCAGGGAGAGGGGGGCAAATTGGTCATTGATATGACGCTTCAGTAAAATAGGTAGCTATCAACACTCATTGAGCGTCTTCATCTTGATCAAGCTACATGTATCCGTGCATATACTCTGCTTACTCTCTCTCAAGAGTGTCTGCCACAATAGACAGGCTCTGACCGACTACATACACAATCTCAAAGACCTGAAAACCCTTAAAGGTCTCAGCCCAAAGCCGAGCAACAGACGCCGCCAATTTCCGTATCCGACTGGCGTGATCCTGGGCACCATCCAATGAATCGGCTAACTCAGTCTCATGAACGAGAGTGACAACCATGTTGAGCAGTTTCTGCTCGTCCGGCCGCAAGTCAGCTAGGCCGGACGTCTCAACAGCAAAAGCTAGTCCACGAAGCCATCTAGTGAGCAAAAAAGCACATTCGAGATTAGAAAGAGCGTGTTGGAAACTCCAGTTGAGCGTCAAGGTGCGAGCGACAAAGGCAATCCCAACGCGAACTGGGATGCTTAGTGCGTGGATGCACTGTAGAATAGCCCTATCGAGATGTGGTGATCTGTTGCAGACGGTGATCTTTCCGTCAGTGAATCCACGTGCAATTATAACTGGGTCCCGGGTGAAGAGTTGTCGAAAGGGTCCAGTATGTGCGTTCAGGCGAATGTAGACGAGGCGGAGAAGAGCGGTCGAGTTGAACCCTAACGGACCCTTGGGAGACGACGGGTCGAGAGTTGACTCGTGTGTAGCCTCCCAGGATTCCTGCCAGGCTCGCAGCGCTGCCTCCATCTTCTTGATAAACTCTTCACTCAGAGAGCCTCTAGAGTCTACAGATGGACCTAGGGCGTTGCGGGCGTAAAAGATTTGCAGGAACAGACCGTGAATAAGAGCGTAGTTGCCAAAAGCAGATATGGACCCCTCGTGGTGAACTGGTGCTCCGGAGAGGAGCTGCTCTAGTGTCTCCTGGAAGGGTCGGGGAGGCCAGGGAGCATTATTGTGGATGCTGGACCATTCGACCGATGTCTGAGCTTCCCACTCTGCAGCAGAAGCTGGCAGATTGAGACGGACTTCTTGGTTCAAGATCATCGGAGGGACGTTGAAGGCGGTACACTGGAGACCGAACTGAACGTATGCCACAAAGAGAGTGCGTCGCCTCTCCTCTGAGATTATCCAGTCCTCCCACGACGTCTCCCTTGTTGAAGAATCCTCGGCGTTACTGATGCCAAACTCGCGTACTAATGTTGCCACCTGGCTGGCCATGGACAGGGCATCTCGAACAAGTGCTTTTTCACCCCATGATGTTATCGCCATGAGGACCAGCAGTCCTTGTAGCAAGCGGATACCCTGATGTCCATGGGACAGTATAGGAGATGGTCGGTCATGCTGTGAGTCACCAGGGACGAGTGCGAAGCCTGCATATCCGGGGGAAGTATTTGTAAGTCGTGATATTGTCTCCTCGTGTAGCTGATCTAGACGCCAGTTGATGAGGGCCTTGGCAACACGATACAACTCCACGCCTTTTGCATGCTCGAAGCGATACAAAGCACCGACTGCAGCCAAAGACAAGATCAGCTCTGGACCCAGCTCTGTCGCCGTCAGGGTTGCCGTGTGGAGCATGGGCATGTGCGCATGGAAGCCACGGAAGTATCCCTCAAGGTAACGGGAGAGCGTGCGCCTCGAGGGCAGGGTAAAGGGATGGGGGGTGACCGTAGCCCATGACCCTATCCGTCTCGATAGCTCTTGATATTCATCGGGTGATATCCGCCAGGGACAGACAGCTGGTGCTTGCTCTGAAACGGAGAATGGCTGGTAGCTTGTAGTTGCCTGAGGCGGGGCTATTCGAGAGGATGCCTCCCGGTTTGGAGGTTCGAGGGATGGTAGTCTTGACACGACGGGATGAGTATGTGTTGCCTCATGGGAGAGGTTCGGGTCGATAGGTGGATTCGTAGCCAGGTCTGCGGTATCCTCCCTCGACAGCCCGGCAGGCGGCCGGTGAGCCGCGTACTGATGTGAGATATCAACGAGTGAGAAGTCGGTGTCGAAGAAGGTTGTTGGGAGAGGCTGATCATCGGCGGGGAAGTCGCTCCATAGGAAGTCAAACTCCTGTAAGCCCTCTGCTGCCCCTACAAGGAAGTTGGGGGTAGCTGATAAGCCCAAAGGCTCTAGGCCAATTGTTGTGTCAGTGGTCGTGGTGGTTGGTCTCTCAGAGCCTGTCTCTGGTTCACCCTCCATGTCGGGACCTTGAAAGAGGATACCGCCTCCCGTGTCGACTTGCTCGAGAGTCGGGGGAGGAGTGACTTGCCCGAGCCCCTGAGGAGGAGTGGGCACCGGATTTTCTCCACCAGAGGGCGAGTTCTGAGCAGAGTGGATCGACTCATCATGATCTGGGCTCTCTTCTATGCCATCCTGCCCCCGCTGATGCGATTGTCGATGATGACGGGTGAGGAGATCTCTATCGGCGTCTGAAGTTGGCATGAGGTCTAGGTTTGGGAGCTACAGGCACGTACCGTCTCGAAAAGCTCCGACCGCACCGACAGACGAAGGGCTTCTCTTGTGTATCTATCGACAAAAGTAAGCCATCTCGAACATGAAACTCGCTGGCTGGGCTACCGACGGATTCTCTCGTGGCGCTGCAGATGCTCCAGGCGCTTGAATTGCTTCTGACAGAACTTGCAGGGGGCCACGTGCAGACGGGGGCGACCCCTTCGCATTGGAGCCAACTCGGGGTCGAAAATTTGGAACAAAGAAACAGCCCCCAATTCTTGGTGGAAGCGTCGACGGAGATGGATGCCAGTCAGGATGGTCCAGATGGCAGATGGAGCAGTCTTGGGGTTGGAGATGATTTCTGTGCTTTGGTTTCTGCTCCAAATTTGGGGCTTATTAATCAATCAGCCACTGGGACTAGACTACGGGTGCTGGAAGCGGGGAAGTAAACTCTAATATTGGATCCAGAAAGAAGAAGCGAAGAGATTGACAGGGTATAGTAGGGTAGATGATGCAGATTGCATGTCATAGGAGGCCTATTTGGAAGAAATAAAGGATTACTCTGAAGGTGGAAATAGCATAATTGGCGGCCGTGGTGCTCGAACTCCGGGTAGGCGGCTTGTGGCACCAAGAAGCTAGGCTCGTGGAGTCGTCGTTGGAGACGAATTTCTTCTCCAGACAGACCCCTCTCGTGACAAGCTCACTTTTCTTCGACAAGTTACTGCTTAAAGATGCCCAAAAAATATCCCAAAAGCCTAGTCTCAACAAGCAAACAACAATGTCAATGAGGGCAGTCGTATTCAAGGGCGTCGGAAGCGTCCAAGTCGAGGACCGCGCCATCCCCACCATCCAAGATCCCCGTGATGCAATCATCAAGGTGACCGTGGCTGCTCTGTGCGGGAGCGATCTCCACTGGTACCGCGGACACCAAAAGATCCCCGTGGGGTTTATCCCAGGCCATGAATTTGCAGGGGTCATTCATGAGTTGGGTAGTGAGGTCACTGGGCTCGACAAGGGCGATTCGGTCGTGGTAAGTTGTCACTCTTAACAGCCCCAAGTCATCTCACTGATCAGATTTTGATAGGCAACGTTTACGACTCAATGCGGCGAGTGCTTCTACTGCAAGAGACGCCAAACAAGCCGTTGTGCGAGAAGCTTCTTGTTCGGTATGCTCAAGTCCCATCGATGACTTTGTTCATCAGCACTCACGACCTCCAGGTAACAGCGCCGGCACCACTAGCATTGACGGTGGTCAAGCCGAATATGTACGAGTACCTTACGCCAGTTCAACTCTGGTCAAGAGGCCGAAAGAAATTCCCGAGGACATGCTCGTTCTGATGGGAGACATCTTCCCTACAGGGTACTTTGCCGCCTCCCGTTTCCTGAAGAACGTACACCAAGATGAGGCAAAATTCTCCACTACGGTTGTTGTTGGGTGCGGTCCAGTTGGTATCTGTGCCATCGCAGCAGCGTCCGGGTGGTGTGACAATATCATCGCCATCGATATGGTCCCAGAGCGTCTGGAAGAGGCGCGCCGCCTTGGGGCGAAGCCGATTCTGCTGTCGGATGATCCCGTCTCAAAAGTCCTCGCAGCAACCGAGGGACGCGGTGCAGATGTAGTTTTGGAGGTTGTTGGTAACGCTGCTGCAATGAAGCTATGCGTCGAGTTGGTGCGTCCCTTTGGTAGCATTAGCAGCGTCGGTGTACAGACGGAGCAGCTTGCCTTTGACGGCCCGAGCCTGTACGCCAAGAACGTCACTATCGCTTGGGGTCGATGCCCTGTCCGGGGTATCTTTGAGGAGGCACTCGCCTGTTTAAGCAAGGTTCACGAAAAGTTGGCGTTTTTGTGTCAGTGCCGGATGAAGTTGGAGGAGGCACCGGAGGCGTACGAGATCTTCAACGCTCGAAAGGTTCACAAGGTGTTGTTGAGCCCGTGATAGAGAGAAACATCAAGTTTATTAAGAAAAAGTTTGGGATGTATGACACCTGTTCACCGTGACATTGTGGTTACACTGGGATGTGTCTCCAAGGCAACTTGAGCGACCTGTAACTGACGTAGCTCACATTTCTATAATCTGGAGCTTTCAGCTAACATCTTATCATTACACATCGACATCTACAAAACCTTTGTCCTTGTCCCATGTGACCTGCTTGCCCTGCCGCCACAGACCAACAACCAAAGGCTCACGGCCGGGCTTCTTGCCCTTGGGGAGCTCATTGAGAAAAGCCCACCGACAGTACTCCTTGAGTCCTCTCTTCTGCCAATCGTTGATGTCTTTGGTCGTGTCATCGTTAAAGAGAGGGAGGACGTCGAAAAGAACGTCGTCATGAGCCAGGCAGACAAAAATGCCACTGTGTGCATCCAAAAGCTGGAGTTTGTTAAGGCTCTTTTGCGCCTCATCGCCAAAGCTGTAGGCACTTCCTGCAGCGCGAGACACGTCATAAAACGGGTTGGTGCGCGCTTCTGTCCCCGTGGCCTTTGGGTGATGCTGCGTAAAGGCAGAGCAGGGACACGGAGATGGATAATATGAGTCCAGTGCAGGGGTAGAAATGTCTCGTGGTAGTGGTAGGTACTCGGTTGGACGGAACATGCCAGCGTAGTGACAGCAGTCACCTCCCATAAACACAAACGTTTCTGGGGTCGTACGTGCCAGTCCGCAAATATGTCCAATTGCGTGCTGGTCGAGATATCAGTACGGTAGATGAGGATATGAGCATGTGGAGGCTTACGCCAGGGACATCAAGGAGGTAGAATGAACCATCACCAAAGTAGTCAACGGCCGGGAAGCCCGCGACAGTCAGTGAAAACTCTGGTTCGTGAATACGGTGGCCTCTGCATGGGGAACCAGGTTAGCACTTAGGCGATGACCAGAGTAGGAGATGGGCTTACTGTAAGTCGCTTGTGAGTACTGGACTCTTGGGATTCTCTGGCCAACCGGGGACGAAATTCTTGGTGAATCCAGGTCCAACAACAATGTCAGTCCCAGCCGGGAACTTGGATCCGTCACCGATATGGTCCCAGTGCCAGTGGCTCCAGACGATGGCCTCTGTCGATCGTCAGCATCGGTACGCCACCGTGAAGAAAGACGGGAAAGTAAAAGGGCCATACTCAGGTCCTGAAGGCCGAATCCTTGCATAGTGAGGATCTCATCTACACCGTACTCAATCTCCACGGCCGGCACGTGGCCACCAATCATGCTCTGCGTGTGCGGCGAGCCATTCCAGAAGTCTTTTCGAGAACCGCAGTCGAAGAGAATATGCTCACCCTCGTGCTCGATCAAGAAACACATCGTCTTGAAGTTGAGCTTCTCATGGCCTTGGATCTGTGGCTGCACAAATGCGTAGGCATCACAGGCCATACGTGTCGTCGTGTCGATAGCCCTGACGCGGACTGTTTTTGTAGACGATGGGAGTTCCAGCTCTGGAGCTGGCTTGGATTTGATGCTGTCCATGCTGATTCAGGCTTGTACATGCCAAAGACTACACTCTGTATGATGCTCAGAGATGCTACTCAGGCTTTTATCTACATCCCCCTCACTTGAGCGGGCACTAAGGCCAATCTCCTCCACACGGCCAATAGCCAATCAGAATCGACTCCAGTGCTGGAGGTCTGGGGTGCAGGTTCATACAGACAACCCCATGGGGGTGAGGACCCCTGAGATCTGGGGACGAGAGAGCTTGTCAGGAACAACCATCATACAATAGACGTACGTGGAGGCATAATTTTCCCACAGTAAGGATTATGGAGAAAAGCTATCGTGTTCATCAAAGTCTTCATTCCTCATCATTGAGCTAGTAATCTCTCGAATCATACACTCTTAGAGTCTTTGACTCGTTTCCTCTGCTCGTACTCGGTTGTGCTCAACGGTGTCATGAGTGCACCAGCTGTTCTGGTATAAAAGACATCCTCATTCGGCCTCACATAATACACAATCCAGTCTCCCTGAGGCTTGCCAATCAACCCAGCAAGCTCGCCAACGTCGATCACTGACCCGAGGGGCTTCGATGTCATTCCTTCGGTAAACGTGGCCAATGCTTCGCCGAAAAGAACAAGAGCTTGCTGGGGATGTGATGAATTTAAGACAATCGTCTGGCAGACATGTGAGCAAAGTAGCATGATATCTTGGACTAGACACTCACCAAAGTAGACCATTCATTTGCTACCGGCTCGTCAAGTGACACGGTTCGCAACTCGTCATTACCTGGGGCCGTGAACTCGTGCATTTCGCCAAGGTACTTCTCCCACGGCAGCTCGACAGCATGACTGAGGTTTTTGAAGACATCATGCGAGAACTTGTGGAGTTTCTCCATCACAGTGACGGGCACAGAGCTCGGGGCGCCATTCTTCCGTAACACCAACCCTTGCGGCTATAATTATGATGATTATCAGTAATATATAATTGATTTCATGACAGGCTCAACTTACCAAGGTCTTGAGTGATGCATCGCCTTGCAAGACAGGAAGGTCAAGGATGAGAATTCCCGGATCACCGCCTGCCACCGCCTCCCGAACGGCTGAAAGACCAGTAAAGTCTTGCAGGGACTGGTAGCTCAATGATCGCATATTGTACAGGGCTGGTGATGATTTCCTTGAGGCGGTCCTGGGGAGAGACAGCAGATTTAGACATGGGCAAACGGACCTACTTTTCTGACTCCCGCCACTAGCCTAGGTTGGGGTTGGAGGAGTTATTCGGCGCTGACAAAGCCACCCCATCCACTGTGGACAGGTTGGAGAAGAAATTCAAAGATCTTCTGTGAATACTGAAGCCCATTGCTGGCGCTGGGGATCTCCCAACGTATTTGTATTTGTAGTTGGACATGACAGAAGAGATTGCATCGTCTAGCCTGTCCGCTGCGAACTGCACTATCTCTCCCAATACCCTGTAACCATGGCTGGACAATTCCAACACCTGTTGAGCCCCCTGCAAATGGGGGATCTCCAGCTCAAGAATCGAGTGGTAATGGCATCTTTGACACGGAATCGAGATAATGTTCCCCGCGAGAACCTCCATGTTCCATACTACGCTGAGCGAGCGGGAACTGGCTTGATCGTAAGAACCCAGTCTATGACGGTCGGAAATATGCTCATTCCTTGGCTAGATCTCAGAAGCGGCATTGATCTGCCCGCAAGGTGTTGAGTGGACGTTCATGCCCGGTATCTACTCCCAAGAACACGTCCAGGGGTGGAAGAAGGTCACAGACACCGTGCACGCAAAAGGTGGAATTATCTTCTGCCAGCTCCATCATGTTGGCCGAGTAGCACATCCTGGGACACGAGTTCAGCGAGAGTCAGGTCAACCTGTGCCGGGCCCATCCGCAGTCGCTGCAAGGGGGGGCAAGTTCCGCAACGTGCCTGGAGGACCTGGCTATGTTGTTCCCACCGCGATTGAGGACCCCAAGACTATCATCGAACTGTACAGCAATGCTTCGCGATTGGCAAAAGAGGCTGGGTTTGACGGTGTGGAGATTCACAACGCCAATGGCTACTTGCCCATGCAGTTCCTGGAATCTCACAGCAACCGCCGCGAAGATGAATGGGGTGGCCCTTTGGAGAACAGAATGCGCTTCTCACTGGCGTGTCTGGCAAAGATGAACGAACATTTCCCCTGGAACCGGATCGGAATCAAGATTGCTCCTTGCGGCGGATACAACGACATGGGTGAGATGGATCTTGAAGGAAATCCGTCTCCCGAGGCCGCCCTCGCTACCTATGGCGGGTTCTGCGCCGAGCTTTACAAGCTTGGGCTAGCTTACGTCCAGGTCATGAGATGGTGGGCATCTTACGACCTGATGATTGAGGGCAAGCCTCGCGGCGTCCAGTGGGATCCCATCGCTGCCCTGAGGCCGATTCTAGCCAACACACTTCTGTTTGGCAACACAGCCTTCACTCCTGAGGAAGCCGATGAATGGATCCAGAAGGGATACATGGATGCTGCAGTGATTGGGAGACCTCTCCTCTACAACCCGGATTACGTCGAGAAATTGCACCTCGGCCAGGCGGATGCGTTGTATCAAGAACAGCCAGGTGACGAGCATTGGTGGTAGTAAGTCAAAGATCAACTTGCTTTAAAAATGCACTATGCTGACAGCGACGACAGCAAATGGAGAAACAACGATAAGAGGGACGGATACCTGAACTGGCCAGGGAGAGCCATCATTCCGGCACACTTGGCCACTCAAGACAGACTCAGCTTGATTCATGATTAGAGAGCTTAGTCAATGTATACGAATACTTGAAAAGGGTTGGGTGAATGGCGAGATAGAGGCTTGTTCCTGTCGTGACAAGTGTAAACATCCAGCATCATGTCCTTTGAAACGTGCACACGGGACCAGTCGCGCGCGCGATCGAGTTACTCCTTCAAACAACTACTCGACTTGGACGCGATGTCAACCCTGCTTACCTCACGGTTTGTTTCAGGTGTTGAAGAACGCATATCGACATCCCTAGCATTTTTGACAACACTGTTGCACTGATGTCATCGAACAGCTGTGTGGCTGCAGCCTCTCCAGTGGAAACCCCACCTCGATGTATGGTCAAATTCCTACATCGTGGGAATGCATCACGGCCAGAATCTCATCAGTAAGTGTTTAGAACAGAAAATGTATTCGTCTATGAACATTCTGCTCTTCTTTACCCGTGTGTTGTCATCTCAATGAGCGTACATTTTCCACCCCAACCCCTCCCCCAATTCATCTCCAAAAATATCCCTTCATGACCCGTAGGTGTGGAAAACCTTGGCAATGATCTTCCATTCGCCGTCAAACTTCATCATGGTGTGGAAGTCTGTGTAGTCTTGCTCGGCGGCGTCGCGCTCCATGTCCACCTTGACGACAGCAGTTGTAGGAGTGATGCCGATGACGTCGATGCGGGTCTTGATGTTGGGAGCATCGCCGTGTTGGTTGATAAAGTCGTAAAGGTTGGAGACGGGGCCACCCAGGAGCTCCCCAGTCATGGTGAAGCCGTACATGGTGGCATCCTTGTGAAATGCCTGCTTGAGGAGCGAAGTGTCTCCCTTGTGGCAGCCCTCGCAGTAGTATTGCTGAACGACTCGGACGACCTCATCGTACTCTGCGGTAGGGATGGTCTTGATGTTCTTAGACATGATGATAGGTGGTATGGTGAAACGGAAGAAGTGGTGATAAGTATGTGAAGTGGTTGGTGTGTAGTCCACCGCAAGTTGTGTCGTGATATTAGTCTTTATAGTCCCTGTCCCCGTACGAACTAGGAGTAGTCCGATAACTGAGCTTATCAATCCTAACCTGGCTTCCTCCCGTGTTAGTAATGGGACTGGATGGAGGTCAAAACAGTACGTGGAGGCTCGCAAAGCTAGATGGCCTGGTCGGACTTTGAGTCCGACGTCGGGCCCAAGATTTAACAGCCAGTATCTATGTTACTCCACGATTACAAATGCCACTGTATTTCGCCTCCACCCTTGAACACTGACTAAAGTGCCCAGAACGCTCCCCAAACCACAGACTTGACCTCACATTCTGCAGGAGTCTGAAACTGATCACGGTCACGCGCGGTAGACACCATGGCCCAAGAAGCAGTTCCTGAGCGGATGAAGGCGCTGCGACTCCAGGAAGTAAGCTCTTCTCACACTTAGTTGGGGAGAAGATGCATGTGATAGGGGTCTCGGCTTACAGGATTACTAGTACAACCAGAGCTATGTTCTACGCAACGACGTGCCTGTCCCAGTCCCACAGACGGGAGAGGTCCTCGTGAGACTTGCGGCATCTAGCTTCTGTCATACTGACTTCCAGGTTATCCAAGGTGTCTACAAGACCAAGTTGCCAGTCACTGGATCACATGAGCCAGCTGGAACAGTTGCAGCACTTGGTGAGGGCGTCAAGGGCAACTGGAAGGTTGGGGATCGAGTGGGTGTGCTGAACTTTCGAAACCCTTGCGGCTCATGTAGCGGCTGCAAATGGGCTCTAGAAGATCTTGGGTCCCTTGATCCTCGATTCTGCAAGGATATTACCATGGCCGGGATTTTAGGGGCAGACGGAGGGTTCGCCCAGTATATGGTGGCCCCTGAAGATACCCTTGTCACAATCCCGGACACCGTATCCTTTGAACAGGCAGCGCCATTGATGTGCGCAGGAGTAAGTCAGATTAAGAAGAATTTCCGAACTGTGCTTACAATGTCTTGATAGGTGACGGTATGGAACGCTATTAAGCAGACAGGCCTGAAGAAGGGGGACTCAATCGGGATCGTGGGCATCGGCGGCCTAGGGGTTCTTGCAATCCAGTTCGCCAAAGCGTTGGGATATCAGGTCGTTGCGGTCGACAACCGTGATATTGGCCTAAGATTAGCCTCCCAAGTACCCTCTCATCTCAAGCCGGATGCGATCGTCAAGTTCGGTGACGAAGAGGCGGCCAAGCAGATATCAGATCTGACCAGAGACATCGGACTACACGGCGCCGTTGTATGCACCGACGACGTACAGGCAAGTGACTGGGCCCTTCATCAGTTGCGACCCAGGGGCGTTTGTGTTGTGCTGGGGTTGCCCGAGCAGGGCTACAAGTTTGACGCGTTCAACCTCGTGTTTAGAGAGATTGTCGTCAAGGGGTCGATCTTCACGAGTGCGGATGAGGCTCGGAAGATGCTCGAGGTTGTTGGACGAGAGGGCGTGCGTAGTCACCTCACGATACTCAAGCTAGAGCAGGGAGAAGTTATCTATGACAAGGTAGCAGCGCACGACTTTGATGGGCGATTAGTCGTCACTATAGATTGAATGTACCGGGTCTTTATGGCAGAGGCTGGAAGCAACACAGTTTGCCCGTAACAAGAAGCCAAGATGGAGTGGAGAAGAAACCCCACGATGCCGTCATTTCAAGGCGTCTACTCCATTCTACCCCAATTTCAAAGAAATGAATATTCCTCTGCTCTGTATTTCGACCTCATTTTGATCTTTTATTTGTCGACTACTATTCCAAGTTCAACTAAGAAATGGCAAACATTCAGAGATCCGGCAAGATGAAGGCAATTCAGATCAAGGCGTTCAATACGCCGTATTCTTTATCCGAGGTCCCCATACCAACCCCGCGTCCTCATCAACTTCTGGTCAAGATCAAGGCAGGCGGTTTTTGCCACACGGATTGCATGGCCCTCGAGAACGCATTCAACTCTAAACTGCCCTTCATTGCTTCACATGAACCTGCTGGCGTTGTGGTCCAGGTTGGCTCAGATGTCACTGGGTTTGCAGAGGGAGATCGCGTTGGTTGCATCAACTTTGAGAGCTGCTGTGGTGAGTGAGCTTCGACTCTCAAATTCTCTTGACTCACGAGCATTGCTGATGTCGATACAAGGCGTATGCCCCGATTGCAAGGCAGGAACACCCATCTATTGTGACAACCCCCTGATGAAGGGTCTAACCACTGATGGCGCATGGGCCGAATACATGGTAGCGTGAGTTGGTGATACCACTTCTCTGCATGAAATGTCTGTCTAATGCCGTTACAATAATTAGAGACGCTCGGTTTACCGTCAAACTGCCAGACTCATTGGCATTCCCCACCGCAGCTTGTCTGATGTGTGCTGGCATCAGCATCTATGGAGCCATCAAGCGCGCGCGAGTACCACCCGGGGGATCAATCGGCATCGTCGGAATTGGTGGACTCGGCCACATTGGAACCCAGCTTGGCAAGGCAATGGTTTGCGACTACGTCTCGTCTCGAATCGCCAATACTGACGTCGCATGTTTAGGGCTACCAAGTTGCTGCCATTGATGTTAAACAGGACGCCTTGGATCTAGTTTCAGCATACGATTTGAAACCGGATGTTACCATCCTTGCGACGCAGCCAGTTGTTGCTTCTGTCGAAAAGATGACCGCCGTTATCAATGGCCTCTACCCCGGCCTCGATGCAACCATCCTTGCAACCGATGCGCCCGCTGCCTTTGACCTTGCCGCCGAGCTAACACGTAAGCACGGGACCATGGTTCTTCTAGGGCAGCCAGATAAGGGAATCACAATGTCTTATCGAAACATCATCTTCCGCGATATTAAGCTGATAGGGTCGCTTATTGCTGATCGGGATGAAGCTGAGGAACTCGTTTCCTTGGTGGCGAAGCACAAGATCAAGGTTCACGTTAAGGAGTGGGCACCCGAAGATGCAGAGGAGATGAGGCAAGAATACTTGGCAGGGAAGAGCAGCGGGAAGAATGTTGTAGTATTCTGAGCGAGTAGACTGATAATTGAGTCGTTGGAAGGAAAGCACAGCAGCTATGCACACAGTGAATATCGTGTCATACATCTGGCCTCACGGAGGATGGACATCAGCCTCTTTTCCTTTGCCCATCTCTTCCAACTCAAGCAATGATTAACCTAGTGTTTCCAACGTCAAGGTTCCAGTTTTAGATACAAGATACTCCTCCACAGCAACATCTTTGCCAGATTCCTTTCCATACCCCGATAGCTTCATGCCACCAAAGGGCGACTCGGCTGCAGATGAGTTACCAGAGTTCATCCCAATCATACCAGCCTCAAGATCTTCCAGGAGCCTCCATGTACGGTCCACGTTCTTTGTAAAGAAGTAGCTGGCGAGGCCCATGCTGGTGTCATTGGCATATTGTACCGCCTCTTCCTCTGTTTCAAACCGATAAACGGCGAGAACGGGGGCAAACGTCTCTTCGCGACTGATCAGCATGGCTTGTGTGGCGTCCCGTAAGATCGTAGGCTGAAAGAAGAACCCCTTTCTAGAATCCGGGGCGGGTTTGCCTCCCAGTATGACCTTGGCTCCTGCGGCGACGGCATCATCGACGTGCTGTTGAGCCTTGGTCACTCCACGTGCCGTCGTCAAGGGCCCGATCGTTGTGTTAACGTCTAGTCCGTGGCCCTGCTTCAGTAGTTTGGTTCTCGCGACCAACTTATCAAGAAACTCTTCATAAATGCCGCTCTGAACATAAACCCGATTTGCGGTAATACATGCTTGTCCGGCATGTCGCCACTTGAGTGCCAGAAGCGCCTCTAGAGCCTGGCCTTGATTGCAGTCATCAAAAATCAGGAATGGACAATTTCCGCCTAGTTCAAGAGACACCTTTTTTAGGCCTTCAGAGCAATGCTTGGCGATGAGGCTTCCAATGGCGGTCGATCCAGTGAAGGACACCTTCTTCACCAGAGGATGCTTGCAGAGAGCCTCTGCAACTGCAGGGGTATTTTCCAAAGATGTGGGAACGACATTGAAGACGCCGGGCGAAAAGCCAGCCTCCAATGCAAGTTGCGCCAATGCGAGGCATGTCAGAGGCGTCTCCGGGGACGGTTTGGCGATAAAGGTACACCCGGCAGCCAGAGCAGCTCCCGCCTTTCGCAGAATCATGCTGTGATAGTCACTCATTAGAAAGGTCCCAAGCAACATTGACGGTGTATCATGTCAAACTCACGCGACTGGGAAGTTCCATGGAACCAGGGCAACGCAAACGCCGATTGGTTGCTTGATCACGAAAACGCGACGGTCTGGCGCTGAAGGAACGCTCACGTTCCCGCGGATCCTCTCGGCTTCGCCGGCGAACCACCAAGTGAAGCCCAGGGCATAGTCGAGTTCCCCATGGGCTTCAGCGAGGGGCTTGCCAGACTCATAGGTCAGAAGGAGAGCGAGATCATCCTTGTTCTGACGAATGAGGCGATCCCACTCGAGCAATTTCCTGGCGCGGGAACGAGGGTTCTCCTTGCCAAAGACCTTGAAGGCCTTGGCGCTCGACTGGACAACGTCATCAACATCCGATTTGTCGAAGTCGGCGCAAGAGGTGAATGTCTCGCCGGTCCCAGGGTCTGATTTCGTAAAAGTCAGTCGGTGGTCGCAAAGTGGGCATGTCCAATACCTTCGATATCGAAACGTTTACCACTCGCCGACGCTTGCCATTTCCCGTCGACGAAGCCCTCTGCTCTCAACAGACTTGGGTTGGTAAGCTGTCACCCGGAAGCATCAGCTCTCTTGACCAGGGACGTCGCAGGTACGGATACAAGGGCACAAACTTGGAATGGAAAGTTCATTTTTGTTACTGAAACTAGCTTCGCTTTGTTCAGCTTGAGATGGTCTCAGATCGAGTCTTCTAACTCGAGCAATGGTGGGAAGATCTGGGTATGAATATCCGCACCTTATGACTCATGGAGAGCAAGCATTCGAGACCCGGTTTCTGCCAAGACACTGTATGGGGTAGAATCATGAGGGCCATGAGCCTTGGGGTATTTACTCCATGATAATGCCTCATCGGAGCGAGAATCCGCCTAGGTCTAATTACGGAGCCACCAGATCTTTGACCCCTGTTTATTACGTAGTTGGAGCACATTCCGTCTTTTTTCGCTCTCCATGTTTTCCCCGGCTTCCCCAGACTACCGATGTTGAACAAGCCGGGGTAGCCCCTGGCAACCTGGATCGCCTAGCTACACTCACGGGTGCCTTGATGTCCTACTTCAAAGTCAAGGTCTCTCATCTGGCACTACTAGCATAGCTTTTAATCTCGACGCTCGTGTCTGTCCACCGTTGTCTTTACTACAACTCAGTAGTTCCAGTTCCTCGAAAAACTTGGGGCTAGATGGGAGTCAGGAGCCTGCTTCAGGAGTTTTGACTGATCAAGATCCACGTGGAGTCAACTTGGGGCAATAACAGGTAGTGTTGGAGGGGAAGATGATCACGCGGACGAGAGCAATTCAGATTCTCTCCTATATATAACTACACTTTGGCCTTAATAATTAAGTCGGTATCGTTATAAGCTTTAACTTCTACGCTATATTTAACATTTTATTCATTCACCATGCCCAACGCCACCATGCGCGCCGTTGTCTTCAAGGAGGTGGGACGGGTTGTTGTTGAAGACAGGCCAACGCCTCGCATTGAGGATCCTCGGGACGCCATCGTCAAGGTGACAGCGGCCGGACTTTGTGGTAGCGATCTGCATTGGTTCCGTGGCCACCAGAAGATCCCAGCCGACTTCATTCCAGGCCATGAGATTGTTGGCCTGGTAGAGGCTGTGGGCACCAATGTCTCCAAGTTCAAAGTTGGCCAGCCAGTTGTGGTGTGTATTATGTCCCATTCCTTCTTAACCGGGACCAATGGCTGAGCTGAGCTCTCAGGCTTCCTTCTCGAGCCAGTGTGGACAGTGCTTTTATTGTGAAAAGGGACAAACAAGTCGCTGCCCCGAGTACTATCTCTTCGGTCAGTTACTACATGGCAAAGACGCGTCGGTCTCTAATCTGGATCGAAACAGGCAACAGGTCAACTGAGAGGGACATCGACGGCGGCCAAGCCGAGTACGTCCGCATTCCATATGCTGACACAACTCTCACGCTGGCCCCCAAGTCCATTCCTGAGCGACTTCTGGTTCTCATGGGCGATATCTTTCCCACGGGATATTTCTGTGCCTCTAGATTTCTCAAACGAATGAACCCGGAGGAGGCTAAGAAGACAGTTGTTGCGGTGGTTGGTTGCGGCCCGGTTGGCATCTGCGCCATTGCATCTGCTTTGACCTGGTCCGAAACGGTTTATGCCATCGATATGATTCCCGACCGCCTTGCCGAAGCAGAGAAGATCGGTGCAAAGCCTCTTCTGCTCTCCGAGAACCCAGCTGAGACTATCAGAGCTGCAACCCAGGGTCGAGGAGCTGACCTGGCGCTCGAGGTTGTCGGAGGTCAGGAGCCCTTTAATCTTTGCATGGACTTAATTCGACCGTTTGGGATCATCAGCAGCGTTGGCGTTCAGACCAGCGATCTCACCTTCAGAGGGCCGACACTCCACGGGAAGAATGTCACCATTGAATGGGGACGTTGCCCTGTCTACGGTATCTTTGATGAAGCATTGGATTGTCTCGTCAAGTTACAAGACAAGGTCTCTTTCCTCTGCGATAAGAAGATGAAGTTGGAAGACGCAGTTGAGGCTTATGAGATATTTGACAGTCGTCGAGCTCACAAGATCATTCTTGTACCCTAGGGTAGTAGAAGAAAGCATGGGTTGGATGTAGTAAATGCAATTCTCCATCTCCAACTGTGATCGTTATGCCATTTAGCATTTAATGATGTCACATGTTTATCGTTGTGTCATGTGGTATTATGCCCCATAACTCGGCTTAGACATGTCAGTCATACTACTACTCGCGATGGCTTCATCAAGGGTCTCCTAATGATATGATTTCTCTCACACATTTGCGCATATTGTGAAATTTCTCCAGCACGACAGCCGCGATGTTCGGTGCAGTTGATAACAGTGACATTGGACTTCAAATAGGTAGGTAGTATACACTTGGCTTGGATTCAGGCATTCCCTAGAGACAAGTCTTTGCGGTCCCATCGAAAGGCTATCTCACCATGGTCAGACCCAAACTTATCTCTGCCCAACTTGCACGATTCCAGGGGGGCCTAGTAATTGGGGTCAAAATGATCTTCGGTGGCGGAAGAGCTGAAGTTGGAGCAGATTTAACCATGGATCCGGTTTCGGCATCCATGGGCGGGCTGGATGAGGATGATCCAGTTCACGTGGACTGATCCATAGTTCTAATGGTATGATCTACGGTCATGGCTGAACGGTGTATGAATCGTGCCAGGTTCTCCGCCTCTGGGGAAAGACACAAGCCACGAGGGGGGTTTCTACTCCAGATTCCCCGGATTCTCCGGTTCCCCGGATTTGTTAACGGTTAAGCGATGGCACGGACACCGTCTTGAGCTCTTAAATAGAGCTCATCATCGTGTACCTTTAACCTCAGAGTACAGGTCTCTATAACAAACTCACCCAATATGTTCAACATGGCCGTCCCACAGCTCACTGGAAGACCGCTGCAGGCTCTGGTGTACGCAACCGCCGGGGCAGCCTTTCTCCTCTTCGGATAGTAAGTCTATCCACATTCCACGTCGTACCGAAGCTCACCAGTAGCACAGTGACCAGGGCGTCATGGGTGGGCTAGTCAGCCTGGAATCTTTCATCCAGCGTTTCAACTCTCCGTCTCCAGGCCTCCTCGGCTTTATGGTTGCATCTTACGATGTAAGGATCCAGTCATGAAATACACGCTCGAGGAACTATGGTTAACATAGGAAACAGGTTGGCTGTCTCTTGGGCGCCGTCTTTGCCTTTCTTCGTGGTGACAAACTTGGGAGACGGTGGAGCATCATCTACTCATGCATCATCGTTCTCATTGGTGCCACACTACAGACGGCTGCATACTCTAGAGCTCAATACATAGGTAGGGAGCGTGTAATAGGCCCAAAGTTGACTTGCTACTGACACTGCTGCTTAACCATCAGTCGGTAGAATTGTAGCCGGAGTCGGTGTTGGATGTATCTCAGTGACGGTCCCCATCTACGCCTCAGAGTGTGCTAGCGCCTCATCGAGAGGCAAGCTCGTCGTGGTTGAGACAACGATTGTTATCATTGTAAGGCAATTCACTTTCAGCCACTTGTAACTTCCGACAGACTCACTCTCTAGGGCATCACAATCTCCAACTTTACCAACTTTGGCTTCGTCTTTGGTAGGCCCGAGTTGAATGGCAAGGAGGCTCAATGGCGCATTCCCCTCGGCCGTAAGTGCGCTATCCCACCTTCGCTCTCCCGCCAACTAACGATGGCCGAACTTTTAGTCCAGATGATATTCCCTCCCTTCGTCTTCCTTCTCATGCCGTTCGTCGTTGAGAGTCCCCGCTGGCTTGCTGCCGTAGGCAGGTCGGACGAGGTAGCAGATGTTCTGGCCAAGCTTCGTGGGGGCGGAGCAACTGCCGATAGCCCCCAGATCCAGCAGCAAGCCCGGCGAATCATCGAGACAGCAGCTCATGAGGCAGAGCTTGAATCTTCTTGGAAAGAAGTAAGTATACGCTGGGCCTTTCAAAACGCGAAGACACTCGTTGACTCTTCGACTACAGTCCTTTGCCGGCGGTGAACTCCAGAACCTTCGTCGACTCATCCTCGCCGGCTCTACAGGCTTCCTACACCAGGCTACAGGTATCAATGTCGTCATATATTATGCTCCCGTGATCTTTCGCCAGGTGGGGCTCGACGACAAGATGTCTTACATCATGAGCTGCGTGGGTTCCATCTGTTTCCTTGTCGGCTCTATCCTCCCGGTGCTGTACATCGAGAGAATCGGCCGACGAAAGACCATGATGCTCGGGGCCTGGACCTGTGGTATCTGTATGGGCATGATCGCCTGCACTGGTGCTATTGGGCGATACTACCCCGCAAGAGCTTTTGCCACGGGTTGGGCTGGGTCAGCATTCGTACTGCTTTTTCAGTTCTCCTTCGGGATAGGGTGAGTCCTTCTTTGTGGTACTTGGAGTCCTGTTAACCGAATCTCGCAGCTGGAACTCGATGAACTGGCTCTACGCGAGCGAGATCGGATCTCTCAGGATGCGCAACAAGACGGCTGCAGTGCAATGCTTCTGCCATTGGGGGACTAACTTTCTGACCGTCATGGTGGCTCCCACGGGATTTGCCTCTCTCGGCTGGTAAGCTCATGGCTTGGCATCAACCCACCTGCGTGTTGCTAATCGGTGTTACAGGAGGTTCTATCTGGTTTGGATGAGTGTGACACTGGCAGCCATTCCTTACTTATACTTTTGCTTTCCAGAGACGGTAAGACGAGCCTACCCCAGCTGGACACAAAAGGCTTACTTCCACAGGCTGGTCGTAGCCTCGAGCAGATGGACGATTTCTTCAAGACCTATCCTCAGTGGAACATTGGAAAGGTAGCCAATGTTTGGGTTGACCTTGGCGGTGCGGGCGGACAGGACAGTTGCAAGGAGGAGGCTGGAGCAGTTCATCATCAAGAGGACTGAGTAATGGCCGCGTCATGCAGATTGATCAAGTCACAAGCCTCCCTCACATTTCCAGACTGCGGCGTAAGAAGAACTACGTCAATCTCGTACTATCTTTTATGGGTTCTCCTATCGGTAGCCATAGTTTGATAGATCCGCATCGAAGCACGTTAACTCATTGAAATCGTGACACGTTAGTTGTTGGGGGTCAAGAATTTGGGACGAGATAAAAGAGCACGTTCTTGAGAAGACAGCAGGGTTAAGTTTGACCCAGTACAACCAACCCCCAAGACGCATAATAGACTCCAGTGCATTGCTTTCGAGCTTAAGGAGTAGGTCATTCTCCATAGAATAAGCCAAACATGGACAGCTCATTTTTCAAGCCAGCCCCTTAGTGGTGATTTATATGCTGATGCAAGCCAAAAGCTACTCCACACCCACATTTCTTCTCCAACCCTCTACACGTCTGATCCTCCTTTGCCGTCTTCAACCCCCTTTCCCCATCTCACCTAATTCTGTAAGACAATGCGCCCCAAGGTCTACGTCCCACCATGCAGATTCTGCTCGAGGAAGTTTCGGCGCAGTGAGCACTTACGCCGCCATGAGCGCACGCGTGGGTTACAACCGGATTGCCGTATAATGATGGGCAGGATTTGCTGACGTCGAAGGATATCCAGACACTCAAGAGAAACCATATCGTTGTCATTGTGGTCGAGCATTCTCCAGAAGGTTTGTTGTCATGCACCACCGTGCTCTTTCAACCTAATGAGGTGTACAGAGACTTGCTTTCACGCCATGATCGACTTACGCATGACCAAGATGCTTCACCGCGAGCAGCGCCTCCATCAGAAAGAAGCAACATGTCAAGCAATGCATCTCACGGGAGTCCGAACGAGCCAACAAATCTTGTTCAACCATCTTCTCTCGACCACGACGCTACAGTGCCGGCCAACGCACTCCAAGGCCATTCTCCTGTCCTATTGCCCCTCAGTCAACCAGACAACTCTGAGTCTCACCCAGAAAGCTATTGTCCAAGCGTTGGAACATTCGCACAGAGAGTGGAAGATGCTGAAACTATAAGCGAGAGCAACGATATCGGCCATAGCCTCCTACCCGTCCTCGAAACGCCTCACGAACCTCCAGTTCCGACTCAAATGATACAGCACGGGGCCAGTATCCAGCAACATACCTATGACGTGCCACTTGTAGACGATCTGGACCTTCTATGGAGCGACTTTGATATACACTCGTCCCTCGTCATGTCGCAGTCGGCCCCTCTAAATACCGCCATTTTGAGCCAGGCAGGATTTCCAGGATTCGAATCTGGAACAGATGCAAGCAGCCAACAGCAAGACGGCGGCGACGAGAGATTCATAGATCAAGATCATGCTTCAGGGGTCATGTCTAGATTTCAGTCCCGACTACCCTCTATGCAGCCTGAGGATCGCTTCGATCAGCGCTCGACAGAGGGCCCGCCGACGGAAAGCACACGCGAACTACCGGGAGTTTCTGAAGGGCGACTACCGTGGAGACTGACTCGAACAAACTACCAGCTCATTGCGACCGTCGTAGAAAGCTACTCGGCGGTGCTTCCCCGGGGATTCGTCTTCCCCTCCAGGCATGCCCTTTGCCGCTACGTCGAGGGCTTCTTTGGTGGATTCCATGAGCACTTGCCCGTAATCCATATCCCAACCTTTACTCTAGCGACGGAAGCCCCTGAGTTGATACTCGCCATTGCCTCTGTCGGGGCAAGATATCGTTTCCAGACAAGCCAGTCTCACCATCTCTATTTCGCGGCAAGAGCACTGCTTGAAGACCAACTACGGCACCGCGATGGCTACAAGCCCAAGGCTCCAGTTTTTGACATTCCCGGCTCATTCCCAACTCTGCCTCAGCTCGAGAGCACCTTGCTTGCGGATGCACCGCCGAGCCATTTGCAAAACAATCACGCCCCAACTTCCACAGAGCGGGACCTGCAGACAATGCACGCCATGATTCTTCTGATAGCCCTTGGCACCTGGAATGACCGATCACTTCTAAGAGATGCTTTCTCCACGGCAAGCCAACTCGCCCTACTTGTGCGGGAACAGATCTCGTCGCTTTCCGAGCCTGATTCACAACACCAAAGCTGGCGGGAATGGATTAAGTCGGAAGGTAGGCGACGGACCATTTTTGTGGCCTACTGTTTCCTCAATCTCCATTCCGTTGCCTACAATAGCTCACCCAAGATCTTGAACAGAGAGATGGGATCATTACTTCTCCCCTCTCCCGAGTCTCATTGGAGAGCGGAGAGCCAAGAGAGCTGGCAGCTCGCCCGCGACAAGGACATCCACTCTGGACTTTCCCTCGAGGAGGCGTACAGCAGTCTATTCAATCCAGACTCATCTAGGCGAGCAGCTTCGTCTTTTGGGAATTACGTGCTAGTTCACTGCATCATCCAACATATCTTCTTCGCACGGCAGTTACAATTTCCCAGCGCCACGGCCTCCTCTCTGGCCCCTGGTGTTCTTGGCCGGCTTGATTCGGTTCTGAAGAGTTGGCAACTAGGCTGGGAGGCGACAAAGGACTCTTCTTTTGACCCATCCGCGCCTGGTGGACCACTGAGCTTCAATGCAACAGGCTTATTTCGCCTGGCCTATATCCGCCTTCATATAGACCTTGGACCTTGCCGTCAACTAGAGCTTCGTGATCCTGGCACGATAGCTCGTGCTTTTAGTAATGCTCCGTTACTTGAGCGCTCTGCATCAGTTGCCCGAGCGGTTCTCCAATGCGCACACTCGCTCAGTATTCCTGTCCGCATCGGTGTCGAATTTGTAGCTAGAACTCAAACATTGACTTGGAGCATCGTCCACAGTCTGTGCAACTTGGAGTGTGGTCTCTTCTTAGGGAAGTGGCTACAGACCATTGCTGCTGTACTAAAGCGTGGAGAGCCGCTGAGGGATGACGAGCAGCGGCTCCTGGGCATTATCACAAGCATTGTGAATGAGACCGAGTTATGTCTCCAAGTCCAATATGAGCAAGACCAGGTACAAAAGATCAGTCAAGTAGCGGCTGCAGTTATCCGTCTTTGGGCCCATACTTTCAAGGGTGCGCATGTATTCGAGATTATGGGGCTGATAGGGGCGGGCTTGGATCTTTGCGCCGATATGCTCTGAACTAAGCTATGTCAATAGCCATACGCTTCATATGAACAGTTTTTCAGCAACGAGAGTTTGCCAAAAGGCTGATGGCTGCTGGCGGGCGCAACTTGTGCCCTACCCCGCAAGACAAGACAAGGGGCCGATCGCAGGTCTTGCTGCAAGCCAAATATCCTCATTTGGAAGTAAGAGATAGGACGGTTTGGGAAGTTGGAGGAGATCTTTCGCCACTTGTAGAAGTGAAATACTATGGTAATTCAGCCCGACACCGCCGAGCACACCACGAGACAAAAGATCGACATTTCTACATAAGGCGACTTGGATCTTGGCACCTGCTACTACCACTCTGGGCTCTTCATCCATACTGCCGTATGTAGATAAGCCTTTCCCCGCCCTTCGGCAACTTAGAATTGATCTACATGGGCTGTCGTGATATTTGACTTGGATCGGGTTTCTTTCCCTCCGGTCTCATAACCGCCAGTTCAACCTCATCTTTATAGCAATTCATCAGCTATTGATAGCGCACCAAAGCCATGGCAACCCAGAAACCGAGTTCCCAGGCGGCCTCATGTGGTGGTCAAAGTTGAAGGCGTAAGTAGGCGCCTTCTACTAGACCATGTTGAATGGCGAAGAACGATCTAACTAATGACAGGTCTACGTCTATCTAATTAAGGGATTGCGTGGATGTGCCCTGAACTCTGGCCTTGTCAGCGGGTTTGGCTTTCAATTTGACCGTCGCTTCTGCCTCCAACGCGTACATCGCAACCTTGACACAAACGAAATTGATCGTCTTGAAACTGTGATGCTAATGTACAATCTTAACATTGTGCTTTTCCAAACGCTTCTTGAATCTCCATCCGGCGACGCTTCCGATATGCACATAGTAGTCACGTACACAGGAGAGGAGAATTCAACCCCTGAAAAGCTATCATGGATTGGTAGTGAACACCAGCTACGTTTCCCTGCTCAGGTTGACTGCGAAGGCCTCAACCGGGTCATTCTTAACTTACAGGGCAGTTCAACACAAGCCTATGACATGGGTGACAACTACGCTGCCTGGTTTGAGAAATACCTCGGCTTCGAGACCCGTCTTCTCTACATTGGTGATGGCTCTCGTGCTGCACTTGGGACATTAGCGCCTCACAGCGACGGCGCCGTTCGCAAGAGGGGACGTTACCGCGCAATTCTCTGGGATCTAACACCTGCTCTCTGCAGGCCAAGTCCTGAACGCCTGGTCTTCAACGATATTGCACAGTATCTGGTAGTCACTAGAGTGTCCAACGATACCGTAAGAGCACGGTTGGACGATGGGCTGGACATGGATATCCTCAAGTTCCGGCCCAACATAGTTCTATCTGGAAGCCCTTCTGCTTTTGTGGGAGATTACTGGGCCGAGCTTTACTTTCCCGACACCAACATGCGCCTGACCCTCACTTCGAACTGCCCCCGTTGCCAAAGTATCACCGCAGATTTCAAAACTGGGCGAATTTCCAATGATGGCAGGGGAAAGGTCTGGAAGAAGCTGAATAGAGACCGTCGGGTTGATAAAGGGTTCAAGTATCACCCTATTTTTGGGCGCTATGGCTTTTGTGAAGATAAGGATATCGGGAAGCACATCACTGTTGGCCAAGAGGTCTGGGTTACCAAGTTCAATAAAGAACATTCAATTTTCGGTAAGTCTACCCAGTCACAGAATCCTCAGTTTCTGAAGGTATGCAATTACTAATATCGGTACTAACCAAAGACTGGCCGACCCCCAAGCCTGACAACAGGGGATGAGACTATAGTTGATTCTCCTGAGCGAAAGAAAATATCATCAAAACTCGCGCTCGTCCGGACCCTGTGACTACTCATATATCTAATCATAGCTTATTTGCCAGTCCAGGCACGGGTAATGAGATCATCAATGCTCGTAGTCTGGACATCCGGGAACCTATCATTCAGGCGACCCTCCTTTGGAAGCAGCATCTCCCCCTCGGCCACAGAAGCTCCTAGCATAGCCATCATTCCCGCAGGATCCATACCCCCGTAGGTCTCCTCACTTGGGAATAGCACGGTGGCTTTTCCCACTTTGAGATCCTCTAGGCTGTCATGGGTGACGGCCAATTTATCACCAAGGGCCTTCTCCGCCAGAGCCACGATCTGGTTTTGAGTAACGTCAGAGCCACCAATGAAGCTCCACTCGGGCCATTCATCTTCGTCGATGAGACGAGCCACGAAAAGTGCGAGGTCCTTGGAGTACGTCATGGTGAAGGGTTCGTTGCCGGTTCCTGAAACCACAGCGCGACGTGATGGGAAGTCGAATGCCCATGGAAAGTTTCGAATGTGGCTGGGGATATGAGGGAGTCCCATGTAGTCCATAAAGATTCCGATCGGGATGCGGGTGTACTTGAGGCTCGACTTGTCCAGTGCCTCCGCGGCATGAACCAGTGGGCTAGTCATAGGGTTGTTCAGTGCCGCTTCATCTCTAAAATTGTCATGTCAGTCGACTAGATCAACTCAAGAGCTGGTTCAGCTTACCACGTAGCCTGCGTATTCGCTGGGGATGAATCTGTGAGTTGAGGAGGACTTGTCGGTCGCCGCAATCAGGTTGAGTTGGGCTTGGGCACTAGGACCGGCGATGGTCAGAGCGGAAATGACCGTGTCAACCTTGTTGCTATCCAACATCTTTGCCGTGCCCTCGATATCATCATAATCGACCTCAGCGTACTCTACACCTGAGATGATAGCCGTGGGAGTCTTGTCGAGGGGCTTAGCTGTCTGAATCCTGTAACTGACCAAGACATGTGTCCACTCACCTTTCTACAGAGCACAATGACCTTGTGCTTGCCTGACTGGACAAGTTCCTCGACCAGTGTTCGGCCAACATCGCCTGTTCCACCAGCAACCGCAAGAATGGCCATTTTGGGCTTTGGGGGGGAATGTGTAGTATCCGGGTGGTAAGAATTGTTGAGATGGAGGAGGTATTGATGTGATAGCGATAAGGCTGGTTGAAAGACAATGTGATCATAGGAATCCAGGATTTTATATTCGATAGATTCCTATGAGAATTCAAGTTGCGGAGTTTCACATAAGATGCGGACCTCGAGGCCCCCAAATTCCGCAGGCTATAGTAACTCGACTTGCGCCACACGGACTCTTGAACTCACCCGACGCGGACTATCTCAGACATACTTTGAAGCCTGACAGGATGTTGCTCCGCCTGCACGGCCGACTTCCGTTGAGATTCATGTCCGGACCTTGGCAAAGTCCGGATGCCGGGCGGGCCAAGACGCTGGTGAAACCTCATTGGTGCTGCCGTATCAATCTAAACCGGTGGAGCCAATTGACCTCCTTGTTGCAGCTCGGGATTGGTTATTGTCACGTTGTTGATATGCAAGTAGCTTACATACCCTGCTTGAGCCAAAGCAGTGGCTTGGCTTGGCTTGGACAAGTTTGTTAAGTTGGTATCCATACTCACCATCAGCGCCATCTTGTATGAGGGATCTCTTTGACTGCGCGAAGACTCCAACACGGTACCAGTCTCCACTACTAGGTCACTATCTAAGACGCTCGCTAGCTTAGTGGCAACATATTAGTTCTATATCTCTATTTAAGTGAGGGTACGGAGATATTGATTGTAAATGGCCAAGATCCCTGCAAGATACCTAATGGGAGCCTTCGCGCAGTCAAAGAGATACCCCTGTACTCTCCAGCGACGCTGAGGCTTGGAGCGAACAGGTCACCTCAAGCCAGCGTACGGGATTACATAGCACGAGCTTGCTGCAACTCCTAGCTAGTATCAATTTTCGCAGCCCAGGAAACCCGTTAGAGAACATAGACACGGAAGATTTGCTCGCATTGAGAAGGCTGCAGGATCTAAAGGATCAACTTGTAGATCAGAGCACCAGTTCCAACTAAGATTACTGACAGAGCAAGAATGGTCTGTAGTGCCTCCATCATGTACATCTTGGCAATCGTATCTTCATGATTATCCCATCCAGCAGCCGCATTGGTGTGAGGAAAGGGTTCGTCAGGGACCGGTTTACCAAGGAACTCACAGAGCATCCTCGACAGTCCACTCCAGCAACCTTTCCTTGGGGACAAGTCCACGAATCGTGTTGCAATGTTCTTGTCGCTCAACGTCAGTGCGTCATGTAGGACAGAGCAGGCTGTCAAATCCACTGACCTTTGTAAATCCATTTCCCATTCCTTGCAACACCCGTCTCGATGTCATTGTCCAGTCCGCGAAATATGCCTGACCACATAAAGTCGAGGTACACGTGCCAAGCCCAGAAACCATGACGGCTCAGGAAAGAAAGAATCCAAAGGACCCAGTTATGTTTCACGTTGGCGAGCGTGTTACTTACACTACGGTACCACGCGTCCAAATCTTTGCGGTAATTCAGCACGACCTTTGCATCGGGGTATGCTTCGATGAGCTCGGCGGCAAAGACCGAGCCTGCTGCATCGGTCACGGCTGTTGAGTGGCCCATAACAGCATCAAAGTCCTCTTGAGTGAACTTTGTATTCCCATCGAGGGGTCCAAACCATCTGTATGCACAATGAGTACAAAAGAATGGTGAAAGAAGGTTGCCATTTACTTTTTGCGGCAAAACTTGATCCATTGCGGCGCATAGTTTGGCTTTTCACAGATTATGTCCCAACCATGGTAAGTGTGATCATAGCCGAGTGTCAGGAGGGCATGTTGTAAAGATTCAGTGGCTGAACGAGGAAGGCCGACACATATCACCTCCAACGGTTTCGTTCTGACTCGAGGAGGCGGTTCGGGCAAAGCGTACACATGGTCCTCGAGGAAACGATACCACCAGGTGTTGAGATAAGCCATTGCGCCCGTCCAGAGACAATGAACGATAAGATGGAATTACTGGAGCAAGGTGAAAGAGTCAAAGAAGTGCCAAGTCTCAGAATTAAATAGGTCACCTCGCAAAGGAACCTGCTTACGTTCACACAGCAGTCAACTACCTGTACTCCGCAATAGATTTTCCCGTTCAGCTTGTGACGTCAGCTGACCTTGGCAGCGACAGTCCGTAGTGTGATGATCCGATCTAATATTTTGCCTTACCTCATGGGCATTTGTAAATCCTGTGAGCGACTCATACAAGCTAGGTTTATAGTCCACGAAGTATAAGACCTTTTGCCTCATTGTACGAGTTTAGTTAGACTTGACGAATTGCTTGATTATAAATTGGAAGAGAGCAACTAATCCCCCTTGAGAGTTACCCTGTACTCGGCACCTCCGTTTTGTGCCAAGACTGGGGTTGAGTCTTCAAAAGGGATCTACGGATAGACCAATCATAACTACAGGAGTGGCAAAAGTTGGCCTCCCTGGTTGATAAGACATTAACAGATGGCCACTTAATCTCATAGTGTAGCAGATACTGTACAAATATAGCAGCAAGGTTAGTGTGGTGTGGGAGCATCCATGACTCCTCCGCTCAGCCACTTGTCGATCTCGCTTATGCTTTCCCGCACCCTCCAATCAAACTGCCAGGAGCTTTTTCGCCCGAAGAGCGAAGGGCGAAGGTCCAATCAGCTGGAGTGGAGCGTTTCGCCCGAAATCCACGTCATGAGATTGGGAGCACAGCCCTCACGACTAGCATGTGGCGAGATGAAACGAAAAGGGTGTCCATCATCTCAGGTTGTTGCATTTGTATAAGAACCAAGGGAGGACCCAAGACAAGGTTGTTGGATAAGAGTCAACAATGTTTTTTCATGATGCCATCGTTAGATGACACCATTTCTGATTTATTTCCAGATCCGTGGACCTTGCGCGATGTCATTGCCTACCTTTCTAGAAGCCATTGCCTAGAAACCATCCAATTTCTCGAAGACGCCTCAAGATACCGAGTTTGCCACGCAGAAATAGTCGATAACGATCGAATACCTGAAGAATCAAGAAGATGTCATTACGATTATCTTCAAGACCAATGGGAGAACTTGCTCACCACCTATATCCTTCCGAACGGCGAACGAGAGCTCAACCTTCCCTGTGATGTTCGGGCTCGACTTGTTCAAGTTCAATCTTCCGACTCCTCTCAGCCTCCTCCTCATCCCTCGGAACTGGACGGTGCCGTCAAAATTGTCCGAGAACTCCTAGAGGGCTCCATATTATCCGGGGCTTTGACGTCTGATGGCTCGCCGGAACCACAAAGCGATGAAGAAGGTGGCGGTTGGAGGAAAATCAGCAATAAGATTCTACGGAAACCATCACCGCCAGTTCCAGGACAGGACCATAGGGGCAAGGCCAGAACAAGCATGGATTCGGGACCGACGACGTTTACCTGGAAAGACAAGACCGAGCCTCCCTGTTGCACACGGCTCCAGTTTCTAGGAGACACTCAAGACTCACCCCAAAGCCACTTATCGCGGCGTGCTATAGAGATTTTCAACAATACCATTCGTCGAGTTAGGAGCAAGAGGCAGCTCAAGTCACCACCAGAGAAGGGTGGTGTTCTCGACAGTGTGGTGGGTGTTAAGAGTCACTTCCTCAGCCCGTAGCTATTGGGATGAGGTACTCGACGGAAATTTGGATACCGGCTTCATGCCGGTTCTCTAAATGGATCAAGACCCAATCATGACGACACGCAGTATTTAATACCAGTATGGAGGCGAATGAGCAGGCCACTCAAGGAAGATATTGAGGGAGGTCACATCGTCGATCGTTGTGGGAAACACGCCATAGCAGTCGATTATCTGATGCTATAAAGGTATAAAAACGAGCCCATTAGATTTATGCTATTCAACTGACCCTTGAATGCAGCTCTACCAACACATCTTCGTCTCCGACTCCAGTCCATCCGCTCGGCTGATCACTCCCCATGAACCGATTATCGCCCTCCAAAAACACCGATGCGCCAACACCAAAATACTGAGGATTCCACTGAAATGGAGGGCAACTAGCAACCCGACAGTTCATTTCTTTGTCTGGCTGCAGATTCTCTGATTCCCTTGGAAATGCTGGAGACAGCTTGCTTGGACTATCACCCAAACCATCCTTGCTGTTGATGGTGCTAAATGGCTGGCACAGTATTGTTAGGAGTTTCAAGGACAGACTGACATGATCGGGATCAGCAGCTGTCGGAACTTTAAGCATGTAGCCGAGAGACGATGGGCTCTGGGGTGCGTCGGCACTTGACAGAGGGAACATGTACGATGTGAGTTTGTCGTGGATAGGGACCACGCAATCTCGAAATTTGAGCGCCACCGAGTCAAGAGTGCTACAGAAAGAGAGCACATCGAGGCACATGCGAGCCTGTGTGAGGTCATCTTCCCACGATGACCGAGGAAAGTGGTGTATCTGCTTCTGGGCAACACAATGAAGAAGGACAACGCAGGAGGTGTATGACTGGAAACTGGACACGACATTAGTATTAGATCCATTGGACGAGGTTGAAAGGGGGTAAGCCGAGACATACATAATAAGCCAACACTTTTTAAAGATTCCCTTTTCCGCTTGCAATAATCCTAGAATACGTGACGACTGTTTCGCGGCTGTAATGGCTTGATCTGCGTGGCTGAGAAGATTGTCCTCATACGACTCCCTCGCAGCGTTGCTCTCACGGGTCGGAGAGGGCCAAACAAATTGTGAGGCAATACGGCGATACAGCAGCATACGAGTGCCGAGATAGAGAAGATGGGTAGCCAAGATGGACCGCCGAGCTTCGACAGGAAGATCTTGGCGGCAGAGGTTGGGGAGATGCATCTCGCTGGGAAGTAGATCGTGCCAGTCCTGAAGGTCTTTGTTGATAGAATCCATTGCTTGGCAGGTCATTTCTTCGGATGAAAGATGCATCCGTAGAATTTCGGCGTTCAGAAGAGAGATTTTGGTCATCTCTATTTGGACAACTATGACTGTTAGGGACAGGATACATAGCGGCTCATAAGCTGACTTACTGTGGCTAACTTCAGATGAATGGTCACTTTCCACTTCTACCAACTATGATCGCGTTAGAGCTTATCTGATTGAAGATGTATAATGTTGGTGCAATACCGGAACCAGTTCTCGGAACGACATGTCACCACCTTTGATGTATCCGAGAGTGGAAGACAGCCAGCTAGGCAAGGTAAGTAAACGTCAGCGAGATCGTCAGGGACAAACCTGCCTTGAAAGAAACATCAGAGATCTCCATGCTCTTCGATAGTCGACCCATTCCTCTGGAGAGAGGTTGGGATGATGATACAACTTGTCGTTGAGACTATGCCTCTTGGACATGCTTAGGCCGATATCTGCAATAGCAAAGTTAGTCCGAGAACGTACCAGGACACCATTGGACCACAAACCAAGGTAAGCGAGTGACACGGTCGCCTTATTCAAAATGTTGTACATGGCCAGCATCGTGCAGGCCTTGATTGCGTCGAGCGGTTGCTCCTCCACCAGATTCTCGAAGAAGTGCCTTGCCACGTCGTAAAACACGCCATCCGCACCAACGTCAAAGTCCTCACTGTTATACTGAACCCCGACAGCCGCGACCGCAGCAAGACAACAAATGGCCGTCTTTTGATTTGCTATGGTGCAGCCATCGTTCTCAAAGACATCCTTGTGGTAACGCAAGATCTGCTCAGGGGAGAAGACGTGAAATAGTCGGCCACTGGAGCTGAAAAAGCTGTCAACCGCTGCTTGCGTAATGATGGCACTTGGTATGACTAGTGAAACCAAGGACCTAGACACATCTATTGACAGTTCCTTTTGTGTCGGGGCGGGGATGGCAAGATTGGTTTTTTGAGTCTTTTCATCGCTCACATCCCCCTCTTGAAGAGAACAAGGGTTTGTAGTCTGTCCAAGAGAAGGGGAGGATCTGACCGACTGCTCTTCAGATAAAGTGCCAGCTGTTGGACTTGAGAGACTGCTGACGGCTGAGCTGGTGTTGATGGAGCCGTTGAGGCTAGGTGATGATGTCTCATCCTCGAGATCAAGCAAGGCGTCAATGTCGTCGCTAGAGCGAATTTGTTGCAGCAACAGGTTCGCATCCTTGCTAGGTTTGGCCTGTAAAGTAGAGAACAACTTCTCTAATGCTTCGAGGCGGGTCTTCAGTGCTGCTCTTCTCGGCATGTTCACCTTGGATTCATAGCGACAGGAACGCAGCCTGGAAGAACAGGTGCCGCACTGCGGTCGACGACCATCACACTAGAGAACAGTGAGGTTGGTCCCTAGAAGGAAAAAAGGAATGAGGTATATTACCTTGACTTTGTTCTGACGACAGCTCCGGCAGGCCTGCGCGACGCTGTGGATTCTCTTGCCGAGCTTCACAGAAGAAGCCTTAGTATGGACAGACTCCCCATTAGCAGCGGCAGGTAATGGCGGCTGCACAGCTGGTTGGATCAAGCGGAACGAGGAAACCATGGTTGGCCAGTACCAGGCGCTTGGCAGTGAGATTGTTGCTGAATGGTTCGGCTTGGGGTTATTGTCTGCCTGGGGGACGAGGAAATCACTTGGTTATCCGTTCCTGGGTGATTATGCACGTGTAAGGGACGTGGCGATTATTCGAATTTCGCACCAATTAACAGACGTTGCGCCATGGCCACAAGCTCCAACCGGAAAGGGGTCCTGACTCGTGTGAGTTCGTTCTAGTGGTGGGCGGTCTGGCGGGGAAGTGTCTGGGAATCCCGACTAGCTCGAAGTCTGACAGGGTCATGACGCGGTTATGGTAACAAGCTGCAAATTAATAGCATTGGGGACTGTAGGTGGTTGAAGAAGGATCAAATCCGTCTCACTATCGTACAATGTGAGAATTGGTCACGAATATGGTGCGCCGACGGTTCCATGACCAACGCAGCCATGGTAGGCAAATGGAGGAGAACGGGAAGTTGGTGAATTTGCCGTGTTGACTACTGGACGGAGTGTGCCACCTCAATCCAGGAGAAGAGGGACTATTGGCGACGGCGACATGAAAAGGGGCCAGCGCGGAGCAGCTACCAACAGGCTTCCACGGCTAGTACCAGGATGGTGGGATAAGACAGGGTTTCTTCGGCTCTATTGGAAATTAACTTTGGATTAGGATACCGCGGAAGTGACTTATCGCACGCTCAGGACCCTGGTGCACGACCCTCACCTAAAAACTTGACCCCCTGATCAGCGTTGCATCTACGGGCATTCTAGTTCGTGGAGATGCATTTCGGATCCCTTGGCGGAAGACCTGAAGCCGGTGACAGAGCCAATAGTGCCACAAGTGCCGAAGGAAAGCCACTCAGTCGGTAACTGGACTGTGGAGTGCTGGTGAGGCTTGAGGTAGCGTAGTACCCGGTTCTCAATCCACTACTAATGTGCCGGCTAAGGAAATATCCACCCAAATGGCGGGGAAGGGGAGCTAATCTTACTTCACAATACCTGCCGTGCATGTGACAATGCCATTCTCCCAGACAAAAAGCGGTTTTGTGCTGCAAATGTGGAAAGATGACAAGGGGAAAAGGAACTAGGAAACGAGAGACTTTGATACCAAACTGGTTGGGTACAACGATGATTAGGTTTAAACGGTAGATGGGAGGACAGATTGGAGAAGATATGGTTGTCAGAAATACACAGTTCATGGGGCACACGGTGCCGGGACCGAGAAGAACAACTGAACAAGACCGGCATAATAGCTACAAGCCTTTATGCAACTTAATTCAACATCAACTCTCACCCTCCATGGAGTAGCAATCCATACCCACGGTATTGGTGATGCGCTAATACCTGGTCACGGCACGCGCAAGCCGGGCCGCTTCCGGATTCAGGGATCCCTGGAGATCCGGAATAAGCCGACGATGCTAAGCTCGTGGGCATGGAGGAGGCTTCAATGGCTTTCTCAACCGTCTTTCCATCTCTAATGAAACCGGCTTCTTCCAAGTCCCTTCCATCGTCTGCATCCTGACCTTACCTGGCGAGTCAGCAAACTTTGAGGAGTCAACTGATCTTCACGCCAACGGCTTCTACGGTTTCAAGATATGGAAGAAGAGGCGTTCTGACACCTTACAAAAGCCAATGCGGGCACGATTCCGAGCTTCCGTCAGCCACGGCTTGGAGATGAAAAGTAGGGTTCGCGGGGTACACATGAGTCAGAACCCTGGCTGTGGTAACCCGCCTAGATCAAGCCTCATCGGGGAACTTGGAACTACTGAGACATCCAGGCGGAACTTCCTTGGCATCAAGGAATCCTAGATCTGGCTCAAGATTAGCTGTCAGCCTGCAATGGCAGAAAGAGGGATAGGCAGTCGTATCCGTAGCCATTAAGCTCCTACATTTATCCACAAGACACAGCTCCCTCCATGCTTCAGTCCTCGATCAAGTTGTTCTTCATCACTTCCTGAGCTCTTCTTCCCTGTTCGATTTGTCCTGCGCAGTCTCGGATGGCAGTTACAGCACAGCCGCGGGGCTTTGGCTCCGGCGTCGACTCCTCCGACAATCAAACATCTCTGACCATTATTATCGTATTCCTTGCCATCTCTTTCTACAACATTATTGAGCTTAACTTTCTTATCTGGGGAACCTTCAAACGCTATGTCGGACTTTACTTCTGGACAGT